ATACAATTCAAAATTGGAAAATCAGTTAAAAGAAGATATTTACATGGACAATGTGATAACAGGAGTACAAACGAAAGTTGAAGCAGTTGAATTGTATAAAAGAGCGAAATCAATTTTCGGTGAAATGAATATGAACCTACGCGAGTGGATGACTAACAATAAGGAGCTTAGCATGACAATTCATGAAGAAGATAGATCAAATGGTAATACTGTTAAAGTGTTGGGCCATTGGTGGAATGTAAAGGATGATACTCTATCATTAAAAGGGGCAAAGTCAATTAAGGAAGGGGTCAAAATTACAAAAAGAAACGTTTTGAAACAGATTGCATCAGTGTATGATCCGTTAGGAATGTGTTCTCCAGTAACATTGCTTGGTAAATTATTGCTCCAACGAGTTTGGTACAAAGGTTATGAGTGGGATGATTTGTTAGATAAAGAAGATTCAGATGACTGGCTTGAAATCAGACGTGACTTAGAGCAAATTGAAAATGTTAGAATACAAAGGAATCTTACCATAGCAGATGACATAGAAGGTGTAAAATATTCACTAGTTTGCTTCAGTGATGCCTCAAGTAAAGCATATTCAGCACTTATTTATCTGATACAACTTAAAGACAAAATGTTTAAGTGTGACTTGATGTTTTCTAAATGTAGACTTGCACCAGTTAAAGTAATGACCATTCCTAGACTTGAATTAATGGCAGTACTTATAGGAGTCAGATGCTTAAAGTTCGTAGAAAAACAAATACAGCTGCCATTGGAACATCTTATTTTGTTAACTGATTCTCAGTGTGTTCTCCAATGGTTGTCGTCAGAAAAGTCACTCCCTGTATTCATAAAGAATCGTGTCAAAGAAATAAACAGCTATAGTGATATTACATGTAGCTTTGTAAAATCTGCAGACAATATAGCGGATGTAGCAAGTCGCGGGAGTACCTTGGTGGATTTATGTAAAAATCAAATATATTGGCATGGCTCCAAGATGCTACAAAAGATTGTGACAGGCTTACAAGGAAAGACACTATGTTATATTTCTGAAGAAGATTATGAATTCAATGAAAGGAAAAATGAGTGTCAAAGGGAAGATATTAAAACACTATTCGATGTAGAAATTAGTGATGAGCCGAAAGAAGACGCAAAATTATCTGAATCTGATTATTTAACGGAAGGTTGTCTATTAACTGAAAACAACAAAAAAGAAAAAACGCCGTTTGGAATAGATGTTAACAAGTTTTCATCTATATCAAAATTAATAAGAGTTACAGCATGGTGCAATCGATTTATTCGAAATGCGAGAAGTCGCTCAAATAGAAGTCATACTCTTTCCATTGATGAAATCAACGAAGCGGAACAGTTATGGTTAAAACAGATTCAAAGAAACCATTTTGCTGATGTTTTTCAATCTATACAAGATGAAAGACCCAATAATTTGGTAAAACAGTTGGATTTGTTTGTTGATGAATCAGAAATGATAAGATGTGGCGGACGACTACAACACGCTAATCTTTGCGAAGCCGCTAGAAGACCAATATTACTTCCAATAAAAGACAAGTTCACAATTCTTTTGATTGAAAGGATGCATAATAAAATATTACACAGCGGTGTGTCGCAGACTTTAAGTGAGACAAGACAAAGATTTTGGATTCCAAGAGGAAGAGCAACGATTCGTTCGGTGTTAAAATCGTGCCGAGTCTGTAGACGAGTTGAAGGTGGTCCTTATAAATTGCCATCTATGGCTCCCTTGCCGAGAGAACGTGTCACAGAAACTACTCCATTTTCTTCTGTAGGCTTAGATTATCTCGGACCGCTTTATATAAAGGAAAATAATGAAATTAAAAAGGTTTGGATTTGCATTTTCACTTGTCTAGTTATTCGTGCTATACATTTGGAAATTGTACAAGATATGACAGCTAATTCCTTAATTTTGTGTCTAAGAAGATTCGTAGCAGTAAGAGGAACACCAAAGGAAATAATCAGCGACAATGCCAAACAATTCAAATTGTCTAATCAAACTATTAGATTGATATGGGCGAAAACATTGCAAGAAGCAGATGTACAAAATTACGCATCCACTGAAGGTATTAAATGGACCTTCATAGTAGAACTGGCGCCCTGGATGGGAGGTGTATATGAAAGATTAGTTGGAATTGTAAAGCGTGCATTGAGGAAAGCTCTAGGAAAGAAATTGTTATTGATGGATCAAATAAGCACTGTCGTTAAAGAGATAGAAGCTGTAGTCAACAGGAGACCTCTAGTGTATGTTGGCGAAGACATAAGGTCATCAATAACTTTAACACCAGGTCATTTTCTCTGCTTAAATCCGAAAACTGGAATACCTAATCTTGATTATGATTACAGCGATCCAGAATTTAAACCATATGAAAGTTCTGCCGAGAGGTTATTACAACTATGGAAAAAAGGAGAACGACTCCTGAATAAATTTTGGATCTTATGGCGAGATGAATATTTGCTTAGTTTACGAGAGAGATCACAGAACAAAATTAAATCTGTAAAAGTGCAATCACCCGAATCACCTAACTTAGGAGATATAGTTATAATAAAAGATGATCTTCCACGAGGTCAGTGGAAACTAGCAAAAATAATAAATTTACGCACAAGTAGGGATGGACAAGTTCGGTCTGCTGAATTAGAAACCTCAATTGGACAAATTTTGAGACGGCCTCTTAATTTGCTTTACCCTATTGAAATGTCAGAGTCAAAAATTAGGGATCCAGATATTAAAAGAAATTCATACCAACAAGAGACAGAAGCAAAGGATTGTCAATTCAAAACATTAAGGCCTATGCGTAAAGCTGCGGAGAAAGCTAGACAAATGTTCCAAAATATGTGATAATTCAACATCTTTTGGCGGAAGCGTCGCATATGCGCGAAATAACTTTAAGTAATGTAAAAAAAAAAATAACATATGCTGCAAACATATTGAAAACATAAAAAATGTATAAAGATTGCTGTATATTTGAATGAATTTTATGCGTAAAATGTATAAAAGCAACCACAATGACGTGTGAGTATTTTTTTTTTGGTCTAATTTTACATCTACGAGCATTTACAGACTTTATGTACATATTTTGAGAAACTGTTTATTATTTAACAGCCCCGCATAGATAGCAAAATCCGTTATCTAAACTATTGTAAACTGGAGCAAAGAGTTTGTGTAACCAATACCGTGAAATCATGTGATCGGCGGGAGCAAAGATATAGAGAAATAAATGGCGGGAAATTTGCACGGGTTTTGCGAGAATTTTGTGCGCTATAGCCACATGCTTAGTATTCATTGTTTGCTCAGTTTTCAATCGAGAAACATATTCTGTCTTGCTTAAAAATGTATTTTTGTGACACTTGTCAAGCAATATTTACTTTGAAAAGGAATTTGACTCGTCATATTTCAGAAAAACATTTGTATCATAATTATTGGCATTGTGCTATAGAAGGATGTGAAACAAAGTACACAAGGCGTTACAATCTTGTGAACCATCTGGAGAAAACGCATAGTTTATCAAGAGTACAGGCACTTCAAACGGCGCTAAGGTGTAATTCTTCAATGCCCGATAAAGATGGGTACGTAGATATAAATGAAGATGATGATGCAATAGTACAAATCATTGCTGAAATTGAAACTGCTGCTCAACCTAACATAGAAATACAAAATAAAATCATCGACCAATTCGACTTAGACTTATTCCAAGAGCAGCAACCCCACACTGACACTCTTGATTTGGAAGTAATCTCTTCAATAAGTGACAACACTCTAAGTATGGAATATCATGATGATAAGATGGAGGCTGTAGATGTAAATAACAATGCCGACGACAAGGAAGAAAGTTATTGCAGTGCTCCTGAAGATGGTGTTGGTGTTGGCAGTTGTGATTCTGATCAAAGGGATTCTTATGTTGATGACAGGGAATCCGAAACTAGTGCTTATAATAATGATGATGATACAGATGGAATAAACAGTAGGCAAGAAAGTGACAATGAAGATATTTTGGATTATAATGATGATCTTGAAGAAACTGAAAATGGAAGTACCGCTGATGATGATGAAATATATGAACATATGGATGAAATGTATGATGCTGATGATAATGACTCTGATGATGTTATTATTTGTAGTGATGTTGATGACCAGGAGCTACATGACGGAACTGTGGAGTTACCATTTGATAGGATAACGGAAATATTTGTATTAACATTTAAAAGAGACACAATCCTTGACAACAGTGGCAATATAATAGACCAATCAGGATCAGTGGAAACAGATTATTTCAAGTATACGAATATGTAAATATGTGAACAGAGTGACATTATACCATTCTCATATTCCCAGGTGGGAGTGTCGCAAAGAGCGAGTTTATGAACTATGTTATATTTTGTTATGTTTTTACGGAATGGAGCAGGTTGCTCCCAATGGAGTATATTAACAATTGATGGGAGCAATATTATTAAATATTTTCATGTATTTCATGTTTTTCCTGATTTTCATGTTTTTCGATATTTTCATGCTTATTTTCCCGCTTAAATATTTACTATAACAGGTGTTCACTTTTTCGATTGTCTGGGACTGATTTGAGATTTACTATGCTGTGATGTATAAAATTAATGACATTGTGAACTTAAAGTTAAAAAGTATTTGGAATTATAAAAATAAAGGAAAATAAAAGGTATGAATATTAAAGTTGTTTTCAAGTTATCTATTCAACATTAAACATCCGATGTAATGGGGATAAAAGTTAAAATGGTATAAAGGTTTAAAAGTTGTTATTATATCTTCACTACACTACCAATGTGATGACATCATCTGCTAACCATGTGACGTTATGACTGGAGATAGATCAGTTTATTTGGCTAGGCTTTATCCAGCTAATAATATACAGTTGCAGGAAAAATGTACTTACACATTTAAAGTATATATAAATATACCATGTTTAGATAACAAGACTAAGACTTAAATAATATCTTTATGTCTAACACATGTTTTTTACCTGGTAGCTATTTTTTGTAACTGTCTTTCCTTGTCTCTTTGAAGTGGATCTGGTTTACTTCTGCACATATTCTCCCATAACTTTGCCTATTGTGTGTAAAAAAAAAAAAAAAAATTAACATTATAGTATGCATTTACGACTACAACAATTTAATCATTGACACTAATAAACAAAGATATCCCTTTCATGTTTTTATAAATAAATATACTTGTATATAACAGCAAATTAATTTCAGCAAATAACAAGTACAGAAAGTTTGAAATCTGTGGTTGGTTTTTTATTTTTTAAATAATGGGACTATTAAGGACATTGAATCCTAAATACTTACAATGATATACAATTTGGTGAGAATGAATTATGTTACTGTCACCAAAATTCTGATTTTTAATTAATGTCAAGCAAATACAAACCCTTTCTTCTTTGGCTAACTGAAGTTGGGTTTCTTTGGATTCAGTTTTAAGTTTTGCTGATTTATTATCTGCTTCCTCTTCTTCTCTCTCCAATTTTCGTTTTCTTATTTCTTTGTCTGTCTTTCCTTTCGAAAGGATCACCTATAATGTATGTACAATTGTTATGATAAATGGGATAAATCCTATACCTACTTGTAACTATTCAAAATTCAATCTGAAATGCAAAATTTGTATTTTCTCACATTATGCCTACAAATTTGATCACATCACAGTGTTGCATCTAGAATTTCAAAATTATGGGGGATTGTCCCCCACTCAATTGAAAAATGTGGGGGATTTGAAAAAAATGGGGGGACATACATTTACCTTACAATATGACATACCGAAAAGAATTCATTTTTTTTACGTTCAGGCATTTTTGACAGCTATCGTCCGCTCAAAAACGGAAGTAGAAAAAATAAAATATTGACGAATACTACAAAACACACGCGAGATGACTCAGTCGACTGCTACAAGCGATTTAGTACATATTTTAGTCATAACCACGAGTGAAAACAAACATGGCTGAAGCGTTCAAGATACGATGAAGATAAATTGAATTAAGTTGAAAAGATCGTCAGATGCGCGACTTGGCGCGCACTGACTTCATTAAAATGCGCGATCTGCATAAAAAATGCGCAAATCGCGCAATCGCGCGGCCTAGATGCAACACCGACATCAATAAATTTGCGTTCAATATTTTTCTACTCATCCCATTGCCCCGTTTGCCACTGAATTTGTGTATTGACCTATTAGTACTAAAATTAATATGCTAAAAATAGAATCAGGATACAAAGACAAACTACTGTGTGATTATTCATATTTGCCATTGGAAACCCATATGGACTCCTCACTCCAGACCATTTTCATGGACGGAAATGCTTCAAATGCAGAAATTACTCTATCCCAGAAAAAATACAATAACTGGTTCCTAAATCTGCAAGATGTAAATCACCATTACATGGAACCTATGTCTAAAAAGTCTCATCCGAAAGACATGTTTATGATATTAGATGGCAAATTTGTACTGAGAAAATTTTAACACAGGACCATGGTTCCTTCTGTTGAGACAAATTGGCTCCCCTTGCCCTGGTTGCACAGGCTTTTAAGTACTATTAAAAGGTCCCTGGTATAAATTATGCTGCCTATTAGTTAACTTGAGACATTTCAAAATATTGAAAAACTACATTTTATATTAACACAACTTTTAAGTTTTACCTGTTTATGAGATGGAACATTCTTGTGCAATATTTTAGCTAAAACATCTGCCAGGCCTGTCTTTCCACTAGATTGACTTTCAACTGTTTCAACTTGCTCTTCTTGCTCATCATCTGTAGATGTGTCTTTTTCTTCTGTAAAAAATGTGAAGTTTTCATACATGTAAGAACATACACAATATTACACAATATTTTTTTGGCTATCTTCATGGTCCACAGGAGTTCCATTCTCCATTCATATATAGCATCTTTTATAACAAACATCTTTTAATTTAAAGTCTATGACACAATCAAAAATATTTCTGTGTGTTTATTCTACAGGTAAAAGTAATACAGGCCTTCAGATGTTTAAACATTTACTATGCAAGCATTATTGCCTGCTGCACAGTAAATGGGCCAATTTTTCAAAAATACATGTAATGCAGGCTTTTTCAAAAAATGTATTGCATTTTCTATTATTTTTTGTGTTTTTATATAGGACTTACTATAAAGCAAATGTGCCCCAAATTTTTTTGTGATAGCATTACCCAAAATAAAGATACAGACATTTTTATACCCTAACAAGAACTGTCGGAGGACAGTAACGCTCGACTATTCGAAAATTTGTCACAAGGGTGTTTCATTGAGTATAATAATGCTTACCTATATGAATACATAAAATTGTCCGAAAAGGTACAAACTCTTCAAGTTTCAATACATTCCCTTCAGTAGTTATGGAGATACAAGCTTACATGCAAAAACTTAACCAAGAATTCATGAGTCGAAAAAGGGGCATAATTATGTAAAAAAGCAAATCAGAGTAATGGGACTTGTACCAATCATCTTAGATAATCACAGAGACCAAGTGTGTGAAGTTTCAATCCATTCCCTCTAGTAGTAATGGAGATACCAGCTTACACGCAAAAACTTAACCAAGAATTTCTAAGTCGAAAAAGGGGCATAATTATGTTAAAAAGCAAATTAGAGTGATGGGACTTGTGCCAATCATCTTAGATAATCACAGAGAATAAGTGTGTGAAGTTTCATTCAATTCCCTTCAGTAGTTATGGAGATACCAGCTTACATGCAAAAACTTAACCAAGAATTTCTAAGTCGAAAAAGGGGCATAATTATATAAAAAAGCAAATCAGAGTTATGGGACTTGTGCCAATTATCTTAGATAATCACAGAGAACAAGTGTGTGAAGTTTCAATCCATTCCCTTCAGTAGTTATGGAGATACCAGCTTACACGCAAAAACTTAACCAAGAATTTATAAGTCGAAAAAGGGGCATAATTATGTAAAAAAGCAAATCAGAGTTATGGGACTTGAGCTAATCATCTTATATAATCACAGAGAACAAGTGTGTGTAGTTTAAATCAATTCCCTTCAGTAGTTATGGAGATACCAGCTTACATACAAAAACTTAACCAAGAATTTCTAAGTCGAAAAAAGGGGCATAATCATGCAAAAAAAGCAAACCAGAGTTATGGGACTTGTGCCAATCATCTTAGATAATCACAGAGAACAAGTGTGTGAAGTTTCAATCCATTCCCTTCAGTAGTTAAGGAGATACCAGCTTACATACAAAAACTTAACCAAGAATTTCTAAGTTGAAAAAGGGGCATAATTGTGAAAAAAAGCAAATCAGAGTTATGGGACTTGTGCCAATCATCTTAGATAATCACAGAGAACAAGTGTGTGAAGTTTCAATCCATTCCCTTCAGTACTTTACCAAGAATTTCTAAGTCTAAAAAGGGGCATAATTATGAAAAAAAGCAAATCAGAGTTATGGGACTTGTGCCAATCATCTTAGATAATCACAGAGAACAAGTGTGTGAAGTTTCAATCCATTCCCTTCAGTAGTTAAGGAGATACCAGCTTACATACAAAAACTTAACCAAGAATTTCTAAGTCGAAAAAGGGGCATAATTATGAAAAAAAGCAAATCAGAGTTATGGGACTTGTGCCAATCATCTTAGATAATCACAGAGAACAAGTGTGTGAAGTTTCAATCCATTCCCTTCAGTAGTTATAGAGATACCAGCTTACATACAAAAACTTAACCACAGGGACGCCGACGCCGACAAATGGGTGACTGCATTAGCTCCATTATTCTGCGAATAGTCGAGCTAAAAATGTCCAATTTTACATGTAATGTGTTAGCATATGTTTTTTTTGGTGTTTTTAGAATTAACACCACTATTATCTGTTTTAATTTATCACTTAAATTTTTTTACATGCACATAGAAAATTTAATAACCTTTCCAGTGATATATAATACTTGGTATACATCATCCTGGTTTTTAAGATGATTTTAGTAAAATCAGACTTTTGTAATGCATCAGTTTTTTCAAAATTCAGTTGTTCAGCAAACAGGTATACCTTTAAGCAATTACAAATAAAATAGTACTTTATTGTCTCAATCTAATGAAATATGAATTAAAAACATATATTAAGTGTTTTCAATTCAAATTTTCAAACATTTTTACCAAAATAGGCATTTTAGTGGTAAAAAAAATTTTGTGATGAAAAAACTGTAACATCCGTCCCCCTCTCATAAAATATCCAATTATAAAACAATACTCATATAAAACAATGTTTCTGGTGCTTAATGATAGCCTTACAATGAAAATGTTATAAAAAATGCCAATTTCTATGTTTATGAGAAAAAAATTACAATAATGTAAAAGTTGTCTGTAACATCCGTCCCCGTAACATCCGCCCCCCTATATAAGATGCTTATTAAATCTCACATAAACTGTAACTGGAAAGGGAATTTTACACTAAAACACCGAAGTTACGATGAAAAATGAAGAAATAACAGAAATAAAGCACTGAAATGATGTATTTATAAAAAAATATTATTTGTGAACACGAAATTCCTTAATTTTGAAAAAAAAAACAGTATTTTTTGCTCTGATAACAAAATTATTTACTTTGAAATAAAATTTATATTTTATTTCTTAACATCAAGTGGACCTATGAGCTTATTAAGATAATATTTAAGCTTATATGAATTTATAACAAATATAATCTTTTGTTATTCTGTGTTTACAAACTAAGGGTACAGAAGGGGACGGATGTTACAGAATTGAACTAAAAATTCTTTTTACAGTAAAACTAAACTTATCTTGTTCTTATGATGCATGATAGAGAAGTAGTAAGCTTTGCAACTGTATAGGAATGTTTCACACAACAAATAAAATACTAATTAAAAAAAAAACTAGAAAAAACAAACACAAAATCCTTAACAGGATAATTATCAGTCTGTGCGAAAGTCTGTCGGTCCTCGGACCTCGCCAACTAAAAATCAGGAGGGCCGAGATAAATTTCGATACAGTCAGTCCTCATGTCCGAATAAAATTTAAGCCACTTTGAAACAATTTCTAAAATATGCAAAACTTCCTAGATCGATCTTTTTTTTCATTTTTGCTTGTATTCAAAGACCCAGATAACCAAAATCACCGCAAGATACAACCAGTTTTTGCTAAGTAATGTAAGCCATCATCTTGTCTTGGATAATTTCCTTACCAAAACATATTTTTTCTCCAATCTTCAAATTAAACCTTTAAAAGATGTATCGTTTCCTTATGAATTATACTAATGTTTTATTTATTATGTTTCTGTATATTTTTTTCGTAGTATCTTATAGTTGAGTCTGATAATTCATATTTGCTAAATATTTTTGTTTATAATTATGGCATTATCCCTCCCCCACCCATACAAAAAATACCTTTCAGAGTCCGGGCCGGGAAAAAATCATCAGGGCCGGAAATAAATCTAAGGATCCCAGTCCTTGTGGCTGGAATTTTTTTTGACTTTCGCATTGACTGAATTATATAGAAAGAGGTGCCAAAGATAGAGATGTTGAAAGTATCTTTGTGATTAAAATTGGTCAATTGTTAAAACATAAATTCTTTAGCCTTATATAGTTAACAAACCATGTATCCCTGCCCCTCATAAAACAGTGGGATATGGATCCTAACTCTATACACACAGAAGGGGCTTGCACTTTATTGGAAGTTAACGAGCTGTATATTGGGAGCTGTGTATATTGGGAAGTGTGATATATTACAAAACAGTAGGGGGTGCCAATTAAGGGTGATATATATTATGCTTAAAACAGTGGGAGGGACTACCATATCTGTTTCAAGAATGTCTGTCATTAAGTATTGAAGTTGAAGATCATTTAAGTCAAAGGATTTATTGAACTTCAAAATTTTATAGGCTAAATATGTAGTCACTGAAAAATTTTAAACAAATAAAAAAATATAATTCAACACCCTGATTAAAATTTTTAGATTTTTTTCCCCCAAAAAAACTCAAGCACATTTTTTCATACAATTTGACCCATTTAATTATTGTTAATAAAGTGAAAGAAACTTGTAAGTAAAGGATAAGGTAAGGATTCCTGTAATGAAAAAGTTGGAATAATTGTGAAAATTATTCTGTAAAAAAACCCTTCGCAAATTATTTTGCACCTATAAATTTTATTGAATGACAAATTAATTCATTAAGTTAAAGCAGTTCATGTACACTGACATATTTACACAGAGAATTATTAAAAGTTAGAAATAATGAGATTATGATACTGAATCATAATGAAATCTTTGGATAATGCTGCTAACATTCCACATTAATTTACTTAAAATTTCATCAAATCGATAGAACTTAATTGCAGCAATTTAAAATCTTATAATTTTTAATGAAAATTTTTAATTGTGTATAATTTATGTATTTAGTAATGAGAAATTCAAGCTTGCATATGTTTCAATCTGAAAACTTATTTACTTCACACTGTATCATATCTTTTACAAATATAGATTTTATTATTTAACTAATTTAAAAGAATTTTGTAAATAATTTCATGTATAGAAAGGTACTGTTGGTATGACATTTTCTTTTTAATGTTAATGCATTATCTGGAAACAAAGATTCTTTTGTTTAATTAGCAATGTTTTTATTTTATTCCAAACATTTCAATGTTCATTCAAATGTAAGATAAATGGAAGAAAACTAAGTCAATGCAACTTTTCATTGTGAAATGCAAATAGTAAGAAACTCCATAATTGTCGGGTATATTTCTACATTTTTCTCATAATTTGTTCAATTATTTTACATTTATTGTACTGTACAAAGCAATTCTCTTATAAATTATATTACTTTAAAATAAAACAAACAAAAAAGTATGAACCATGAGCTTTAAACATCTAGTGTAACATCCGTCCCCCCAAAAATGTAACATCCGTCCACCTGATACAATTCATTTTTGGGTTATCTGACAAGAAATATACAAAAGAAAGACCTATAATTTCTACTGTTTTATAAGAAATGAGTTTGCATATTTGATTTAAGTATGATTTGGTGTAGTTATCCTTGTTTTATTTCTCTCTGTTTCAAACATGTTTGAAAATTTCATTTTGTGTGAAAAATACTGAAAATTTGAAACCAAATATTTTTATATCTAAGATGAATTTTCTGGATTTTTTTTTGTAACATTAATCAGAAAACATAATATTTTAATAAAATAAAGAGAAATAATACAAATTTTATTATAAACTGTAAGATATTCAGACTTTTAGTATATCTTTGTAACATCCGTCCCCTACCCACACAGTCCGCAAGAGATGTAATATTTTGAAAAAGGTATCCAAAAAGTTATCCTTTCTTTCCAAAAATATTGTCATAGACACCCTGAGGTACTTAAAACGAGCAAATATTGTCTTGTATGTTTAACTTTATTTTTTGACCTAGATGCTAACACAATTGGCCCATTTACTGTGCAGCAGGCATTATTTGAGAATGTGCCATAAAATTTTACTATTAACATATCAGATATGTTTGCAACATACAACTTTTTAAGATTATGATGATCTAATGATTTTTTGAAGAACTGAAATTTTTATGTGTTTTCTGATTTCAACAGTTAAAATTAATTCAACTAGCACCTGAGTTGCTATACATTTTCAGAATAGAATAGAATTCTAGACATATGTGAGTCATGTATGTCTAGCCTATAATATTATGCACTGTTGAGGACAGTCGTACAGCAATTTTTCAATTTTCACAAAGAATGGTAATATAATTATATTACATTAATTTTTCTAAATGATTTTACGGATAATATTCCGCCATTTATATTTTGACAAGATATTGGATAGATAAATCAGACAAAAATTCACCTTAATTAGTTGTTTTTGTAAGCTGATGTAAAATTTGTGTTATTTACATGTACAAGTTACATTAATCAATTGACCAATATACTTTAATGTCAAGTCAATGAAAGTCGGTGATTGACCTGATAGCATGCAAACTGCTGCGCTGCATTAATACACAGAAAGTCCGAGTGGGGCCAAAGGCCACGCGAGGGCTGTAGCGCTCTTAGATAACATGTATGACGCATATCAATTCAAATGAAATCAAATTAAAACTAAATGAAAATTTAAAAAATATATATATCCTATACCTAATAAGCTGTGAAAAAATCCTTAGTTAACTGGGCGCCGCCATTTTGAAATCCTTTTGAGCTAAATATAGATATCAGAGCGCTTGAAATAAGCTTCTACATAATTCAGACTATTGCTAGCAAACGCATGCTAAGTTAGTAACACTTCCGGTGAAAGAATGATGTACAAAATCAGAGAATAAACCTGCATTTCATTGATAAGAATTATAGTAACGATTATAAATATAAAAAGTAACTTTTAACATATCCTTTTTGATAAATATAACATTAAAACAACAACCGTGATTAGAGATTAACAAAAATGGCGGACAGGATTTACCAAATGCCGACGCATGCTCAGTGGTCACCCTTTACGTTCGGAGATTTTCGGAATATTCCAAGCGCTCCGATGATAGGTTGAACACCACCAATTTATTCGTTTTGTTTACGGTACAAAATACCTGCAAGAAAGATCTGGTTTACATGTACACTAAACATGTTATGCTAAAATCATAGCGAGCTCCACGAGCTAACCCAAAGGGCCTGCTCGCAAAGCGAGCTTTACGGTAACGCGAGTACCTGCTAAGTGATGTTTTTGAAAACTTTCGTTCGAAGTACCGAATTGACACATCGCAACTTTTCGAATAGCAAGATAACGATAAAAGCCGATGTACTCTGATTGAAAACTGAAGTGTAGACTGGTGTCCTGCGCACTGCCTAATTAATTAGGCTAACTAGTAGATCTAACTTAATGCTTTAAAATTAATTAGGGCTAACTTTAAAGTTTAATTAATTAGGCTAACTGCTTAACAGACGAAATTAGATTTCCAATGAAAAATTTCAATAAGGTCTAAATGTGTTCTAGATTTCTGTTAACTTTCCTGTTCTCACATAAGCAGAACAAGCTGTATATAGTTAGCAATGCTACGCTCGCTAGATGGCGCTGCGCAACGAAGTGCGCAGACCAATGAAAATGTCTGACCTCAATAAATCGGGAAACCCATGACGTTTTTGCCTGTAAATTATTCTTAGACAACAGTTCGTTGGTCAGTAAAAATAGTTGCATTTATTAATAGAAACATTAATTAATGTGTAACCGTATTTTTATATCGTTGAACCCGCACCTTTCTAAATGAAATCAAATTGGAAAGAAAAGATTTGCATATATTTTTCACTTTCAAACCCATTACACTCAAGTAAATGTGCGTTTCTTATGAAATAATTATCAATCTTTCGAATATACCCTTTAATTTCATCATTGGACCTGGACAAAGTATTTATTTTTGAAGATTTGTGACCTGCGTGCAATAGTGTACCTTATCTTGGACACTCATTGAAAACAGCGGTAAATTTGAGAGCAATCCGAAAGTAGTACTGTCAACTTCCTGTTTGTGAAAAAACAAACAGATTATACATATTTCAGATATTTTCTGCGATTGAAGAAGTATTTCCCTTGGTGTAAGTTGTAATAATGTTGCAATAACTCCTGTTTTATAAGAACTGTTCACAGTTTATTATGACAATGCTCAGATAAAGAAATACGGCCAGTTTTCAGTGATTGGGTCAGTGGGTGGGGAAACGAATTGATATTGCTATTATTGGCACTGAATCAGTGATTACTATACACTAGGCCATTAAAATTAGTGTTCTAAAATTCTGTTTTATTTACTTGATATGCATGATCATTGATGTAACAGTAATGACATTAGTTATGTTTCAACCTTTAAAATGCTGACAATTTCTTTGTTAATGACATTGCCATTGGCATTGCAATGTGAGAGTGATGCAATGAACGTGTATCCCCGATTGTGTAACTTGTCATTAAAATAATTACCACTAATACATGGAATATGATGGAGGAAGTATTCACTAAAAATTACAGTATTAATCATTTAATGTTTACTCATGTAAGGCACTGTATTTGTTGTTTTTAACATTTTGACACAGGTCCAAACCGAAGTTCCAAGAGCATTAACTTATGGCATGTGCTGCTTTTTTCCGTGTATTTGGATAAATTGCATGTTCAGAAGTTCAAGTTTTTAATACTGAAGTGTGAAAAGACTGTTTCTTTGGAAATATTTCAAATAGTGATGTAAAAACTGACTGGGGTTAGAATTTTCACTTTTTTAGGAAAAAGACAGTTTTAGGTATATGAATATGTGATAGACTAAAAAAATCACCAAAAAAAAGAGTGTTAAATATTTCTTGTTAAAATAAAGTTTTTTGACATTATCAAGCAGTGTTCTTTTCATGTAACACCTTCATAACTTGGAAATGTAGACCAAAAAATATCATGTAGCATTGCTAATATAGTGTTTAAAATACAATTCAAACACATGTTTACATCGCGAAATTACGTGACAGCATATTCAGCTTTAAAGAAATTGAATTTCCAAAAGTTTTCCTTTAAAATCATGTTTACTTGAGTAACTAAATAAGAAACGCTACCATCTGAAGAGCTTGATTCTTCTATATTTTTATCAGGCTCAGAGTCAGATGCTTCAATTTCCACGTGCACTTTTTTAGCCATGGTAGCTGCCATCTTTACAGTACGGTTTCCGGTCAGGTCAAAGTTATACTTCCGGTGTATACAGAACAGTCATTTTTTGCTAATTTAGTGATTTATTTTATAATTCATAGTCATGATGCCATTGAAATAGATTTTAAAAGCTGTATATGAATTTTCTTTACAAAAAGGTACATTAATTTAAAAATTATGCCAAGACATAAACGAGGAAGAAGAAGGTTTATAGATGATGATAATTATTCACAGAGACAAAAGTTTCAAAACTCAGGCTCTGCTAGATCTAATGTACAATCAAGAAGATATGAGGACCAGCATGGTTTTAGAGGAAGGAGAAGATCAAATTTTAAAGAGGACGGAAGGGGATATTCAGGATACAGCTCATCCAGTGAACAGCAAAGTAGTTCATCCACAAATTCTAGTTGTGGAAATGAGCTTGGTATCCTTTCAGTCTTTATTGACACTGGTTCATACTTTGTCCAAGATTGACAGCATTAAGTGTGACAGCATTGAGCGTGGATTTTACTTTTAAAAATTTCGGTACATTGTACATTACGTTGTGCAAAAGTAAGATATTAATGCTAATTCCCCAGATTGAGTATGCCTTTTCTGAAATTCTGAGTGTCACCACTGGTCAGATAATGGAAGCGGAACCCATACCCAATGGCAGATATGCTTATTTTTTCTAAATCTTGAAAAAAATGCTGAAGACTCGGTTCCAATTACCGGTATATTGATTTATTTGAAACCTCCTTTCAGGCTCTTTTGGCTTAGTGTTTTGAATTCTGCGACAAAGTTTATTCAAACCAACCTGGGACATAAGATAATTCTTATGTCCCAGAACCAACAAAATGTTAAGTGAAGTGTAACCAATACAATAAGTTGAGTATTAAAAGGTGATTTTTCACCTGTAATATACAACTAGAGGCCAATAAAAGGCCTCTGCCGAATCGAAATTTTCTTTAAAATGGTTCAGTTTTCTCAAAATCTGAACTTAATACACCAGCTTATTTGGGTGCTAATTTCCTTAACTCAGCTACGTACTTGTATTTTTTCTCAAAATGGTTAGGAAAAGGTCTGTTTGCTGTGTCCATTTGTTCTCTGCTGATGGATACAGACAAATGCATTTGATATGATTGTGTAAGTCAGTGAACCTATTTTTTTAAAACTGATTGAGGAGGTCAGAATACCTTCAGCTACATGTATTAAAGCTAGACTTTTATTTCAACATGATGACTAAATATTAACAAAACAACTAAGTTGAAATAAAATTGCATACAATTGTACACACATACATTTATGTGTTTTAATTGCATTTTATTTATGGTTTAAGGTTTTTAAAATTCATTTTTTGCATGTTATAGAGATGTGTATGTCACAGGGTGAGAAAAATGTGCAGCCTGACCGGAACTCAAACCCGGGAATCTCGGAATACCGTACCACGACTCTACGGACTGAGCTATCCAGCCACTTACACATCTTCTCCCCTAAATAGTGAACAGTCCACTCTAGCTATAAGGGAAGCAGGGTTTTTTTTCCAGGATTTTTGGAACATGACCAATACCCATGGAATTGGGCATTTCAGCGATGTTTTAGATATGCATATATGAGTTAAATTTTGCAGTGATTAAATGACCACAAGATTCATACTTACCTGCAAAAATACAGAGACACGTTTTCAGAAAATATTTATTATCAAGAAAATATTTATTATCAATCAATGAAGTCTGGCTTGCGCCATGAAAACCTTCAGTACGAGTGCGCATGCATGAAGCTACTTATTCCGGAAAAAGAATATTTGAATTGAGGCCCTACCAGTGGTTAGTGCATACTTGTCAATAAATGAATGAATGAAAAAATGAATGAATGAGTAAATGAATAAAAGGATGAGTGAATGAAATATAGGAAAAGGGACACAAATATAGGATTTCACAAGATATGTACAGTAACAAATACAACAGACATGACATGGACATGTACATAACATAATTTACGGTGTACAATACGGGACATACATTGACAAACAACATTGAACACATCAATATGGCCCTGCGACATGTATGGTTTGATATATATTCATAATTCTAGAATAGAATTTTGTCTTTTCTTATTAAAGTTGCATACATGTATAAATGTATTAACAGACCTTTACCTCAATGCATCATAATTATATATTCAAAATCACTACCATCACAAAAATCCAGGTATTTATATTACAAATATAATGCGTCACCATGCAGCATCTTATTTGTAGAGTTTGAAATTTTTGTTATATCCTAGTAATAGTTACATAAAAGCATTAAATGATAACAAATTTTAAATTGCTAATAAACATGCTTCACAGGTGCATGGAAATTTGTTTTATTGCGTCATAAAATGTAACTTTTCTTAACACATATGTCAGAAATTCCAGGGTTTTACTATGATGCAGAAAAGAAACGGTATTTCAAGATAGCTCCCAACCATGCATCCAGTACCTGCAACTATACAAGAGATTCCATTGCTAAACAACAAGCTGAGAAAAAAAGACAGAGTGACATCGCTGAAATATTTCAAAGTGACATTAAAGCAGTATTAAAGCAAAAAGCATATAGAAAATGTGTGTCACATAATTTGACTCATCTTATTCAAGACAGGCTAGTGATGGGTCATACAAAATCTTTTTTAAGATCAAAAATTTTTCAGAACAGTGTGTCTCATTTTAAGCCGGTAGGTTCACAAAACATTTTTGATCCACCTCTTTTGGATCATTATGAAAATTTAGAACATATGCAGGTAATGCATATAGGTGACGATCATAATGAAATTCTATCCTTGTGGTCTATAAGAGAGACTTGGGTTCAGAGGATACAAAGAATTCAAATCTCTGAATCAGTACGGACTGACAAACAAACATCACTGTCTGTTATTGGAAAGCCTAAATTACAAGCAATTTTACCAATGTTGAATAAAGTGACAGATCTATGCTGGGCTCCAGTTTCAGATGGCCAGAAACATGTTTTATACACTACAATGTGCCATATGGGACACCAGGAAAGTTTAGCTCAAATAAAAAGTTTAAACCCGGAAGATACCACAGCAAGTCAGAATTACAACCTAGGTGAGAAATCCTTCAAATGTTTAGCGTATTGACTATTTGGAAGGTTAAAGAATGATAAGTAAATTTTTCTAATATCTCATGAAATGTTTTATACATGTATACTTACAATACATTGTAAAATACCTTGTTTATACTTGACCAATTCTATTAATTTGAATGTTATAGATATGATATATTATCTGTTAACTGTTAGTATATTGAACTGATATATTACTTTATTAATCATATCAATTAGGATTTGCAAAATAATCTTGGCCTGCTTTGAATCAAGAGATACCTGTAGTCTGTCCAGGGATTCAGTAACAAATATTGAGTTGCTAGAGGTCAAAAATGTGATAAAATTAAGATTATACAGCTTTCAAAAAAGAAATATGGACATCAGGTTGACTTTAGTTTAGTGATGTATACATCTATAACAGATCCTAGATTTTATTGAGTTATAATTTTGAATGTAAAGGTATTGTTTCGTTTGTAGGTAAGAAAGCTACATGGACCTGTGCCTGGAACAAAGCAAAATGTCAGTTCAGTGTAGGCAGTGAAAAGTGTGCTTTAGTGCTGAATGTAGAACGTAGAACAATGTGGGAATACAATACAAACAAAAGTGATCCACTCTCCCTGGCATTCTCAAATCATGTAAGTAGTAGTCATAAATAGATGCTGGTAGAGTGTCAATCTTGTATTCAGGAGATGGCAGGTTTGATACCCTGCTGAGTCATACCAAAGAGCATTACAAAAGTTGTACAGTCTGGTTCCTCACTTGCTTCTCAGCATCAAATACATGTAGTTGTAGTACTTGTCAACCATGTTTTTGAATACCGTACCTTAATTAGGTGGAATATTGTCAATAGTTAATTATGTGCTATTTTCAAATTTAAGTGAACAAGTCTATAATTGTTGACATTATGCTGACTCCTACATGTTTATACTATTGATTATATAAATATATATGTGTAAATGAAATACTACTGAGGAATGTTTTAAAGTCCAGTATAATACATTTGTATCTCATGCCTTAAATATAATGCATGTTAAATATGTCCTTTCTGCTTCTCAATTGTGAGTTATTATTTTGTGAAAAAAAAGCAATCAGGAGTTAACAGTACCTAGACATCGAAATGTTTTACTTTCTAAAAGGTTAAGTATTTTAAAAAATATCTTTTAACAGGCAGAGGTCCAGTTAAAATACTTTTTTTCCTGTCTGATTTACCAATACTGATTTGATTTCAAATACATTATTACATTGCAGCTCTTGGTTAAAATGTATGATATTCAAAACTGAACATTCAATGTATCTTATTTGACTCTGATAATGAATTCTATTAAACATTATTGTGAGAGTGAGAAGTTAGAAGATTTACATGAGAAGTTAGGAGATTTACATTTATTATCTTTGAATTTCAGTCAGGGAACAAACTACATGTAGGCACACGCAAGGGTCAAATATTGACATTTGACAGGAGAAGTACGTCAACCTTTCCAATTGTGACTTTAAACCATCATTCCAGTGTATGTAGTGTAAAAGAAATGGAAAATGACAACTTTCTGCTTGCCTCAGACTTCACAGGAAAGGTATAAAACTAGTGTTACTCCAGTATCTCTTTTAGTGTCAGTATATAAATAACACATGGTTTTGTAACAGTAAAAATATCATTCTGAGGAAAATACAGTTGCCCAAGGCGTTAGCGGAGGGTAACATATTTTAACAAGGAATGATATTTTCACTGTTATTTACTAACCCATTCGTTATTTATTTAATTACCCTGAACAATAACTGTAATGATTTTATCATACCCCCGCACAACAAAGTTGTAAGCGGGGTTTACTGGAATCAGCTTTGCCGTTGGGCGTCCGTCGGTTTTTCTTGTCCGCCCAATAACTTAAGATTCCTTTGACCCACAGTCTTCATATTTGGCATGGAGGTTAGTCATGATTAGTAGATGACCCCTATTGATTTTGAGGTCACCAGGTCAAAGGTCAAGGTCACAGGGGCCTTGACTTCAAAAAGCTTGTCCGCCCAATAACTTAAGATTCCTTTGACCCACAGTCTTCATTAGAAGATGACCCCTATTGATTTTGAGGTCACCAGGTCAAAGGTCAAGGTCACAGGGGCCTTGACTGCAAAAAGCTTGTCCGCCCGATAACTTAAGATTCCTTTGACCCACAGTCTTCATATTTGGCATGGAGGTTAGTCGTGATTAGTAAATGACACCTATTGATTTTGAGGTCACCAGGTCAAAGGTCAAGGTCACAGGGGCCTTGACTTCAAAAAGTTTGTCCGCCCAATAACTTAAGATTCCTTTGACCCACAGTCTTCATATTTGGCATGGAGGCTAGTCATGATTAGTAGATGACCCCTATTGATTTTGAGGTCACCAGGTCAAAGGTCAAGGTCACAGGGGTCTTGACTTCAAAAAGCTTGTCCGCCCAATTACTTAAGATTCCTTTGACCCACAGTCTTCATATTTGGCATGGAGGTTGATCATGACCATAAGGTGACCCTTATTGATTTTGAGGTCACTGGGTCAAAGGTCGACTAAAAAAAAGCTTTTCCCCTCAATTGCTTAAGAATGCCTGTCCGCAGTGTATTGATTTTGACATTTTCACATTTGAAGCATGTAGAATACATAACTTAGCAATGCACTGGCTAAGTTACCTCAGATTTGGCAGGAACGTTGTTCTTGAGCTCTAAATAGCCACTGTTATTTCTGACAAAGTGGTATGTGGGGGTATTCACGCCATGACAGTGGCAGTTCTAGTTTTCTTTAGAAAATAGACCATGTGACCAGATTTTATACTATTAAAAATACTATTACATTTGTACCCTGTAACAGTACAAATTACTTAGTAAGATGGTACACTTGCATTAACAGTATAAATAACTCCAAGTGGTCTATGGGAAATTAATATTACACAAAAAGTGAGGTGTAATGGATAGATCACTGACCTGTCTAATACTAATTATCAGATTAGTAGATACAAAAAGATTTTAACCAGAAAATATTTGTTAACAAAAGAGCACATGTCAATGTTTGTGGTTAAATTCATTGTTATTCAAATAAATGGTCAGAGTAGGGATCTATTAATAACTGTGACAGATGCTGACTTCATTTACTGCACTTTCATTAACTTGGATGTAATAAGTGTTAAGTTTAACTATGTCTGAAAAACAGTTTAAAGAAAAATCTTCATATTGAAAATTGATTCTTTGTGAAATTCTTATTCTGATTTAATTAAGCGGTAAAAGTGTGGTTATTTAGGATAAACAAAATGAGCGAATGATTTGATATTTTGCACAAATTTAGTCAATACTTTAAATGGTACAAAAATATTTTCTGTCCCTCCATGTTAAAATTAACCTCCTTGAAGTTCCTCTAATAGGCTTATTCCAGAATTAAGAATATTTTGGGTTTTTTCCCCAGCTAATCAGTAGGTATTAACAAACTTTTACAGTTACAGCTTCAAAAATAAGTGCAACAGGTTGACATATCTATTGTGACTGGTAATGCACCATGAAGCTAGAATGATAAAAGTTTGATTGAACCTTAAGATTATTTGTAAAAAAACCCACATTTGCCGAATTAAAGATATTATCTATTTATCTTTTGGTTATAATTATGTGAATACACATGTTGAAATTTGTAAAATCTAGTAGACATCAGAATAAACTTGTTACTGTATTAACCTTTTTGGTTAATTGGTTAATCTCAAGCAAAAGTTTCACCATATGAGTATGTCTTATTGAAGATAATGTTGAGAAGGCATCTACCCTGAAGTTAAACATATTCATTTTGTTTGGTATTTCAAAAACACAAATATGTTTTATGACAGGGAACTATGTACAAATATAAGTGAAAATAATTATTTGAAATAAAATACATTGAGATCAAGTTGTTAATGTTTTTGAAACATTGTTTACATTACATAAATATTTCTCTTCCTTTTTTACCAAAATTTTGCAGATTTGTTTATGGGATATTAGAATGAAAAAGATTTTGGTGCAATATTCAGGAAATATAAATCAGTATTCCAGACTTCCTTTGCATGTTGATGAACTGCAGAAAATAGTTTACACAGGTAAATATACATGTATAATTAATCAATTTTGTAAAAGTTAAACAAGTCTTGGTGATGAATACCCATAGACCTTGATCATTTGTGTAGGCTAATTATATAATTATTTCATGCTTTGCTTGTTATATCCCCAAAAACGAAGTTTGGGGGGGTATATAGGAGTCACCCGGTGGTCGGTCGGTCGAGACGTCCGTTGCATTTTCCTTGTCCGGAGCATTACTTGAAGACTAATGGTTGTAATTTAATATAACTACATACAATGGTCAAGCACATTGAGAGGAAGTGCAGTGCACAAGAACCATAACTCTATCTTGACTAATTACAGAGTTATTGCCCTTTGTTACTTTTCCTTGTCAGGGGCATAACTTGAAAACCACTGGTTGGAATTAAAAACAACTTCATACAATTGTCAAACACAATAAGGGGAAATGCAGTGCACAATAACCATAACTCTATCTAAAGTAATTACAGAGTTATTGCCCTTTGTTACTTTTCCAGTTCATTCTTTTGTGCGGACCATAACTTGAAGACTAATTGTTGGAATTCATTATAACTTCATACAATTGTCAAGCACATTGAGAGGAAGTGCAGTGCTCAAGAACCATAACTCCATCTTGACTTATTACAGAGTTACTGCCCTTTGTTACTTTTCCTTGTTCAGAGCATGACATGAAAACTACTGGTTGGAATTCAAAACAACTTCATACAATGGTCAAGCACAATGAGAGGAAGTGCAGTGCACAAGAACCACAACTCCATCTTGACTAATTACAGAGTATTTGCCCTTTGTTACTTTTCCATTGCTTTTTTGTCCGGAGCATAACTTGAAGACTAATGGTTGGAATTCAATATAACATCATACAATGGTCAAGCATATTGAGAGGAAGTGCAGTGCACATGAACCATAACTCAATCTTGACTAATGACAGAGTTATTGCCCTTTGTTACTTTTCCTTGTCTGGAGCATAACTTGAAAACTACTGTTTGGAATTCAATACAACTTCACACAGTTGTCAAGGACATTAAAAGGAAGTGCAGTGCACAAGAGCCATAACTCCATTTTGACAAAATACAGAGTTACTGCCCTTTGATACTTTTCCTTGTCCGGAGCATAACTTAAGAGGTAATGGTTGGAATTCAAAACAACTTCATACAATGGTCAAGCACAATAAGAGGAAATGCAGTGCACAAGAACTATAACTCCATCTTCAGTATTTATAGAGTTATTACACTTTGTTCCTTTTCCTTGTCTTTCTGGACTTATTACAGAGTAATACAATAAAACTTCATCAATGGCCAACCACATTGAAAGGAAATGCAACATACAAGAACCACAACTATCTTTAATTGCCCACAACCATAACTCTATTTTTCAATTCTTTTACAAGGTATTCTGTTACTAGTATCATCCTCATTTCCGAAGCAGTCTTGTGGGGGTATTAATCACATTTAGTGATAGTTCTAGTTAATTTAGTAATGAACACCATTGTCTCATTTCTTTGTTAGTTTATTCACAGATCAGAATTGTGGGTATTTTATGTTTTAGGTTCTTCATTAACACATTTTATTGAGAAAAAAAGAACTCACTTTTAGCCCTATCTAATAAGGTTTACAATTTTTCTTGACTTCAGTTGGTGAGGATGGATACACTAGGTTTTGGAGTTTAGATGAAGGGAAACAACTCTACACTATTCCTCCTCCGTGTTCTGTGTCAAGGGAGACAATTCCATGTGTCAAATTATCCAGTAGATGGGGAGACAGAGATGGAAATACAGGACTTATAATGGGACTGAAAAATAAACTCTATTTTTATGGAACATTACCATTGACCTGATCGAATGGAATGGGCTATTTATAGTTTATGGGTCGGGAAGATTAAGATAAAACTTAAACACTGCTTGAAACTTTGTTGGTGATAATTAATTTAATTAATAAATTTATTACAAGAATTCCATTAGTATGTTGGTAACCATATATACATACACATGTTTTTAGCTGTAAAAAAAATCAATACATGTGTGTTACACTGTGATAAATTAAAATGGAATGATACAAATGTTCTGTATGATTAAAAAAAGATTAATATAGAATTTGTTGAAATAAGAAATATTGAGTTTGTTGTTTCAGTCAGTGTTCATAATTTTTGCTTTTCTTAAAGGAGTTTGTTCCACAGAGGACCAAAATCTAAAATTATTGCATAGATCAACTGGGGCATAGAAAACTATACTTGGAGTACTTTAAGATAATACAGAAATAAAGCAAAAGATTGTAGATCATTTTTAGCTCGGCTTTTTTGCTATACTTGTAACTTGGTACTTAATAGATTATCATCATACTTGGACAAAACAACCTTTTGGACAAGACCTTTTATAAGGTTGAAATGACTTTGACCTTGAGTGTTAAATGACCTTGACCATCAAGTTCAAATGATTGAATTTTGGTTAAATTAAATTCAATTAATGAAAATTTCTTATTTTATTGTGTAACTATCGAGTCTATTTAACAAAATGCTCTTGTTCTTTTTCTGTAACTGGCTATGCCTTTGTTAATTATGAATGAATTAAGTTCATTTCCAGACACAACATTTTTTAGGATATGAGCTTTATGTATATTAAACTCATATTGACCTTGGTTCATTGACCTTATTGAATTTTCTCAGATATTTGCTTAAATTGACTGTAACTTTATAATTAATAAATGGATTATCTTCATATTTAGACAAAACAACCTTTTGGACAAGTCCTTCTTTTAGGTTGAACTTACCTTGAGCTTTAAATGACCTTGAAGTCAAGGTCAAATTATTGAATTTTGGTTAAATTGTCATAAATTTTGTTATTTTTGTACGGATTTGATTTATATTTGGACAAAACAAGACTTTCTACTAAACAAACATGAATAAAACTTTAATAATTCCAATGTGATCTTGACCTTTAATTGACCTTGATAAATTAATGAATTTTCTTATTTTATCCTGTAACTATAAAATTAGGACCATGAGTTTTAGATGTAAAATTGAACTTCGATATCAGTTATCCTAGATTTTGCTATGTACAGCTATGAAATCTTGACCATGTGCACACTTTCAGATGTAATATTGAACTTTGTTATCAGGTAATCTAGATTTTGACCTAGTAACATAATTTTCTTTTTAAAGATTTATCTTAACATTTTATTTGATTGCATTTGGCAAAAATTAAAAAAGTGGAGCGTTGCCCCCCCCCCCCCCCCCCCCCCCCCCTCCCTGCCCGGCGGTGGCTCATTTTTATGTAAATATTAAACTTGTTGAAGTAAAACTGTTTAAATACTTTTACAATTCAATGATTATTCAGGAAAAAGGAATGATTTGAAATTTTGCTTCAAATGGTACACAAATCTGAAAAAATCCAGTCCTGTCATCACAAGAAACCCTGGTGGAGTCCCATTAAACCTTGCCACAACTTTCCACAATTTATAAATTTTGTCTTCCTAAAATTTACTTTAATATTAGCCTTCATATTGATCTTCCCTTTTATTGAAGCCAAACTGAAATGATTTGTCTGTGACTAATTATCCCCCGTCGATGGAATCGGGAGGGGGATATAGTTTTGGCGTTGTCCGTCCGTCCATCCGTCCGAATTTCGTTTCCGGAGTAGTTCTCTGCAACTACTGGCTGGAATTCAACGAAACTTTATGGGAATCATCAATATCAAGAGGAGATGCGCATATCGTCGGCTTGTTCCGGTCAGACACTTAAACTCAGAGTTATGGCCCTTGATTAGTTATGTAGTATGCATATAGAGTAAAAATTGTTTCCGGAGTAGTTCTCTGCAACTACTGGCTGGAATTCAACGAAACTTTATGGGAATCATCAGTATCAAGAGGAGATGCGCATATCGTCGGCTTGTTCCGGTCAGACACTTAAACTCAGAGTTATGGCCCTTGATTAGTTATGTAGTATGCATATAGAGTAAAAATCGTTTCCGCACTACTTCTCTGCAACTACTGGCTGGAATTCAACGAAACTTTATGGGAATCATCAATACCAAGAGGAGATGCGCATATCGTCGGCTTGTTCCGGTCAGACACTTTAACTCGGAGTTATGGCCCTTGATTAGTTATGCAATATGCATATGGAGTAAAAATTGTTTCCGGAGTAGTTCTCTGCAACTACTGGCTGGAATTCAACGAAACTTTATGGGAACCTTCAATACCAAGAGGAGATGCGCATATCGTCGGCTTGTTTGGGTCAGACACTTTAACTCAGAGTTATGGCCCTTGATTAGGTATGCAATATGCATATGGAATAAAAATTGTTTCCGGAGTAGTTCTCTGCAACTACTGGCTGGAATTCAACGAAACTTTATGGGAATCATCAATATCAAGAGGAGATGCGCATATCGTCGGGTTGTTCCGGTCAGACACTTAAACTCAGAGTTATGGCCCTTGATTAGTTATGTAGTATGCATATAGAGTAAAAATTGTTTCCTGAGTAGTTCTCTGCAACTACTGGCTGGAATTCAACGAAACCTTATGGGAATCATCAATATCAAGAGGAGATGCGCATATCGTCGGCTTGTTCCGGTCAGACACTTTAACTCAGATTTATGGCCCTTGATTAGTTATGTAGTATGCATATAGAGTAAAAATCGTTTCCGCACTACTTCTCTGCAACTACTGGCTGGAATTCAACGGAACTTTATGGGAACCTTCAATACCAAGAGGAGATGCGCATATCGTCGGCTTGTTCAGGTCAGACACTTTAACTCAGAGTTATGGCCCTTGATTAGTTATGCAGTATCCATATAGAAAAATATTTGTTTCCTTGCTACTTCTCTGCTACTACTGGCTGGAATTCAATGAAACTTTATGGGATACTAAGAGGAGATATGCATATAGTCGCCTTGTTCCAGTCAGATACTTATAACTCAGATTTATGGCCCTTGATTAATTATGTAGTATGCATACATCTCATTGGCATTTCCAGATTTTTCTATTTAACACAAAGTTATGGCTCTGTTATTGCCCTGAATATTTATCAAGTTCAAAGAATATTACTGTTTATGCCATGATTAATATATAAATAAAGCCTTATGTCTTCAGTTGTTGTGTTAATAATAACCAGTACTCGGCGGGGGATATAAATTCAACGAATTTGCTTGTTATATAAAGCTGCTGTTGGGGCATGGCGACTTTCCATTTTTAATTGGCCGAAGAAAATTCTTGAATGTTCCTCCGTGAATAGACTTTGGACAGAACCGTTACTAGCGCGAACCTTCCGCGCGACAGCAGGACTCGACTTAGCTGTACACCATAATAGAGTAATTGAAGTGCCGCGTTTTTAGCTCACCTTGCACAAAGTGCAGGTGAGCTTTTAGGATGGCCAACCAAATGGCGTCCGTCGTCCGTCCACATTTTAAATATTCAAAGGACATCTTCTATGATACCGCAAGGCCAATGTTAATGAAACTTGGCAGGAATACTCTTTGTATGAAGCTCTATCAAGATTGTTCAAAGAATTCCATTTCATGCAGAACTCTGGTTGCCATGGCAACCGAAAGAAAAATCTTTAAATATCTTCTAATGAGTGTCTACCAAGTTTGTTCAAATAAAAGCCCTGAGGTCAAAATTGGCCCTGCCCAAGGGGGTCATAGATTTTCCCTATATGCATATAGTAAAAACTTAAAAAATTTTCTTTTAAAGAACCCAAAGAGCTAGAGCTAAGATATTTGACATGAAATATCTTCTAGTGAGTGTCTACCAAGTTTGTTCAAATAAAAGCCCTGGGGTCAAAATTGGCCCCGCCCCGGGGGGTCATTGATTTTCCCTATATGCATATAGTAAAAACTTAAAAAATCTTCTTTTAAAGAACCATAAGAGCTAGAGCTTAGATATTTGACATGAAACATCTTCTATTGAATGTCTACCAAGTTTGTTCAAATAAAAGCCCTGGGGTCAAAATTGGCCCTGTCCCAGGGGGTCATAGATTTTCCCTATATGCATATAGTAAAAACTTAAAAAAATCTTCTTTTAAAGAACCTAAAGAGCTAGAGCTAAGATATTTAGCATGAAACATCTTCTAATGAGTGTCTACCAAGTTTGTTCAAATAAAAGCCCTGGGGTCAAAATTGGCCCCGCCCCAGGGGGTCATTGATTTACCCTATATGCATATAGTAAAAACTTAAAAAATCTTCTTTTAAAGAACTCAAAGAGCTAGAGCTAAGATATTTAGCATGAAACATGTTCTAATGGGTGTCTACCAAGTATGTTCAAATAAAAGCCCTGGGGTCAAAACTGGCCCGCCCCGGGGGTCATTGATTTTCCTTATATGTGTATAGCAAAAACTTAAAAATCTTCTTTGAAAAAACCCAAATAGCTTGACTTTAGATATTATACATGAAACATTTTCAAGTAAATATCTACAAAGTTTGTTCAAATAAAAGCCCCGGGGTCAAAACTGGCCCTGCCCCAGGGGTGTCATTGTTTTTAACTATATGTGTATAGTAAAAACTTAAAAAATCTTCTTTTAAAAAACCCAATGAGCTAGAACTTAGATGTTTAGCATGAAACATCTTCTTATGGGTGTCTACCAAGTCTGTTCAAATAAAAGCCCTTGGGTAAAAATTGGACCGGGGGGGGGGGCTATATACAGGTGAGCGACCTCAGGGCCATCATGGCCCTCTTGTTTGGAAAATGGAGTCTTGGAGGACAGTTATATCACTGAAATACCTATTTCCATGAAAAAAAATGGAAATAAGAGTATACAGCCGTGTTTACCTCTATTCTAAATACGAGTTTCCCTTCTTAATTAAACACAAATACTGTATGAAATATTCAAAACTTAGAGAAGTTTAATAGAAAAAGTTCGCTGTAGACGAAACGCAAGATGATTATGTTGACATTGATGAATTTAACTTCCATAAAATTTACAACCATGGAAGTATTTTCATTTTAATTATACCGGTACTTTAAATGAAGTACATCGAAGATTTTACAAGTATTCATACATCGATAAGGTTACGGTGACTGCAACGTTTCATTCTTTTATTCGCAATTTGTTTCCCTGCAACAAGGCACGTGCGGACTTTAAAAAGCATCAACAGCAAAAACAGATAAATCTATAAAATGTCCAAATTTATTCCCCGTATTCTAATTCAACATTAAACAGACGCGTATATTGACGAGTAATGGCAAGCTAGTTGATTAATATACCTCTATCTTCATGAAATATTTACAAGATTCATTTATGATCATTTTATTTCTTCTGTTTCTTTATTCTTTTACTCTTAATTCTTAGTATCCGCTATTATTTAGAAATAAATCGAAAATTGAAAGTAGTTTAAGCGACGCAATATCTTCGATTCTTAGTTGTTGTTTTTTGTTTTGTTTGTTGCAAACACAGCCTAAATCGAAACTTTCCTTAAAGTCAAATGTATTACAATTGGAAATTCATTTTGAATTAACTACATGCTAATTGTTATTACATGATCGTTCTCTCTTTTTTATACATGACAAGTAAATGGAAAGGATGTATGGTTAGGGAATGTGTTGCGTATTTTTAAATTACGACGTAAAAATAATTTTGGGTTGCTTAACATCCCATCGGAAATTAGAACAAGTGACTTTCTAATTCGTACATGAATGTAAAATGTTGCATTTTGACTCACCGGCAGGTGGTTGTTTATTAATATACACCTTATTATGGATATATCGCATGTATATTAAAGTTGTCATAGTGAAATATCAATATTAATTAAACCTGGTTATATATCATACGAGAAGAATTTCTCATTATTACGTGCTATTATTAGAAAAAAATAAAACATGTATCGTCAAAATATGTAAATGAGAATGTATTCCATCGGCGTGGAGACTAAAACTGTGCTCTGTTATAATCATGATAGCAAACAGGAAAATCTTTGTGGTTCTTCTTACATGGATTTTCTGTAATATTTCCGTGCTCAACTGCCAAGAAATAGACAAGCCTCGAGGGCGTAAGTTTGATTTTTTTTCCTCTATGATTTAAAAAAATATATATATGGGACAGAAATGTAGGAACATTAATCATTACTTGTTTGAGAAAAAGTTTGGTGTTTGAAAATGCTCATTTTAAAAACAAGTGCGAGAATTATGATTTCATATCAATAGAAGTTCATTGTCGTCTGTTAAAGTTTACCAAAGTGGTCATAGATACTTGTATTTCATTTGGACAGTGGACTTGTTTAAAGCATACTACGCTCATCTTTGAGTACAATATTTTCATTGCAGAAATATATTGAAATCTATAAAATTCTAACTGAATATGTTTATTTAAAACCAAAAGAACGTACAAACTATGTATGGGAATCTGCGTCCTTAATACGGGTCAAGTAAAGCTGATCCTTTCTTTAAAAAATCAAAGCACAGAAGGCGCTGAATTTGTTTGGGTCTCAGAATGTCAGGTTGAAGGTGAAGGTTGTGAGATAATAAACCAATTTGTTTTTGTATAGTGCCACCAATGCTTTCAGTGTTTTAATGTAGTAAATTGGCTATAAGACTAATTGCAACACTGATATTCAATTCAATGTTTACTTGACTTAATTTTAAACAAAAATGAGTTCCCTTAAGTGGGATTTGAACTCCAGACCTCTCGATTCCTAAGCGAGCGTGCAAACCCCTCGGCCACGGTGAAGTTCTGTGTTAACAGTCTGAAGAAAACCATACTATTCTAAATTAGGGTTTGTAACTTATTATTTCGACGCTAAACCTGTTGTTTATCAAAGATGTAAATAATCATGGAGCCTACTATAAGCACGTATATCTATAAAGAATAAAACAATATTAGAAATATTCGACCATTCGGGAACTATTTTGCTTGAAGATTAATGCGCCTGTCATTTGACAATCTTTACGCAGTGATCTCCCCTGAATTTTTCGGCGTTAGTGTACATATAAAGGGAAGTAACCGCTTCAAAAAAGCGGACTACTTTCGGCATTTGCAATTAACAGCATCAGGGTCTGAAATTTCGCTACCATTATTTGTTTGGTCTGACGACCCAAACAAATAAAAACGTCGGTGGTTCTACTGATCAGGTGCCCGTTCGTGTCTGAAATAATGCACGGAAGGGCACCTGAGGTCTTCCTCCACCAGTAAAGCTGGAACGTCGCGATATGACCTATACTGTGTCGATGTGAAAAATAAAACCCAAAACAAACAAAAAATTTAAAAAAACTGCTAGATTTTTTAATGACTATATTATATTCATAGTGTCCACTTACAGTGTGTGGGATTTAGAGCATAAAACATATCGACTTTGTATGAAGTCAAAACATGTTTAATTTATATTTTCAAAAAGACTGTGTAGCAATTATCAATACTCCAAATATCAAATTTGAGATATTCTTTTAATTTCTTAACAAATCTGCCATTGAATACGACGGAAATCGACATTAATTCAGCTTGTTTACTTTTTCCAAAATTTGGAAATATTAAAAGACCGCATTTGAACGTTAAATTCACGATGTTCTTAAAAACAGACAACTGAACTAGACTAACTTGGCTTTTATTTGTGAGTCACTGTCTTTTCAAAATAATAAAAAAAAACTGGGTGTGACGTCACGTCATTTTCTCGCGTCCTTAGGATGATTTCCAGAAAATTTATTTCAAGGGAAAAAAGGTGGTATTTAAAAAAATCACATATACAAAACAGTGAATATACTCATTATTGACCTGTTTTTGTTGCAAAAAGTTAGTTCTTAGCCAATTGGAGAAATGCATTTCAAAGCTAATAATTAACGTATATATTGCAGGTTACTAGTTTATATGCAGACAACAGTTTATATAGGGCTATATAACCTGTCAAAAACGCTATAGCTAATAATATATGTGTGGAGTAATTTTTTACCCTGACGAGTCTCATAAGCTCAAGACATGGAGGATATTGAATGAGTGTAAGTTCAATACTGAATTTATTGCACGAGTTGAATAAAATTATATTATGCGAGCCTCTGGCGAGCATAATATTATTTTATCCAACGAGTGCCATAAATTCAGTAATGAACTTACACGAATTTAATATTCCATTTATCACATACCCAAAATAAAGACCGTTTAAAGTGAAATAAGAGTCATTTTTCATTGACGCGCCTATAGTATAACGGTAACATTTAGCGCGTCTTTACACTATGTTCGTATAACGCTAATGACGTCACGTCAAAATATATGCACGGCCGTGCAATACCATATTTACGGAGTCGCGAAATCGGCACGGGTGTGTGATAAATATGAAATAGTTAATTATAGTCGAAACTAGTATGCCATTGATAATAATTGCCCGAGATAATTAAATTCCTCTCACGTTGTAAATTGTTAGCTTTTTTATTTTGTCCTTTAGCTTGGCAGCTCGCATTTAAGGTTGTCAGTGGTAACTGGGACCCTGCAGTGACTGGACATACAAGTTTCTGGGCACTGTTCGATTCAACTGATACATACAACACGGCAAGTCCCGTGTCGGACCAACGTGATTTTACCACGACCAGTGATCACTATAAGTCCGAACTCGTGCAACAGTGGGAGGATGGCTACATCAGTGTACAAGCGGTATTGTCATCCACATTATTACATATGTATATCCTTCAAAAATGGTTTGAATATGATAACATGATTGTAATTTAGTAAAAAAAAAAATCAAAATGGCAAACATGTTAAATGTGATAAACTATTACAATTGTGATGAAATAATTACAATGTGATGAAATATTTACAATGTGATGAAATGATTCCAATGTGGTTAGATAATACAAAAGTAGCAATTACGTTACAATATTGGAAAATCATTTGAAACTGGTGTTTATAATAGTACATATGAATGTAGTGCGGTAAAACTTATGACATTTTGAGAAAATAATCACAGTGTTTTAAAATGACAAAAATTAAGGAAAATGATTAGAATGTGTAATTTTATTATAACGTGGTACTTAGAACCAGGGACTAAGTGAAACACATAAATGTACACGTCAAAGTCGACAAATGTATTGAAATAATGACATTTCTATAATTATACAATTTAGAATTTAGTTTACTTTCATAATATCGACTTTCATCAAAATCACTTTCATTTCAAATCAAAAGCAAACAAATCTGAATATTGTAAATATTATTTTCATCATTTTAGATTAAATTGTCACTGTTCAAGAACAACGAAGAAAAAGCTTACGTCGTGTTTGATGCGATAGGAAAGACGAAGACGACTTGGTTTAAATGTGATAATATTTTATATTCTTCCTATACCGATCTGCCGGACAACACGTTACCATCAGAATGTCCCGGGAAGTGAGTATAGTAAATTGATACAACACAATGAACCTGTTTTATATAAGATATTTGGCATCAAAACAACACCTATCCCCTTTAAATCAAGATTGACAAGCAAGTCTTGTTTTGCAAAACCAGTGGAAGTAAAATGAAAATTCCAAATGTGGTAAATGTACGAATCTACTAAATTGTTTTAGACATGCAATCATTATCATTAGCTGATATATTTTTTTTCTTTTTCTAACTTTGTTCTTAACAGTTTTAAAAATATATTTGTAAAGCGGTTAAATATTTGACAGACTCGTCTGTCATTGGTGGTAAAAATCGGCGTTTATCTGTTTTTTACAAGAAAACGATATGGCAGTTTCTGCCAAATATTTTCTCAGTATATGCCATCTTTAACAACTAACTAATCAGCCGTCTTTGACAATGTGAACTAATCAGCCATCTTTGACAATGAACTAATCAGCCATCTTTGACAATGTGAACTAATCAGCCATCTTTGACATTGTGAACTAATCAGCCGTCTTTGACATTGTGAACTAATCAGCCATCTTTGACAATGAACTAATCAGCCATCTTTGACAATGAACTGGTCAGCCATCTTTGACAATGAACTTATCAGCAGTCTCTAACAATGAACTAACTAGCCATCTTTGACAATGAACTAACCATTTATATTTGTCAATGAACTAATCAGCCATCTTTGACAATTTACTAAACAGTCGTCTGTGAAAATGAACTACTAGTAATCAGCCGTGTTTGTCGATGAATTTATTAGCCATCTTTGACAATGAACATTTCATGTGTAAATTCATTAATTTCAGGAACGCTATGGGTTTGCCATTAACTATGATGAAGCTGTCATATTTCTTTGCGTACTGTCCGGACACAACCGGCTGGCTGGTTGTAGCAGATGCTGACTTCTCATTCTCACTGTGTCCGAACTACATGCCAGCCGACGGTAGCGAGCCCAAGCCTTATTTTAAATACTCAACACTTACAACTGTTGGTGACCTTTCAACTGGTACGTATGATTATAGTTTTTTATTCAAACTTTTCTTTTAAAGTTTATGAATTTTCCATTTTGGGAATAGTTGAAATTCTAAATGGTCAAAGCCGAAATGCAGCCAAACAATACATAAATTGATGTAAACTTGCAAAAGAAAGTGTGAACTTGTTTACTGGGACATTTTTATACTTATTTAAAGGCACATTATGCCTCAGAAATGTTTTTCTTCTTCTTTCTTTAGAAAAGACAAACATGCGTTTATAATGATAAAATAATGGTTTTCGGGCTTATTACGGTAAACGTGACATTATTTGTCATAAAAGTAGCAAAATGTAAACAAAGTAGTAAAATGCACACTTTCTTTTGCAAAGAGTAAAGCTTCTTTTCGAATTACATACAGTATATAAACCTACTTTAAGTAAATAATATTTCTGTCGCACCTTCCATTTCTTACCTCGATGAGGTCTATGATTGAAGAAGAACATAAAATTCTAGTGGCATACGTAAAATAATCGTTTTATCATATGGTTTATGGTTAGTCTCCTAAAATATCTTTATGATCAGTGCGAGGTTTTTTTTTGAAACTTTACACTATTTTTGTTTCTTTCTTTTTTCAGAACTTGAGACGGCTGACAGTATAGGAATATTTTTTCAAGGTGTGATTTTAAAATTAATTTGACAGAGAAAATTTCATGACAAAATAACACCTTTATATGAGAATATTATCAATTAAATCTATTTTTATGGCTTTTTGAGAAAGACAACTTTGTAAAAATACTGTAATCGAATGTATTTGCCCTTGAATCTATTTTGCAAAGGTAAGTTACGGATATTGCCTACTTTTCTGGTTGTTTCTATACTAAAACAATGTTCATAACGTTTTGATTGTTTAACTACTTCAATTTTGATGTTTTTTAATCATTTCTTGGCATTGCTTTTTTGGTTCATACACGTGTGACTCTCCGTTATATCTCATTAACAGTCAGGCTCAATTAAACAAAGTTTGCGGTTTTCAACTTTTTTTTTCTTGAAAGCTCACAAGAGATCTCCCATTTCCAAAATTTTAGCAATTACCAGCTTTATCTTTGATCTATTGTTAACTCCTTACTGTGATAATATATAATATACATTTTAGATTGAATCTGACTGGCATCATATTTTCGTGTTTCCGTGAGCTCATTGCTTAGTACTGGTTGGTTCCACGAACAGATTCCAGAGTGTTTCAATAAGCCTATAGCTTCCAACACAATCGAAGTAAAGTAAATATGTATAGTTAAACTAAACTAAATTGACTATTTCCTTTATGTTATAATATGTTTCTATAACTCCTTTATGCTATAATATGTTTCTTTTATATTTTCCTCCAACAGTATGGGACATGGCCTTTAAAGGTGTAGAAGGAATCAAACCGTCTGCCATTGGTCTAAATAATCTCACAGGCCTATTTATGTTGGACATCACCGAGAACGACAACTCTGACCTGACTGTCAGGAATCTTCAACATACGCAATCATCACAGATCTTCAAATCTGACGTCATTAATCTCTGGGACTATTATTTCATAGATACGGTACTAAATTGATGAGCTATCAATATACATACCTATTTACACAAAACTTAAAGGAGCTTCACTGAGGTCAAAAACCTTAATAATAAAATTTGAATTTTTTTTACAAAGGTCAAGTGAAGCACTTACCATGGAAATATCTGAAAAGGATAATAAAGAAATATGCTCAGTCATTTTGCACAGTTAAAATGATTATTCTGGAAAATCTGGGTGATGGATGATCTGAAAATTTACATACAAGTCATTAGTTCTGACTAACTTGAAATGGTTTACAAATGTCAGAATATATTTCCAGACCCGTCATGTCAGTGGAGTGCCCCTTTAAGTAATGCATCTTTAATTTGGCATTTATCGGAGTTTAATGAAATACAATGCGAAGCATATTTTATGCTTCAGCATCATCCATTGTTGAAAAAAGTCAGTTAACATTTACATCAACTCCACCTGATTTAAAATATTTATAAAATAACTTTCTTTTCATCTTGTTGAGGGAATCTAATTTTTCTCAGAAAGTGTTTTGTAACATGTTGCATCACGATAGTTCAGTTACAATGGCTCATTTTTTCCTTATGATAGATATTTTTGCTTGATGGCTAGGTGAATATCTTTAAATATCCGAATGGATTAATCATCAAACTCTGATAAAAAATTTCATTTCAATTATTCTACAAAGTAAAAATACATTTACAAATAGTCTGCACGCAATTATTAAATTTTGTTACCGCTTCTTTTCAGGTAAAATTTTCTATGTTAAAGAGTGGAATAGAAGAGGCCTACGTGGTATTCGACGGTACAAACAGTGACAAACTTTCCTGGTTTACTGATTCTAATATTCTGTACAGTAGTTATGGTAGCTCGTTGGATAGTTCATCGTTAGAAATATGCTCTATAGAAGGGTAAGTGTATTACACAACAAGTTAAGAAGCAGTCAGTTAACTCTGAACACAAAAGTGTTTAGCATATGTCACAGGGTCAGAAAAAAGTGCAGCCTGACCGAGACTCGAACCCGGGACTCTTGATATATCGTTACGCTGCTATACCGATTCAGCTATCCGACCGCTTAATTATCCTCTCCGCTAAATAGTGCCATGACATACTTCGCCTGCTCTTGAAATTCATCCTCGATTTTTTCTGTATTAATACAGTTACGGTCCCTCGTTGAGCGCCAAATGTAACATTTTTCCCGTTAAATAGGCTGCACATTTTTCTTCCCTAAATAGTGCCATGATATGTTGCAAACTCTGTTTATGGTTATAGATGTCGCGCTAAATTTTAAAAAGCAATGTTAAATAAAATCTCATCAGCTCTTGAAATTTATACAGGGTACCCTTAAAAGATATATGTAATGAATAATGAATGTAATAATGAATTACATAAGTAACCGCTAATAGCTGTTATTTGCATACGATTTAGCATGTGGCGGATGAATTTATACACAATTTGTATTAACTATACACTCATAATCGAACATAGACGTAGCATGTGTTATAATTTAACAAGGGAAAACATAACCTTACATTGAAAATGGAATTATTTTACAGGGACTCGTACCGGAACTGGCAGATACAGAGTTTAGCGGATGATGTAGGATGTTCTGAGACGGAACAAATGGGATGGATGCTAGTGAAAGAGCCAAAGAACAATGGCACGTGCAGCTGGGATACTAGCACAATAAAAAAGAAACCTTACTTTCTTTACAACACGGGTACCTCCGCTGCTAGCCCATGTATGTACTTGACTAACTAATGTAAAGTTTGTTTTAAAAGCTTTATCTTTATGGTCAGTTTGTAAAGCACTAAAGAACAGATCCGAAAATTGTGAGTTCTACCCCCGCAACTTAAGCTAAACTAAACTATTATCCGGTTATCAACCTTATTTACATTGAAAATTTCCTCGTTTTCTCTCTCAATACGTTACAAGCAGCTTATTATATTTCTGACCCAGGTCCCTAATTTTGTAGCTTAAAATAGGAAGCAAACGTCAGTCAATGTCATAAAATAATAACAAGCGTATCATTTTATACAAACGAAGATGAATTTTAAGGTTGTTTTTTTTGGCGGCAAGTAATGCATTAGCAATCGTGACAAACTGTACTAAAAGTAATCATTATATATCACACGTGAATGGTCATTCACTTGCCTTTGCAATGATTGTATAATTACAATTACAACAATTACATCTGAATAATTCACTATTAATGATATTGATTACATGTGGTGGGCTACTTTTTATATTCTTTCGCATGATGTTAATTAACAATAATATTAACAAATAAATGTACATGTAGTATCTATATGTGAACAGGAAAATAGTTACGTTGTAAAATGTGTGAAGACTTACATAAACCTGCAGTAAAATGTTAAAACTTAATTCAGATTTATCATAAAAAAAGAAACGAAAACAAAAACGAAAAAAGTAAAAAAAAGAAAGAAAACTCTAGTTACAATGTCGCTACACATTATTTCATGCAAATGCGAGAGAGACACACTATACATTATTTGTAGTCATAATGCATGTAGAATAAAAATAATGTCCAACTCCTTTCATTGTTTTCTTTTCAGTCTAATTTTAGTTTAATACTTATAGTAAATGACAACAATTTAAATGATAAAAGTTGTAATAAACAAACATATATACATTATTATATAAATGTTTTTTATTTTCAGCTACATTCCAGTATGCTGATGTTATAGCCGTGTTTGTTCATGGTACGTTCTCTTTTTCTGAAACACCTTGGCAGTTATATTCTCGTACTTTATAATTTCACACATCGCAGTTCAAGAAATCTTAATATGAAAGTCCATGGCAGGTTCCTCATTACGCATGCTTATATATATTCTAGCTCTTGCTTGATACTTTATTTTGAGGTCATGTGTTTGCATGTGGTACATACCTAATATGAATTTAAACTGTTGATCCATAGATCTCATAAAGATTAGTCGCGCGTAGAAAACTTACACAGTAGCCATTTTTTAATAAAAAGTATTGACACGATTGTATGTATGTATGTATGTACGTACGTACGTACGTACGTACGTGCGTACGTATACATGTAAAACAAACCTTTTAAAGATTAAAATATATTAGTAATATATATTGACTTATTATCAAGGATGGCGAATGGTTCTGAAGGTATCAGCTGGCGGAAGTTTGGCACCAAAGTCAAGCATCTTCTCCCTCTGGTCGGATAATGGTGGCATGAATGAAAACGCGGACTTGGGTTCCATGACAACGTTCAAATCATCAATTATTGATCAGTGGACCTCATTCTATATTAGAGCGGTATATTTACATGATGTTCATAAATTAAGAATTATTTGTTTGACAAAAAATAAAATTCTTGACTTGCATTGAAACGAATGTGTGAAAACCCATATGCCTAAATATGCAACTTAATTGTGCTAAAAGTCATACTAAGATTCAGTATCGGACAGCAATATTTATGTTGAATTCTGAAATCGTATCGAGGCTTCTTATATATGTAATAACATTATGTCACGGGTTTCTTGTATATGTCATAACATAGTCAACCGATGGCTTTGTTCAATCTGGTATTTTCAGAAATATGATCACTTTATCAAAACTTTTATTACCTTGATCATATTTGTTCAAAGAAACATTGGCTTCAGCTAAAAGTTTGACTTACACGCATATTTTGTCAATCTTAAATAATGTGTTGCTAAACATCAAGTGAAATAATACTGTTCATACGGAGTATAATTTGTTAAAATTGAAAATAAATATTAGAGAGGCCTTTATTTATTTAATTGCAGGTTAAAGTAGCAGCATACAAAGATGGCCTAGAAGTATTTAACGCTGTATTTGACGCAACCGGAAGTAGCAATACAAACTGGTTTGATTGTTCCCGTTTACTGTATACCACGGTGTCTGGTCTAACAAGCACCACAGCTAATACAAATTCATACACGTGTAGTCTTCAAGGGTAAGTTGCTCTACATATATAATTTAGATCTTTACTTTGGAGCGTGCGCTGTGGCCTTGTTCGAGTTAATAATGTCATATACTTAATTCTCTTACCTTTCGTCATTTTGTGTTCACATAGTAACAGAGACGTTGAGTTTTCTTTGATACGGTTTGCCATCTAGTTTACTGATGAAAGATGGTTCTATCAATGTACCCAGTCTTGCCTGAAATAAATAAATAATGAATGATTATCTGAGGTCTTCCTCCACGATAAAAATATAATGATTACTTGGAAATCGAAACGTCATTCTAAATTCTCAAAGAATAAATTTACATTTTAGTGATTCGTCAACATTTCGATTTTTCTTGGGAAAGTCCCCGGATTGTGGGTCGGTCTCAGCTACAGGGATGTTCTGGGTGGTTGATGCTGACAGCGCATGCTCATCACGCAATGATCTCCCTCAGTTCCTATACTCCAACACAATGGGTACAACAATATCAGGTATATGACTAGAGTGTCGATAGTCTGAAAAAAATGTCTTTCGTAAATAAATTAATTCGTTTTTTTCATAAACTATCTTAAGAAAACAGTTGCAACAGTTTTCTGCTTTTTTATATATTCTTTTTGTAACCAGAGGCAAATACCCGGTCTGTTTAAACAAGTTTATTTCCGAGGCAACGTTCATTTTCGTCCAAATTGTTTGACTGATTGTCAATATTAACTACCAAAAAATAAATTCTTTATTTGTTAGTAAGATATCCATATTTCTATTGCAGATGTGACAGAATTACATCTAGCCGACACATTTGCAATATTTGTTGGTAAGCAATTGCTGTGTTAATTAAACAAAGGCATGTAAATTCATCTATAATGGAAGGTCAATTAATACCATAAAACCATTAATAGTACGTTTCTATACCTATATCTATACCTAATATCTGCCGATTTAGATTTGAGTTTCTTCTCTTGACCGTCTTGTTGTTCTGGTTTGTCACAAATGCACTCTGAAATACAATATAATATCTTACTGTATATTGCAGATATGGCAAATTGTTATAGCGACACGTGCCTCAACGGAGCAACTTGTCAAGACCTTGGCGGAAACTTCCGGTGTTTCTGTACCGGAAATTATTTTGGAGAAACATGCGCAAACTGTACGTCACATTGGTTTTGTAGCTAAAATGTTACTGTACCCATTACGATATTATTATGGTTTATTCATGTGAATTGCAATTGTCATTTCTTTAAAGTACTTATAAAATACTTCAATAAAATGTATTCTTTCATATAAAGTTTATTTGAGAAATAAAAAAAAAAACGTATTGAAACTATCATACTTTGACCTATTTCTACCTGCTCTGTAACTTGAAAAACAATGGCTACTTTACAATTATATTATGATTATTAGAGAATCTTCATATATTTGAAGCGTACTGGAAATGGAAAAAAGACACACGTTTTGTGTTTATTCATATTATGTTACTTTTAATAAATATCTTGTTTTATTTAGTGAATGGTACATTTGGAGAATGGAGCACGTGGAGTGAATGTAGTGTCACGTGTGCTGACGGCATTCAGAACAGAAACAGAACATGTATAGGAGCGGAGGGAGTTGGCACCTGTGCTGGCGAGAGTCTAGAGACCAAGAATTGTACCCTAGACCCCTGTCCGAGTAGGAACATTAAATCACCATCTAGATATAATACAATTTTGGGCACAATGTCTTTGGATTTCTCACTTTTATATTGTTTTTCCCACCCTGTCTTCTTATTTTCCTTCATATGCTTGTATCACAGCTGCTTTGATATTTTGCTTTTGCATTTCATGTATACTTTTCAGTAATATTTTCAGAACTATGTCGTTTTGTTCTAAGCTTGCCAAACCAAACTTGTTGAGAATGCATGTGATTAAAAAAACTTCTAAAGAAATATGTACTTTACAGAAACACCCAATAAGCATGACTTCATTAGTCTGCAGCGTTCTTAAAGACAAAATTTAAGGCAATTAGATATTTTCTTCATCATCCTCATTCATACTTTTAAAAGTTTATTTTACGGAAATAACGTAGAATTTTGTTTTAAATGATATTTTGAATTAAATGAACATATATGTTTTAAAGGAAGATACTTATTAGAAGTTCATGAATTAATTATTTCCTAAGCATCACTTTACAGAAAGGAGCTAAATGTAGTGTTACAATTGTGGTGAAAAAAGTTGAACATACTTTATATCGTAAAATTGTTCACAGCAAATGCCGTAAAACTACAGTATAAGTTTGCTTCGCGACACGAGCACTGATCATAATTTGAATGACCACCATATGATTGTTGTGAAAGCGTACATGTTAACAGGTAGGTTTAGCGGTTTTATTTCTCTCTCGTAGACCCATATGAGCCGCGTCACGACAAAACCAACATAATGGGTTTGCGACCAGCATGGATCCAGACCAGCCTGCGCATCCGCGCAGTCTGATCAGGATCCATGCTGTTCGCTATCAGTTTCTCTACTTGTTATAGACTTTGTAAGCGAACAGCATGTATCCTGATCAGACTGCGCGGATGCGCAGGCTGGTCTGGATCCATGCTGGTCGCAAACGCACTATGTTGGTTTTGTCGTGACGCGGCTCATATCATATTACTTAGAAATGTCTGCGTTTAATGAATCTATTATCTTGTGTCTAGTTTAACATCATCATGTTCAATTGTTTTAAACCAAATAAGCTAAATAAAATAAAAATGCATTTTATTTCGTACTATCAAAGTTAAGATTGTTGGACAAAAAGAAAGTCAATAAACTATAAAATAAGACGACGTTGCAACAATTAGATTACAGACTTAGTTGTGTTTTTTTTTAATTTCAATGAAAGTGGCTTTAATGAGTATACTCTTCTAGTTAAGCCATTCTAAAACCAACGGATGGAACTCGATTTCCCCAACTTACTTATAAGTTGTCATATACGATATAGCTCGACTGATCATATTAATTTCTAAATCACTTATTTAAATAATACTGTAGTTTTATTTTTAAATGAAGTCGTATTATATTTTATATTACTATTTTCAAAGTTGACGGTGGATTCACAGATTGGATAACGTGGACAACCTGCACAGTCACGTGTGGCACTGGTACAAGATCGCGAACACGTGATTGCACAAATCCCGCCCCTCAATTTGGCGGCAGTAACTGTGGTGAACCTTCCACTGAGAGTGAAATTTGCAACACGAATCCATGTCCAAGTATGCACTTTACCCTTTGCGTATTTTACCCTTGCACTGAAATATTACAATAGAAACTTTGATTTAGAACTTGTACCCAACTATTCACGTGTGTGTTTTCAGCACTTTGTTACCCTGAGTTTTAAATTTGTTAGGGACTTTTCTCCTTTAATTAACACATATGGAATAGAGCGATCTATGACTCTTAGTATCAATCAAAATAAAAAAGGCGAGAAAATTACACTCTTGACGAGCAATACTAAGTTGGGGTAAATTACAGCACGGTCCATACCCATAGCACAAAGCATTTTTAAGCCAAATCACCAAATGATCTCGTAAGAAAAAAATTAAAATTCGTCGTGAATGTAAATACATGTATATCTTTAAAAGACCGTGTGAAAAAAACAAGCATGGTTTCCATGTGATATTTTCATGTGCTTAAATTAGTTCATAGATAAAGGCGCCTCAATAAGTCTGGTACACTGAAATAAATGTATTTGTAGAATTCTATTTTTAATATGCTGAATAAGACAGAAAAGCCGGCCACAAGTTAAATACTGCCAGAGAATTTTGACAGACAGCTAGTTTTGACGTGATAATATTCGAGGAAGAAGTCTTTGAGCGTTGAAGTTTGAAATGATAATAATAATGATAAAAAAAACAAACAAAAACAAACAGAACAATCATCTTGAGAGTAGCACTGATTTCAAAAACATAGCTTTTGCCTATTGTTGAAAGGTGTTGTTAAAATAAGTCAAAAGTTTAATTTACCGAGAAGTTTTTTGGTGTTTTTTTTTCTTCAATTTTTCGTTGTTGTAAAAAGGTTATTTTTTTTCCAGATGTCCGTTCTGGAGTATTGTATTGTAGCTTTTATTTAAATCATTCGCTGTCCATTTTCTCATCAAAATTACTATATTAAAGACATTTTGTTAATATATATTGCTTTATTTTATGCTTTTCAGTGGATTACTGATTTATCCGTGAAAATTATATTTGATAATTTCACAGTGAAAATTATTAAAATATAATTTCACTTTTTTCAATGACAAAACTACTTTTTTAAGATTTTCCCCATGTGGTACCTCAAATTTATTTTTACTGACAATATCAGGCTGTTAAAAAATAGCAAAGCTGAAATAGATAAATAACTTAAATGTCAAAAGTAATAAAGAGATAAAACTTACTTCTATTCCTTCAAATTCCAATCACAAAATTTCGTCTCTAAATTTTTTTGTTTCGTTTTTACAGTCTGAAAAATACATTCCTTCCCCATGCTAAACTGCTCTTGATGACATTTGGGCATATTAAAGTATTCTATGAGCAATAACTGCCGTATGCTTTATGAAAAATTGAAAAGCATTGACAGCCATCACTCGTAAAATAAGTTAAATAACCTAGCGTTCCTTACAATGCCTTAGCAAGCTTCCAAGTTTTCCATTTTCCTAGCTCCTTTTCTGAATGTTTTCACCTCTGTCAACACTTATTTTTTGTCTGTTACAATCCTCAAATAAGTTTTCTTTCTTTTAAAAAGGTGTATGACTAACAAATCCAAATTTTATCCTTCTGAATCTTACAAAATTATTTTCCTCCCATGAAATACACAACTTTAAAAAATGGCTGCCGCTTACATTTTACAAAGCCAGGTCTAATATAAATTCGCAGTAAGTAACAGAAATATGGATGGATGGTTGGACTTTTTCTCCTACAAGAATTGTTTGTTTTTATTATTAAAACAAGCGATCATTCATATTTTTTCAACAAAATGAATAAATATCACCGTCATTTAACCTTGATTGGCGGACTTATTTCTCAGCTCAAGACTTCTTGTTTTTCAATGAGAAATTCCCTCTAAATGGGGCTCTCAATGGGGGAAACAGATTTTAATATTAACGTTAAAATTATGGAAATTTCGTTTTAACTTGTTTTAAAGCATAAAATAAAAAGAAAATTTGTCTGTTTGTTGTGTAAGATGTAATTTCATTTCATCTCGTGAACTTTAAAAACAGTATTCTCACTCGTGGCTACGCCACTCGTGAGAATACTGTTTTTAAAGCCCACTCGATGAAATAAAATTTCATCTTACACACAAACAAACAAATATCCTCTATGTATTATATTTTCATAATTATATTTCATTTTCCAGTTGATGGTGGACTGACTGAGTGGACTGAATGGTCTGAATGTTCTGTCACATGTGAAACCGGAAACCAGACAAGGGAACGTTCTTGCACGAATCCGGCACCGCAATATGGAGGCTTAAACTGTGTGGGAGACATTCTTGAAACAAAATTGTGCGTTCTCGGACCATGTCCAAGTAAGTAGAGCAATTATTATGATTTCCCTAAACTTAGAACCTGTTTGCAATGTAAGAGTACTTAATCCCCCGTAACCCCTACTTCCCGCATCCCACCTCAAACAACTGTAGCTCTGTTATCTTCTACGACAATCATATTAAATTAAACATTACTATTATTTATGATGTGCTTGTAACTTTAACTTTGCAAAAGCCTAATTCAAACAATACATCATGATTTAACCACGTTATTATTTTACAATTAATTACTTGGAGTATGATTATAGCAAATTAAATTTAACAAAAACGATAGATAAATCTGTTTATTTCCTCAATATTTGGAGCGTAATAACAGTTTGTACTAAATGAAATACAATAAAAAACATTGTCTTTCTTTTATTTAGACTGACCTTTTTTATGAACAAGTATTGTCAACATCATTTCGTTATCATAGCAATGCATTCATAAAAAATATTTAACTTAGACATGCATAGAGTAAAAGCAAATTTGAGTTCATGTTATTTTAAAAAAAAAAACAAAATTTTGTACCGGGGTATTTAAGATATAATGGAATTATAATGGGGTAGGAATATGATATGTTACGACATTAAATGTATAAAGTGACTTTATTATTTCTATTACAAGTCGATGGAGGTTATACTGAATGGAATGTGTGGACGGCATGTACTCTCACTTGCGGGACAGGGGAACAATCCAGATCTCGAGAATGTACCAACCCAACTCCACAGCACGGAGGTCTTCCATGTCCAGGTGATGCAACTGAAACAGTTAATTGTAATACAGATAATTGTCCAATTAATGGAGGATATACTGAATGGAGTGAGTGGACGATATGCACTTTAACTTGTGGAGGAGGGGAACAATCAAGGTCTCGAGAATGTACCAACCCAACTCCACAGTACGGAGGTCTTCCATGTCTAGGTGATGCAACTGTAACAGTTAATTGTAATACAGATCATTGTCCAATTAATGGAGGATATACTGAATGGAGTGAGTGGACTGCGTGCAATGTCACTTGCGGAGGAGGAGAGCAATCCAGATTTCGAGAATGTACCAACCCGACTCCTCAATACGGAGGTCTTCCATGTCCAGGTGATGCATATGAAACAGTTAATTGTAATACTGATAATTGTCCAATTAATGGAGGATATATTGAATGGAGTGAGTGGACTGCATGCACATTTACTTGTGGAGGAGGGGAGCAATCCAGATCTCGAGAATGTACCAACCCGACTCCTCAGCACGGAGGTCTTACATGTCCAGGTAATGCAACTGAAACACTTAATTGTAATACGGATAATTGTCCAATTAATGGAGGATATACTGAATGGAGTGAGTGGACTATGTGCAATGTCACTTGCGGAGGAGGAGAGCAATCCAGATCTCGAGACTGTTCTAACCCACCTCCTCAATACGGAGGTCTTCCATGTCTAGGTGATGCATCTGAAACATTAAATTGTAATACTGATAATTGTCCAGTTAATGGAGGATATACTGAATGGAGTGAGTGGACTGCGTGCAATGTCACTTGCGGAGGAGGAGAGCAATCCAGATCTCGAGACTGTTCTAACCCAACTCCTCAATACGGAGGTCTTCCATGTCTAGGTGATGCATCTGAAACATTAAATTGTAATACTGATAATTGTCCAGTTAATGGAGGATATACTGAATGGAGTGAGTGGACTGCGTGCAATGTCACTTGCGGAGGAGGAGAGCAATCCAGATCTCGAGACTGTTCTAACCCAACTCCTCAATACGGAGGTCTTCCATGTCCAGGTGATGCAACTGAAACACTTAATTGTAATACGGATAATTGTCCAGTTAATGGAGGATATACTGAATGGAGTGAATGGACTGCATGCTCATTTACTTGCGGAGGAGGAGAGCAATCAAGGTCTCGAGAATGTACCAACCCGACGCCTCAACACGGAGGTCTTCCATGTCTAGGTGATGCAGCTGAAACACTTAATTGTAATACTGATAATTGTCCAATTAATGGAGGATATACTGAATGGAGTGAGTGGACTCCGTGCAATGCCACTTGCGGAGGAGGAGAGAAATACAGATCTCGAGAATGTACCAACCCGACTCCTCAGCACGGAGGTTTTCCATGTCCAGGAGATGCAACTGAAACAATAAATTGTAATACTGATAATTGTCCAATTAATGGAGGATATACTGAATGGAATGAGTGGACGATATGCACTTTTACTTGTGGAGGAGGGGAACAATCAAGGTCTCGAGAATGTACAAACCCAACTCCACAGTACGGAGGTCTTCCATGTCCAGGTGATGCAACTGAAACACTTAATTGTAATACTGATAATTGTCCAATTAATGGAGGATATACTGATTGGAGTGAGTGGACTGCGTGCAATGTCACTTGCGGAGGAGGAGAGCAATCCAGATCTCGAGACTGTTCTAGCCCACCTCCTCAATATGGAGGTCTTCCATGTCCAGGTGATGCATCTGAAACAATAAATTGTAATACTGATAATTGTCCAATTAATGGAGGATATACTCAATGGAATGAGTGGACGATATGCACTTTTACTTGTGGAGGAGGGGAACAATCAAGGTCTCGAGAATGTACAAACCCAACTCCACAATACGGAGGTCTTCCATGTCCAGGTGATGCAACTGAAACACTTAATTGTAATACTGATAATTGTCCAATTAATGGAGGATATACTGAATGGAGTGAATGGACAGTATGCACTGTAGGTTGCGGAGGAGGGGAACAATCCCGATCTCGAGACTGTTCTAACCCAACCCCTCAATACGGAGGTCTGCCATGTCCAGGTGATGCAAATGAAACAATAAATTGTAATACTGATAATTGTCCAATTAATGGAGGATATACTGAATGGAGTGAGTGGACAGTATGCACTGTAGGTTGCGGAGGAGGGGAACAATCCAGATCTCGAGACTGTTCTAACCCAACCCCTCAATACGGAGGTCTGCCATGTCCAGGTGATGCAACTGAAACAATAAATTGTAATACTGATAATTGTCCAATTAATGGAGGATATACTGAATGGAATGAGTGGACGATATGCACTTTTACTTGTGGAGGAGGGGAACAATCAAGGTCTCGAGAATGTACAAACCAACTCCACAATACGGAGGTCTTCCATGTCCAGGTGATGCAACTGAAACACTTAATTGTAATACTGATAATTGTCCAATTAATGGAGGATATACTGAATGGAGTGAATGGACAGTATGCACTGTAGGTTGCGGAGGAGGGGAACAATCCCGATCTCGAGACTGTTCTAACCCAACCCCTCAATACGGAGGTCTGCCATGTCCAGGTGATGCAAATGAAACAATAAATTGTAATACTGATAATTGTCCAATTAATGGAGGATATACTGAATGGAGTGAGTGGACAGTATGCACTGTAGGTTGCGGAGGAGGGGAACAATCCAGATCTCGAGACTGTTCTAACCCAACCCCTCAATACGGAGGTCTTGCCATGTCCAGGTGATGCAACTGAAACAATAAATTGTAATACTGATAATTGTCCAATTAATGGAGGATATACTGAATGGAGTGAGTGGACTGCGTGCAATGTCACTTGCGGAGGAGGAGAGCAATCCAGATCTCGAGACTGTTCTAATCCAACTCCTCAATACGGAGGTCTTCCATGTCAAGATGATGCATCTGAAACAATAAGTTGTAATACTGATAATTGTCCAATTAATGGAGGATATACTGAATGGAGTGAGTGGACTGCGTGCAATGTCACTTGCGGAGGAGGAGAGCAATCCAGATCTCGAGACTGTTCTAATCCAGCTCCTCAATACGGAGGTCTTCCATGTCAAGGTGATGCAACAGAAACAATAAATTGTAATACTGATAATTGTCCAATTAATGGAGGATATACTGAATGGAGTGAGTGGACGACATGTACTGAGACTTGCGGAGGAGGGGAAAAATCCAGATCTCGAGAATGTACTAACCCAACTCCTCAATACGGAGGTCTTCCATGTCATGATGATGCATCTGAAACAATAAGTTGTAATACGGATAATTGTTCAATTAATGGAGGATATACTGAATGGAGTGAGTGGACAGTATGCACTGTAGGTTGTGGAGGAGGGGAACAATCTAGATCTCGAGACTGTTCTAACCCAACCCCTCAATACGGAGGTCTTCCATGTCCAGGTGATGCAACTGAAACAATAAATTGTAATACTGATAATTGTCCAATTAATGGAGGATATACTGAATGGAGTGAATGGACTGCGTGCAATGTCACTTGCGGAGGAGGAGAGCAATCCAGATCTCGAGACTGTTCTAACCCAACTCCTCAATACGGAGGTCTTCCATGTCAAGATGATGCATCTGAAACAATAAGTTGTAATACGGATAATTGTTCAATTAATGGAGGATATACTGAATGGAGTGAGTGGACAGTATGCACTGTAGGTTGTGGAGGAGGGGAACAATCTAGATCTCGAGACTGTTCTAACCCAACCCCTCAATACGGAGGTCTTCCATGTCCAGGTGATGCAACTGAAACAATAAATTGTAATACTGATAATTGTCCAATTAATGGAGGATATACTGAATGGAGTGAATGGACTGCGTGCAATGTCACTTGCGGAGGAGGAGAGCAATCCAGATCTCGAGACTGTTCTAACCCAACTCCTCAATACGGAGGTCTTCCATGTCAAGATGATGCATCTGAAACAATAAGTTGTAATACGGATAATTGTTCAATTAATGGAGGAGATATACTGAATGGAGTGAGTGGACAGTATGCACTGTAGGTTGTGGAGGAGGGAGCAATCCAGATCTCGAGACTGTTCTAACCCAACCCCTCAATACGGAGGTCTTCCATGTACAGGTGATGCAACTGAAACAATAAATTGTAATACTGATAATTGTCCAATTAATGGAGGATATACTGAATGGAGTGAGTGGACTGCGTGCAATGTCACTTGCGGTGGAGGAGAGCAATCCAGATCTCGAGACTGTTCTAACCCATTTCCTCAATACGGAGGTCTTCCATGTCAAGGTGATGCAACTGAAACAATAAATTGTAATACTGATAATTGTCCAATTAATGGAGGATATACTGAATGGAGTGAGTGGACTGCGTGCAATGTCACTTGCGGAGGAGGAGAGAAATCCAGATCTCGAGACTGTTCTAACCCAACTCCTCAATACGGAGGTCTTCCATGTCAAGATGATGCAACTGAAACAATAAATTGTAATACTGAAAATTGTCCAATTAATGGAGGATATACTGAATGGAGTGAGTGGACGGCATGTACTGAGACTTGCGGAGGAGGGGAACAATCAAGATCTCGAGAATGTACTAACCCAACTCCTCAATACGGAGGTCTTCCATGTCAAGATGATGCATCTGAAACAATAAGTTGTAATACGGATAATTGTTCAATTAATGGAGGATATACTGAATGGAGTGAGTGGACAGTATGCACTGTAGGTTGTGGAGGAGGGGAACAATCTAGATCTCGAGACTGTTCTGACCCAACCCCTCAATACGGAGGTCTTCCATGTCCAGGTTATGCAACTGAAACAATAAATTGTAATACTGATAGTTGTCCAATTAATGGAGAATATACTGAATGGAGTGAGTGGACTGCGTGCAATGTCACTTGCGGAGGAGGAGAGCAATCCAGATCTCGAGTCTGTTCTAACCCAACTCCTCAATACGGAGGTCTTCCATGTCAAGATGATGCATCTGAAACAATAAGTTGTAATACGGATAATTGTCCAATTAATGGAGGATATACTGAATGGAGTGAGTGGACTGCGTGCAATGTCACTTGCGGAGGAGGAGAGCAATCCAGATCTCGAGAATGTTCTAACCCAACTCCTCAATACGGAGGTCTTCCATGTCCAGGTGATGCAACTGAAACAATAAATTGTAATACTGATACTTGTCCAATTAATGGAGGATATACTGAATGGAGTGAGTGGACGGCATGTACTGAGACTTGCGGAGAAGGGGAACAATCCAGATCGCGAGAATGTACTAACCCAATTCCTCAGTACGGAGGTTTTCCATGTCCTGGCGGTGCATCTGAAACACGTTTATGTGGAGGAATTAACTGTGCAGGTAAATTTTGAAACTGTTGAAATGTTTTGATCTAGTCTAGTTTGTTTCCATGTCCGGGTTAAAGTTCTTGTAACATGTGTTCGATTTTCTTGTCACGTACATTTTCAATATATTGCATATCAGAATATTTCGTAGTTGACTTAGTGTCAATTTCATAATTTTGAATGAACTATTGTAGTGCATGGTGGATTTTCTGAATGGACACTGTGGAGCACATGTTCAGTGACCTGCGGCTCGGGGCAGCAATTGAGGGTACGTGAATGCAACAGTCCGAATCCTGAGTTTGGTGGAGATGACTGCTCAGGAGAATTTACAGAAAACAGGGAATGTAATGAACTCCTCTGTCCGGGTAAAATTGATTTTTGCATAATTATACTGGTATGTTCATAACATACAAAACAATGGATTATAATACAGTTTATGTATATGGATATAAGTCATTGGTGATATTTTATAAAACGGTATTAGGCAACATCGAGAAATTATATATACAGTTTTTGGTTTATGTTATGATAAAGAATATTTGCTTTAAACATTTCAAACCGCTTCTCAATAGAGGAAAATACTTTCTCCAATTATATGTTAAGACAATTTTCACCAGTCAACCAATATAATTATACATGTATATTAAACATTTAGGTTATATACGGAATGAAATTATTCATTAGAATTTGACCATGTATTGACCGAAAAATAGTACATGTACTTGAAGGCCTTCTATATGTTTCGAATTTTAATGCTACTGATTTTGGAAAATATAGCAGCTGTTGCAAAATAATAGATCAAACATAAAGAAACCAAGTACGATACAGTGCCGAATATTAAACAAAACAGCATTTCATAGAAAAAAGTTAAATTTTCATTCCACTTTACTAAAACAGCTTCTTAATTTCAGAGAAGTTTAATTACAATTGATCTAAAATATCTACATGATAGAATTACACAATGCGCCATTACATTTGTCAATAGTTAAGAGAGATTTAGTGAACAGAATAATCCCCTACCATTACAAATGACACATGAAATTATCGATCTAAATGTTGTTGATTCGAGTCTCGCCAGGGACTTTGAAGAAGCTATCCTGTCAGCTTACAGAAGGTCAGTGGTTCTACTGGAGTGCACGAGATTTTTGTTTTTGATAATACGCACGGTAGTGTATTCCTTCAAATAGAAAGCTGAAAAATCGCGAAATTACCTTTATGTTTACTTAAAATCTAACAAAATAAAACAACAAACGTTCACATTTTGTTTCACTCAACACATAATATTACGTTCGTGCAGGTATGCGCTTCCTCAAGCGAACTAAAGCGAGTGTGGGAGATTTTTGTGAATTTGACAAACGATCATTTAGATGACCGATGCCATAGTATAAGTTTAGACTATACATATATTTGTTGTTCTAAAGACTATTAAGATCGTTTACCAATACTGATACGACTTAATAACACTTAATCATTCCATTACCGCGAGTCTAACCAAAGTTGACATGTATACATGTACGCGGTATTTTTGTTTGTTAAGTAGTTCTATTGGAATCTTTTTGTTTGCAAATGCGTATACTGACACGTATGATCTTAGGTTTGCGGCGGGTTGCCTTGGTAACGAGAAACAGAAGAATACGGCATTACAATGGTTGGGCGATAAATCGCCGACCCAAAAAATGAAAATGCACTTAATGATTACATAAGATCTATTCAATTGTCCTCCATTTTTAGATGAATTGGGTTTCTCGTTATGGAGTGACTGGACCTCGTGTACAAAATCATGCGAGACGGGTATAAAGGCTCGCTCCCGCGAATGCCAGGATTCAAACATTGGTTGTATCGGGTCAACAATTGACACAGCAATGTGTAACACCCAGCCGTGTCCAAGTATTGACAGTGTGAAAACCCCATTTTAGTTTTATTTTGATAAAAAAAAGCAACCCTCGTTTACCCTGGTGAATGTTTGTGAAGGTTTTGTTTAGAATCAGAATATTTTTCAATGTATGAGTGACTGGTAGCGGTGGTTTAGGCAAGACATCATTATCAGTTACACCCAGCCTATTGTTATCCTATCATAAATCTAGTTTGCACATACTAATTCTTTACTATTCTTGGTGTGTGGTATTGCCGTGTGCTATTTGACTGTTCTTCCTCTTTGCACTCGAAGACACAATTCATTATTTTCTTCCATGTTTTGTTTTTGTGATTTGCCATTATAAATCTATGTATGTTTGGTTTATTCATTGTTATAACCAGTTATGAGAAAGTTGAATCAACAAATCTAAAATCAAGTCCAACAAAAAAATGGATCCATGTTATCCAATGTAACATGTTAAATACTAAAATCTCTATTTAGATGAGATGTACATATTAAAAAAAATATTATAAAACAATAAAAAAGCACACATTAGTCAGATAGGTGTTCAGTAAAAATATAATAAAAGGGGAAAATATGAAATATTTGTTATTTATAGCGTATGTCACAAACATCATAAAGATTCATGGCAAAGACAAAGAAAAGATAATATGCCTTTAAGTGTCACAAGTTGCTTATTTCTAGAAGTGAATGCTGTATAAGTTTTTATGCAATCTGTTGTCTTAACAATCGTTTTAGTCGATGGAGGATACACGTCTTGGTCAGAATGGAGTCTGTGTTCTGTAACTTGTGGCGTAGGAGAGATGACTAGGTCGCGCGAGTGTTCCAACCCGACACCTGAATATGGAGGGGCTGATTGCGATGGTGTTGCAAATGAAACATCGGCGTGCTCCTCAGAATGTCCAAGTAAGCGTTATAAAAGTTGTTTATATGCAGCGAGGTGAAATATACCATTTGCTTTACAGCAATATGTCTATAATGTAGATAGGCGATTGATCTTTCAACTATTTAGATTAGTGGCAACGTCATATAACTGTTTATTGGACGTCATATACTAGTAACTGTTTATTAAACGTACTTATTTTCCAAGAAATGTTTTTGTTAATAGAAATTAAGTAAAAATTTAAAACTAATTACTACAACATTATAACATAGTTGATGGTCAGTTCACTGAATGGACTACGTGGACGCAGTGCTCGGCGACATGTGGGAACGGAGATCAAACAAGATCGCGTTCATGCTCGAATCCTGTACCTCGGTTTGGTGGTGTTGATTGTATTGGAGCCACAGAAGAAACAGAAACTTGTAATTTGGCCAGTTGTTCTCCAGGTATTTTTTTATTTGATGAAATTTCCAGGCGCGCACTGTCCTAATTACTGTTTAGTAATTGTTGGGTATGTACTTTACAGTTTAAAATCGCTGTTTAAAATCGAGTAATACTCGCGCAATATTGTTTGTTTGTTTTTTGGTCCATCGAGAATACCACCTTAAGATATTTCTATAATGGCCATCTTGATTCATTTAGATTTGTTGCTGTTTTGTTTACGTGCGACTTCGCAGGTGCTTACATAATATTGCCTACAAATAAGATCTATCAGAACAAATAAAGTACATGTACCCACAATTTACACGGTAAAGGTTGAACTAAAAATTAACAGAAATACTATTTGTCTTTTATCTGCAAAACCTTTTGTATGCGTAAGATAAAATGATTTTTGTCGCAGAATATTTTGATATAATATTAATGAATGGTAAATATTTTGTTATTAGTGATTTTATATGACAGATCAATATTCAAACATGTGTATTACCACTTTTCAGAAAGTATAGATGGTGGTTTTAATGACTGGTCGGTTTGGACAGCGTGTTCGGTGACTTGTGGAAGCGGTCAACAATCAAGGAACAGAACCTGTTCGAATCCTGAACCTCAAAACGGCGGAAATGTTTGTGAAGGTGATTTAGAGGAAACGCAACCGTGTAGTTCAGACAGCTGTCCTCCAGGTAAAAAAAATGAAACACATACTACTTGGGTAGAATCAATAACAGACGTTCGCATCACTTGATACATTTTATTTTTTAACTTAAGTGCAGTTTCACTTATTGTCTACACGAAACAAGCAATCATGGTTTCAAAGAATGTAAGCTGAATGTCAAAATATTGTCAAAAATCAATAGGTGCACTTATTAACCTCTTTGAAATTCCTATCAACTGATTATTTCTAGAGATCCAAAGTAAATTTTGTACAAAATAAAAATATTAGTTTTTTGTTTGTTTTTGCTTCTTCTATGATCATTATTTATGTGTTAAAGTTTTCATTATAAGTTAGTTTCAACATCGTTTTCGAGAAAATATTTGTTAGCTCTTTATGTATTAATTATTTCAGAAATAATTGATGGTGGTTTTAGTGACTGGTCGGATTGGACAGAATGTTCGGTGACTTGTGGAGGTGGTGGACAAACAAGGAACCGGACATGTTCGAACCCCGAACCTCAGAACGGCGGCAGTGATTGTGTTGGTGATTCAGAGGAGACTCAACCATGTAGTACAAGCAGCTGTCCACCAGGTAATAAAACATACCAAAACTATCCTGCAATTTGTTGAAATGAAACGTCATAGCTTGAATTAGTCAAAACAAAACTTGATTGTTTGAGGAAAAGTCATTCAAGTTTTCTTTTATTTTGATCTTACCGTTCTTTCCTAACAGTGCGGTTTTGTTTATTTCACACATTATTTATTATTAAAAACTAATGAGTAATTGTAATTTAACTGTAAAGTCATGTTGGTTGTTTAATGGTTATTAAATGCAATATCAATTGTATAAAAATAGTATCTTGTTAAAATGTAGTAGGAAAGGATGTACATGCATGTATGTTCGCTTTATGTCGGCTCGCCACGGCGAGCCGGTATTACGTTAGGATTTTACTGAGAAACAACCTAAAACTCCGAATCCATCCAAACATTCAATCGAAGCTTGGCTTCCAGCTTTCTACAATATTTATCTATCAGGGCTAGGATCAAAAATTATTTAGCCAATCAAATTTAATCTTACATAGCGTCAAAAAACCTTCAATTTTCACGCCATTTTTAAAAAGCAGCAAGTATTATTTTGAGCGCAAAGATATACTGATGATTAAAATGTTTGTTTTCATGAATTCTTTTCAATAAATCATATTTACACTGACTTTTGATTTAGCGATCTCACCTGTTCCTCTGTTTGGTTAATTAACATAAGTGTACATCTGGTTCTGTGCATTTTTTTCTTTTTCCTTTTTTCCGGTCATTTTATCTTTTCCGGTATTTAGTGTATATATTTACTGGCCGGGATCCGGGACTCCCGGACTGGCCGGGATCCGGGACTGGCCGGGATCCGGGATCGTATAAGATATAGGGGAAAAACAAATAAACTATATTTGTGTTGATTATTGTCGTAATGAAAGGCCATTAAACGTTAAGTTTTTTTTATTGTATGTAATGAACGTTAAATTAATTAAACTTAGGATATAAATATATTTAGAGCTATTTATTAACAAACTTAAAATGCGGAAATCACAATACTTATAATTATATGCCGAATTAATTGGAAAAATCAAAGACTACATTCTTGAATTGGTCAAATCCCGGGATCCCTTTATGTTTTAATGCGATCCCAGCTTTTCTGAAAACTATATTCTTGAACTGGCCAATTCCTGGGATCTCTTTATATTTTAATACGATCCCGGCTTTTCTGAAAACTATATTCTCTAACTGGTCAATTCCCGGGATCCCTATATGTTTTAATACGATCCCAGCTTATCTGAAAAACATCTTAGACCGGTCAATTTCCAGGATCCCTATATTTTTAATAGGATCCCGGCTTTTCTGGCTGAACTGATTGACAACTTGTGTTTACTTTAGGACTTGTGTCTGTCACTCATTCCAATACTAAATAACATATTACAACTTAACTTCGTATAAAGAGACATCTAAAGTTATGAATTCTACCTATCTAACATTTATGTGTTCAAGGTAAACAGGCCATACAGTAAATGTGCATAGACATAGGGACTTCATTTTATCTGTTTACATGCATCTTCATATATACTCATATTCCTCTTTGTTAAACTGAGAGAACTGGCTTCCATCACTTTTATTTTGATGTTCGCTCAAGTCTCTTCAGCTAACAGAACTGTCATTTTTACATTTAAACGCACCCCTGGAAAAAAATTACGAAGCGAGTCGCTACTAGCTTTTTTGGCTTGCAGCCACGGCTGCAAGCCATTTCATATGGAAAACTTGTTCCGGTTAGGTGGTTTTCTGCTTACATTTGTAAGTGCATGATTGAACGGGAAACCAGCTACAATCGTGCCAATCGCAACTTTACGGCCTTTTCCGTCACTATTCGGATTAATGATAATAGCCGATGTAGTTCCGATTGCAATCGTGACAATTCGGGCGATTCCGTCATACTGCGGAATCAGACGAAGTAATATTACGGAAATCTAAGCTATTTTAGTTACTTCGGTAATCCCAGTTTGTTTATATAAATAGGATTCGTATTTTTACTTGATTTATTGATTTAAACCGTAATAAATCATAAACGAAATTGTTCCGTTTCAATTCTTTTTCAAGACGCAAAAGTTAATTTCTTTTATAATTGTTTTTTGTCTGTATTAGTTTTATAATACAATAGAGGATGTTGACTGTAGTAGTATTCCGTCTTCAAAGGGTGGTCCAAATCACACAGAATATTAGTGCATGATCGAGTTATATTTAGATCTACTGAACTTGGTGAGGTAATCTAAAAATAGCCCATGCATATCATTAACCTTACCACGTGATGATCTATAGATAGCGCATCGTATCTGTGAACATGCTTATTAATTGGTACCACGTAACGAGGTGGAAATGAAATGTGCACACTTGTTTCCTTTTATTTTCTTTATTAGTTTTAATTATTTTCTTTATTAGTTTTATACAATAGAGAATATATTTCAAATCGTTTTGACAAAAATATTCGTTTTTACAAAAATAAAAACAACTACAGTAAATATGTTGGGATGAAGGCACAACTGTGCAAGCCTTTCCTTTTAAAAGGAAACTTTATTAAAAGCTAACCTTGTTTATATTAATGTAGATAGGCGCAGATCGGCACCAAGTGGTAAATATCTTTTGACATAGAAACAACTTTGGGGTCATGGCTAAATTAGACATTGCTTCATAATTAATGTCGTCTGCGTTATAATTTGATTTTTGGTGACATGATTTAGTATGAAAGTTTTTGTTTTCATAATATCCTATGGGTATCAGGCTACTGTATTACGTACAATCTGTCCTTATTCATATTTATGAAATTTTTAATTTATTTCATATTTATAAAATTTGCCATAACCATATTATATATACATAATAGAATAGTAGACATTTCTTTCACACCATATACTTATAATAATAATTATAATAATATATCTTTATTTAAAGAAGATAACACATGAAGAAATACCATCGTAGAAAACAATACATATCTTAATTTTAAATGTGGCCTTCTAAACAATATATAGAAACACAAACACAAAAACATCATAAAACAATAACAACTACTTAGTATTTCATTAAGATTTTGTCCTAAAACTTTTTTTGACAAACGCTCCTTTTAGATATTAAATATCATTTATACAATTTTCATTTACAAATATTTTAACAAATATACATGCATGATAATAATTATAAATAATGACATAATGACAGAGTTATGAAGATATTTATTTGGTCTGCAAGATATGTTTTTATACTTATTTTTAAAAGATGTCAGAAAATTAGAAGAACGTATATTAGATGGTATTCTATCCCAAATCTTTGCACCATTGTCACAGAAAGTTTTTTTTTATATCATAGTTTGTGCGGCGTTTAGGAATAACTATGTCATTATGTGATTTTGGAAAAAGTCAAAAGGTTATTACAAGCTTTATAAATAAGAATTCCAGTGTGAAAATTACACCGTTCATTGAATGACATTCACCCAAGTTCTTTCAGTATATCTTGATTTCTTATTCGTGGTGTTTTGTTTAAAATAATCCTTGCAGCTCTTATTTGCATTTTACCTATTTTATTTAAATACTTTAAATTTGCTTTGCTCAACACGGTACAGCAAAAATCAAAATTCGATATTATATAAATATTATGCATTATAAAATAACTGTCTAACGCAAAAGCAAGATCACGTTTAAATTATTTTATTCCAAATTAGCTAAAGTCTGCATCGTATCACTAATTTATTAGCAAAAAATCTTTGAATGATGTTTGTATTTAAATTAAAGCTCTAATAACAATCTGACTGGAAGTAGAGGGTAGAAGTTCCTTATGTGAGTGCTTTTACCAAATAATTTTTTTTATGCCATTTACCTTCAGACATATACATAAGATATATTATGACGTTATGAGATTTAATTATTTCAGAAATTATAAATGGCGCTTTCAGTGACTGGTCGGTTTGGACGGAGTGTTCTGTAACTTGTGGAGGAGGTGAACAAATAAGAAGCCGATCATGTTCGAATCCCGAGCCCCAGAACGGCGGCAATGATTGTCTTGGTGAATTAGTGGAGACTCTGCCGTGTAATACAGGCAGCTGTCCACCAGGTAAGAACTGAATTATTAAATTCCTTTATATTTTTAAAAATGACATTATCTATGAAATAATGTATGCCATCAGTTTTATAGATTGTTGAATGCTGAATGATAATATCGTTTGCAAGTCTATATTGGCGAGCTACATCTAACAATTATTTTCAGAAATTATAGATGGCGGTTTTAGTAACTGGTCAGATTGGACAGAATGTTCGGTGACTTGTGGAGGTGGTGAAAAAACAAGAAACCGGACATGTTCGAATCCCGAGCCTCAGAACGGCGGCAACGATTGTGTAGGTGATTCAGGGGAGACACAACCATGTAGTACAAGCAGCTGTCCACCAGGTAATTAAATAATGCACATATGGTGATGAAAAAAATGTAATATTATGGTAGGGAAAACAATAGAGAACATTAACTAAATGTTCATACTTGAATAAAGGAATTATCAGTTGGTCATATTAAAGTTATACCCACACAAGCGTTTGTGTGATATGTTTTGTAATCGCTTACGTGAGTTTCTCTGTATGCTCTTGAAAAACAAAACAATTTTTTAATAAAGAGAGAAAACTAAATGTATACGTACCATGATTTATATCAATCATAATATATTTCAGAAATAATAGATGGTGGTTTAAGTAACTGGTCAGATTGGACAGAATGTTCGGTGACTTGTGGAGGTGGTGAACAAACAAGAAACCGGACATGTTCGAACCCCGAACCTCAGAACGGCGGCAATGATTGTGTAGGTGATTCAGGGGAGACACAACCATGTAGTACAAGCAGCTGTCCACCAGGTAATTAAATAATGCACATATGATGATGTAAAAAGTGTAATATTATGGTAGGTAAACAATAGAGAACATTAACTAAATGTTCATACTTGACTAAAGGAATAATCAGTTGGTCATTAAAATAATACTCACACAAGCGTTTGTGTGATATGTTTGTAGTCGCATACGTGAGTTTCTCTGTATGTTTTTGAAAAAAAAAATAATAAAGAGAGAAAAATAAATGTTTACCTACCATGATTTATATCAATCATGATATATTTCAGAAATTATAGATGGCGGTTTTAGTGACTGGTCAGATTGGGACAGAGTGCTCTTCGTCTTGTGGAGGTGGTGAACACACTAGGAGCCGGACATGTTCGAATCCCGAGCCCCAGAATGGTGGGAATGATTGTGTTGGTGATTTAGAAGAGACCCAACAATGCAACACAGACAGCTGTCCACCAGGTAATAATATGGATTAACACTAGCCTAAAGTAGCTTGTATTGAAACTTCATTTTTCTACATTCATAAAAAAGAAATAGATTGCCATAAAATATTAGGTTTTCGGTTTATGTCAATGCTTACTGAAGAAAAGTTTTTGTAAGCAAATAAAACAAACATAGAAACAAACAAACTCGAGTGTTGAATGTTGTAAAGTCGATATTTTAGAATTAGTATCTGGTATAAAGGGTAAACAAATTTTGATATAACCAGGTATGCCTTACTGTATTTAATTTATGATGATTTAGGTTGGCGCAGGTCGGCTACACGTGGTAAATTTATAATTTAATTTTGAAAACCGCATTGGCTCTAGGAATACAAAATACATTGCTTTGTAACTTCTTTATTTTTTGTGGTGACAGGATATAATTTGTGTTTTCCCTTTACCAATATCATTCTTAGACTGTTAATTCAATTATCTTTGCATGGGTGATTTTTTATTGATATTAAACGAAACAATGGTATGTATTACAGCTACTTTATAATGGTGTGATACAGATTATTTTTTAAGATCATAAACAGAATAGAAGGAAATCTAGATCACACTCATGCAGCAGTAAAACTAACCATTTGAACATCTACGTCAAATATATATCAACGTATCTTGAATATCTTATAAAAGAAATTTATATGTTTAATGTTTGAAGAGACAAGGGTGTGGTGGTGAGACGTAAAAATATTAAAGGAAAGGCCAATCGAGTGAAATGTTATAAAAAATAGACTGAAAACCGAAAACTTTGATTTATAGAGTGTTAATTTAACTGCAAAACTTTGCACGCCCCTAGCACCGACCAAAGCTGTATTGAAGAGTTTAGATATCATTTTTTTTGATGAATGTTTTTGCAAAGTTATCTTTAAGTAATTTCGAAGGTAGGTAACGAGAAAATGCCCTATTTACATGTATATACAATGGCTGATGTAAGTTTATTTGCATTAAAAAACAAAGTGGATGGTGGTTTCTCTGTCTGGACAACATGGTCAGATTGTACAGTGACCTGTGGTGATGGTCAACAAACTAGATCACGTACATGTACAAATCCAGAACCTCAAAATGGAGGCAATAATTGTGTCGGAGACACAGGAGAATCTCAAATCTGCAATTTGACAAGCTGTTTGCCAGGTATAAGATGTTGTACAAAAGTATATGTTTTGTCACTCCATGTTTCTTTTTGGTTTATATACATTTGTTTTCTACCATTACACACATACAAAGTATTGATAATCATTTGTTGACATGTTCATTTGTTAGATATGCCCAGTCTTTCGGCGTATATGTTATACGACAATTTTTTTTATTCGTTTTGCATGTGGTAGATTTGCTTGCATGATATCAAAATCATAAACTTCTATTTTCATGTGAATTAGATTGTGTAATGAAAGGCCTGCTATAACATAAAAATATGTTGATAGTATTTAGTGTCATACTTGAAAACGAACTGCGAAAGAGTTATAAATTGATGTTGTTGGTAAGTGTGAGATACATAATCCGATATAACATTTCAATATGTGGCAGAATTTTTTTAGAATTATAGAACATGATATGTTCATGCATCACATATATTTATGTTCATACTAAATCACTTTAGAACTGTAACAACATTATTCTTTCCAGAAATGTTTTTATAAGAATATCCAAATGATATTTTCTATTGTTAACATCAATATTTGAAATACTTATGGAAAATGTAACCATTGTAGACCAATTCACTTTGAAGGAATTGCCCCAACATGTATCTCGTAGTCTAATGACACTGTTTGATACTCGGGCGGATATATTCTTTATAATTATATGCAAATAGATATTTATGTGATGTTTTTATTTTACTACATGCACAATATCTTCGTAAATTTATATATTTTGTTGTACTAAATTTTTGGTCTTACAATATATAATAAATGTTAACAATATTTGTTATTATCAACTTAAACACAAATGCTTTCCTTAAGTTTCATAAAAACCTCAAGCAACACGTCACTTCTTAGTGACACTTGTATTAATGGTTTGAGAGTGATTATAACTTGTAAAAGTATTATTGTCACTAGCTTATCTAAATAATGTTTACCAGTACGATATTTATACTCCTTTATATTATATGTATGTGAAAATGATAGTTTTATCTAATTATTTCAGAAATTATAGATGGCGGTTTTAGTGACTGGTCAGATTGGACAGAATGTTCGGTGACTTGTGGGGGTGGTGAACAAACTAGGAGCCGAACATGTTCGAATCCTGTACCTGAGAACGGTGGCATTGACTGCGTAGGTGACTTAGAAGAGACCCAACCTTGCAACACAGACATCTGTCCACCTGGTACCAAAATTCAAATCATTTAGTTGTTTTTAAGGACAACATAAAGCTATTTATTGTGACAAGTAAACGTGTTTATTTATAACACTTCACTTGATTGTTTGGAAAAAAAATCTGAATTATTACTTAAAAGTTAACATTATTACATAGTTATATGATAATTTATGTTTGATTACATTAAAAATGTACAGTTGATGGTGGATTTACTGAATGGACAGCGTGGACAGAATGCTCGGTGACCTGTGGAGACGGACAGCAAACCCGAACACGCGAATGCACGAATCCTGAACCTCAGTTTGGCGGAAACAATTGTGAAGGGAACATTGAAGGGATTATGGCTTGTAATTTAGCACACTGTCCAGGTAAATATAACCTGTTATGACATTTTATATCAGTTCATATGCTGTTTTTTACTGCTTGTTAAGTCAGCAGATAGGGACAAAATATAGACTGACTGAAAGCATACTTGAGAACTTGAGATAACAGGGATAGATGAAATAATGTTCATTGAAAATTGCTTGTAAAATGATCAAATACATGTATATGCTTGAATATTAGGGCTCAATTACGAAATATGCATGCTCTTTGTCATTTTAGTCGCTATTATTAATTACCAATGATTATAAGCACACATCTAATACCTATTTTATAGTTAATGGTGAGTTCACCGACTGGAGCATATGGAGTGAGTGTTCCGTCACGTGCGGAAACGGAACACATATCCGATCACGTGACTGCAGTAATCCGGAGCCTCAGTATGGTGGGGAAGATTGTGTTGGGGAAACAGAAGAATCTGAGACTTGTGAGCTTGATCCCTGTCCGGGTAATATAAACAGATATATTGTGTGAATTAGAATTAAATGAAAACGATTTGCCCTGGAGCATACATAATGGTGCACACAGAGTAGGGCGTTTAAGAAGTTCTTAAAAACGCTCGTACATTTCAATTTTAAACAGTGTAATGATCACTACACAATAGATATCTGCAATGATGCATACATTTATTTGTTAGGCATTTCGCACAAGGGAATATGCCTACTTTTTAATGCTTCTCTTCCTACCTTTCCAAAATATATATGGATGGTTTATTTCATTATAAAGTTGATGGATACTGGCTGAGTTGGGAAGATTGGACACTATGCTCTGCGTCATGTGGCAGCAGCGGTACACGTGAAAGAACGCGCACGTGTGTAGACCCGTTAAATGGCGGTAATCCATGCAATGGGGCCGGGGAGCAAGTGGAATTCTGTAATACACAAGAATGTCCATGTAAGACATTGTGGTATATGTTTATTAAATTTCAAACCATTATCAATTTTTCTCATTCCTGCGTCATATTAGGTATCTGCTCTGCTTTGTTTGTAGCAGTAATTTACCTGCTTTCGTGTTCAAAATAAATGATAATTATGTACCTCTATGTCAACGCTTCACTAGGGCTATGTACTATTACATGTTTTAATGTTTTTTATGTAGGTAGTAAAGAAAGTGATGTTTCTTGGTGTAAATTGTTAGATTTAGCTGCAGCAATGAATTCACTTCTTTGCATTATTGATATCTAACCAATTAATGGAATCTAGTTATCTAATAACAGTTTTCTTGAGTGCAAAAACTAGAATTATAATTAGACTTACTAATAATGTTGCATTTCATCCAATTTCTTAAGAAGAAAAGGGCACATTAAATTGTTGTTAATCTTGAAATATTTGAGAGAGTGCTATAAATGAACAATTCTTAAATTATTTCAGTTGACGGTGTTTGGAGTGATTGGGCCTCGTGGGGAGATTGTAACGCCACTTGCGAAGGCGGTGTGAAAGAGAGAACGCGCTCGTGCATAGGACCTCTTAACGGGGGCACTGAATGTACCGGTATATCCCGGGAAACAGACGTTTGTAATGAAATTCATTGTTCAAGTATGATTTTATTTTTATTTTATATGTTAAAAAATATGACAAACAATGTGACAACTCGTTATAAAGGCTCGATTTTTTGTTTCTATGAGGGAATTGGGCTAATATAAGTTGTTTTTATATATATTTTTACTACAAGTTTACTACCTCTGCAGTTAAAGCCTTGTTATAAAATTTATGTAAAAGTTCATTATTTGAGAATATTGCAGGTTCTATGTTTTAGATGGTTTTGTTGGAAAGAGCTTAGGACAAGTTAATTAGTCAGTTTTTAGATAAAACATTTCTGCCATTCTTCGATTCAAAAATGTTCTGTTTTCATACAGTTGATGGACATTGGGCAAACTGGGATGAATGGTCAACGTGCACATTTACGTGTAACACAGGAACGCGCGAAAGAACACGTGATTGCATAGATCCGCAATATGGCGGGGAAAACTGTACTGGAGCTGAAATGCAGACAGAATTTTGCAATACTAATCTGTGTCCTGGTAAAGTCTTTACTTTAAAACTTTAACTGACGAAATTATTCATTTATTTTGGCTAATAAAACGTATATCAAGCAAGTTGAATTTATCATATATTTTGTTTAGTGTGCTAGAAAGTCGCAGGTAGTACAGTGCCATGATTCTGGAAGACGTCGTATATGAAACAGAAAACTAAATATATTCAATCAAAATTATTTCGAATATTTAGTCATTTAAGCGTGTCGTTCTGTTTCATTTTCTTTAGTTGATGGAGAATGGCGTAATTGGTCGGAATGGAGTACGTGCACAATGTCATGTGGTGGAGGGTCACGTAACAGATCTCGCACGTGCATAGAACCTTTGTATGGAGGATTTGATTGCATGGGAAATGAAACGGATACTGAAAACTGTAACGAAGAACCATGTCCAGGTATGATATTTACATTTAGAACTAAAGTGTTATAGAAATTTAGAGCCTTTATATTATATTTAATGCAATTAACACCATATATTTCATGCCAGTATCATTTTGATATAGATGTATTCATTTATTTTATGTTCGTTTCGTTTCATTACGTGACTACTCAATATTGTTAATGTATCGCATTTTTTCTGTCTGATTTTTATTTGTAACCTGATTTTTATTTGTAGCCGGTTCAAAAGCCTTTTTATTACTTTTCTTTTAATAAAATCATTGGAAAAGAATAACTTTAAATAAGGTTGGACTGTTTCAGTAGAAAGATGTTTGCCATAACAAGGTTAGATGTCATATATCTCGGTGAAGGTGATCTTAACTAAAGGGATATCAATCAATGAGCTGTTCTGTTTCATTTATTTCATGATTTCCAGTATGAATATGATTATGGCATTTCAAAATTTAAACATGCACTTTATCTTCAACAAATGACTTTATAATTGGGATGAAAATCTATTAAGGGTACATGTTTCATTATTTGCTTTGCAGTTAATGGTTTCTGGCTAGAATGGTCTTAATGGGACTCGTGTTCAGTATCTTGCGCTGATGGTACCCGGAACAGGTCGCGCTCGTGCGTTGAACCTTCATATGGTGGCGCAAATTGTACGGGTGAAAGTTCACAATCAGAATACTGCAATAATGGAAACTGCCCAAGTAAGAAATCAACGTTTTGTATATGTCAACGTAGAAAGTATTGTTAATTACTTTTCATATATATGTCAAGTTTTTATCTAAGTGAATTATAAGATTTTACATGAAAGGTAGTTTTAGCATCTTAACAACAATGTTGTAGACTATGATGACTATATTTTTACACCTACAGTTTTTTCGACAAAAAATACAGTATAGATAGAAAAGAGGTCAAGACGTTTGGAGCAAACAGTGCATAAATCTCAAATGAAATCTTGTCGGAAAATTGATGAACGCAAACATCAAAATCTCATTGACGTCTTTGTTTATATGATTAAATTATTGCTTTTTTAAGTTGATGGGTTTTGGTCGGATTGGTCAGAATGGACCAAGTGTTCTCAGACATGTGGTGGGGGTTACCGGAATAAGTCACGTGAATGTAACGAACCTTTATACGGAGGACTGATGTGTCAAGGAGAAATGTCAGAAACTGACACGTGCAACGTGGATGCTTGTCCAAGTAAGTACTTAATTGTTTCTTAAAGCTGTAGATATCATAAAATGTATTTTTGTTGAAGTAAATAATACTTTAATCGCAGCATATGGTACATCTTAAACATGTGAAGAATGGCAAAAACGCATTAAAACATGTAAATAATTATTAATGACAAAATCTTTCATGCATAAATGTTCTATAAGTTCTATATTTACATGAATCTAACTTTTGCAAATCAGTCTACACTCAGAAGTACGTTTTTCAACGAGGATTTACTGAAGTATATTATACAGTGTTAGTTTATTTGGCGCTGAAAATTAATGGGGAAAAAAACTGTTTTGTTTCATAAAAGTTGACGGTTCGATGTCCATACTGTAAGATTTTTGTTGGTTACTTACATTTAGGTCATTACACATATAAATTGACGGAATAGATCATCCTCCTTTTCTTCTTTATCATATCCTGTATATTTTGATAGAGATGGTTTCAACTTTGACTACTGAATGAAATTTTGCTATAAAAATTGCATAAAAATCTCAATATTTATTTTCAAGACCGTGTATATGGACATGTAGGGTCCGGACTATGTATTGTTATACTGAAGTTATAAGCTTAGCAGTGCCTGAAGTTTCGAAATTATTTTTATTTTGCAAGAATAACTGAACTGTTACTATTTATTTTGTACATAGTTGATGGTGAATGGTTAGATTGGAGTCAGTGGAGCACGTGTAGTAAAACATGTGGTGGCGGAACACGTGTTAAAACTCGTAATTGTACTCAACCAAAATATGGCGGGAAATTCTGTGAAGGGGAATCATCTGAAACCGATATGTGTAATGTTGAACCTTGTGCAGGTAATATATATGAATTATCTTGTTGATACCATTCGCCGTCTGTAAATCCCAGAACAGTATTTGCAGTACAGTAACAACATTTAATAGTATAAAGTTTAACGCCATGTCAATTTTACAGCTTTACCCCAGGTCAGTAAACAACCTGTTCAATCTTCATGCCCTCACAATAGGTCCACGTAAAAATACTGCGCTTTCATGTACACACGTGTATAAACTTACATGTATTTATAACTGGGTGATCTTTTGATGTATGTATGTATATGCTTGCATGCATGCATGTATGTATGTATGTACGTATGAGGGTCCATCCACCCGCTGTCGCGTACGGACCCCGGACATGCCACCATTTATACCATTAAAGAGTTAATTTTGAAGCAGAAGGTGGTGATAATTTACCTCCATGCAATTTCTACGGAGTATTAGCCAAAGATCTGCCTTTCAAGCCGTCATTTGTACTAAGTGCTCAAGCACCGTAGTGCACCATCCTTGTCGACTCTGTCTACTTTGTTGGGCCACTCCCCTCGGCTTTAGTTCGGACACCGGCAGCTAATTTCATACAGTCCCAGCCGGTGCTGCCGTGCCGCCTTTAGCATAATTCCGTCTGTAGAGTGGATGAGATCTTACCGACCGACTTAAACGTCATAGAGGATTTAAAGTAATCATCTGCCGGTACCCTGTGCGTTCTTAATGAAGTGCACGTACCGAGAGAAAGAGAGAAGTGTTTCCATGAATTGACACTTTTTTATTTCTTTTATATGCGTCGTTTTGTTGAAACATTAATGCATTTTGAGAAATACATGTATTTTTATTTAATTTAAACTTTACCTTAGAATATTTACATAAATTTTAATAAAACTGTATTAAGATAAAGCTGTTTTAAAGCTCTCAGCACTGATAGTTTTATTTTAATGTAATTTTTTTTTATAAAGTGGACGGTTATTGGAAAGAATGGTCGAACTGGACAGAATGTTCAGTCTCATGCGCTGGAGGATCACGAAATAGGACACGTGAATGCGTTCAACCGAAATTTGGCGGGAAAGAATGCACAGGAATAGACGCCGAAGAAGAGGAATGCAACACACACGATTGTCCTGGTAATAAACCGCACCAAAATGTCTGACATGTTTAGAAGGAAATACAAAAATGCAGTTTCTTTCACAATCTTGATTTAACTTTAATCTAAATGTATTTGTTCCTTATTTTACAGAAACAAACGCTACATTTGATATTTGTAATAGAAGTTGATGACCAAATAAAATAAAAATACATGTAATAATATTGAAAATAAAAAAAGAAACAATCAAGTATAGATGAAATAATTATACAAAATTGTAAGTCTAAAACCAAATTTGCTAATTCAAATCATTACGATAAATTATTATTTCATAAGATGATCGAATGTACTAAATTGTTCTTATTTATTCTGTTGATGATATGACTATAAACGTTGCAGTTGACGGTATTTGGACCACGTGGTTACAATGGTCGGAGTGCTCAGCCACGTGCAATGGAGGCGCACGGAACAGAAGCCGAACCTGTATAGGAACACAAAATGGCGGGAAATACTGCGCGGGTCATGACGTAGATATTCAAATATGTGCCCTGGAATTATGTCCATCAAGTAATGAATATTTAATACTCAGGTCATATACGCATGTCATTCATAAAACATTTTAATATAAGATCACGTTAGTCAATGCTCTCAAATATTGATCGTTTTGTGTAGCCGTTACAAATGCGGTCTCCTTACGTCCTACTTTTTTGCTGTATACATAAGCAAAATAAAAACATACAAGAACACAAACATTGATGCTAGTAATTCACATATAAATAAAACCATCAGAGAAAAAAGTTAATTTGGATGAGGTCAGGAATTTTTAAGATTCTTTATGTTTATCTATTCATTTAGTCGATGGTGGATGGTCAGATTGGACTAGCTGGACAGCTTGCAGCATGAGTTGTGGTTTCTCGGAAAGGACTAGAAACAGAACCTGTACCAATCCTTCTCCGCAGTGGGGTGGCAAGTATTGTGAAGGTATTCATATACAATCAGACAGCTGCATGGAAAATGATTGTCCGGGTAAAATATTTAATACACCTAAGCTATCTTTCCTTTCATTACGTCTTATAACTCTATTTGATCATTGTATTACAACATTGAAATGAAGGATTGGATAAAACAGTGTCATTTAATGATCGAGTACTTTTTTATTCAACATTCAACACATTTTCAATGACGGTTCTTTTGAAAAAGCACGAACTGAAACATGGTCATGTTTATAAAAATGTCATAACTCCGGTTTATTGGTTAATATGTTTCATTTAAATAAATATTATAATTATTCCTGTGAATTATTTTCAGTACTGTAGTGCAATGTTTAATAAACATTGAAATTGAATTTTTACCTTTGTTATGTCCAAGATTGTCATTATTATAGATCATATAAGGAATGGAACATGTTATTTCACGCAAAATAAACATTTTACCTGAGAAATTTTGACACATTGAAATTAAACATTTCTGCATTTTAAACATTAACATTGTGTATTATACTTGATTTTTTAAGTTAGAACATCATTTTGACATCAGTTTATGTTTAGTTATAATTAGTGATATTACATATAAAAGCATATGATATACTAAATCTGTCCCAACTGTCATCAGTGCTATACAATGCTGTGGCACAGCCGTTGGTCATTAACTAGTTTACTATAAAACATGTTTAATATAGTGGACGGTGTGTGGTCATCTTGGGCGACATGGTCACCATGCTTGAATATGACAGTGAATGATGTTTCAAGTCCAAAATGTGGGCGTGGTTTTAGGTATAGAAACAGGACATGTGACAATCCAGCGCCACAGTTTGCCGGGTCGGACTGTAGTGGCAACTTAACAGAGATTAAAAACTGCAATATACCATGTATGTTGATTAATTACTTTATTACTATCTGGTTTACGATAATATCGCATATAGAAATTTTAATGAATAGTGTATGCAAGCAACTAATTAATTTCTAGACAAGTATCAAATGAAACTTTCTTATCATTTTTGTTCAAATCATTCTATAAAAAGACATGAAGTATATAGTATATACGACTTTGAATTTGATCCATACATTGTATTTAAGATAAACATTATTATAATTTGTTATTATATATGCATTTACCATATGTTGATTAAGCAAACTTGATTTGGGGTAACGACCAGTTTAAGAAACTAACGCAAATTTAATTTTCCCGCCATTTTAGGTCATGTGATCACGTGTAGTAAAGAAAATCCGGAGAAATGCCAAATTGTGTTTCAGAATATACCCGGTAATAAAGGTACTGAAGAGTTTAAAATAAACTTGATTTTTTATATAAACTTGCTTTTCAAATGAATAAGAGATTTACAAGTCTCTATTCATTCTAAGAGGCAACTTCATTTAAAAAAAAAGTGTTAAATGTCTATACTGATAAAATAATGTATCGTTAACAATTATTATATAATTCGCTAACAAATATACCTTTGAATGTATTCAAACAAAATTGTGACTGAAAATAGATGTGTATCTAAAAATGAGTAACATACAAATGTACCTCACGTTGCAATGCTGGGATTTGAGCTTTCACGTAGTTAAATTATCAATTAAGGACATATATGTACGAAAGACCGGTGGTGACATTTCACGTTCACGAATTCATGATTTCAAGATTTTAATATTTCATTATTTTTAGAGTGAAATATGGAATTTTTAAATCGTGAATTCATGAATTCGCGATTTCATAATTTCACAATTTCTTTTAAAAAAACCTGAATAAATGAAATCGTCAAATAATGAAATCGTGTCTTTCGTATTTATATATGTAATACCTTTAACTTTGTAAACTTTAAAGTTGAATTAAAAAAAAAACCCTAATTTTTGTAGTTTGATATCTATAGAAGTTTGAAGAAAAACAACAAAAATTGCATCTCGAGCATGTGTATGTATCTAAAAATACTGGTAATATTCTCTTTTTTCTTCTTCAGGAAATAAGGCGGCAACCAGCACTTCTGTGGTCATCTCAATACTGAGTTTTATTGTGAAATTATGTATCTAACAATCATACATTACTTATTTTAACGGTTTAGTTTCTTATCGCGTTTTAATACATTTTTCACAGTGAGAAACACTTTTAATTATACATGAAAACTTGCGCAACTATTGGAGATGTGGCGAAGCTGTATTAATAGAGAGCAAAATCTTTTGAGTTCATCTTTGTTGATGTTTTGTAAATAGAGAAATTGTTTTATAGAAATGTGGCTGTTTGCAGATTATGGTGATCAAATATTGTTAAATCTATATGACATGTTAAACATTTTGCAGTGCAGTGTTTTATGTGTACATTAAAGTAATAACAGATATTTTCATTATATTTGAGTAGAAATGAGGATGTTCATGCTGAAAGTTTACCTTGTCATTATGTTTTTCTTGACAATATATACTCATATCTTTACAATCTTATATCATACATGACACTATTAAATTTCATCTGTACATAATATGCATGCATATGTGCTAAAATATGACGCTATATTTATTTTCTTCTACAGTCTCTTTTTCTAAAAAAAATTACCAGTATTCATTAGATCTGAGAAGTTATGCAAGCTTGTTTATTATATTTTTCATTTTCTTTTTTTTCTCGTTGTCAAATAAGGTAGGTGTTTGTAAATTAAAGGCATTGTATATATAGTCTAGGACTCTTTGTCAAAGGAAATAAATGTATTTCATAGTCTTAGTAATAGTTACATGCCGTGGTTTTCCAGCTACATTATTGTACATTATCTTGCCCATAAAAAGTTAATTATACTTTAATTATACTTAATTATACTTATGTAAAATTTATAGTAAGCTGAAAATAATACATTTTTGTTCCTTTTTTTAATTTATCATTGTCATGGGCACGAATATTGGTATAATCTTTATTAGTTTAATTTTTTATGTATTCTTTTTTATTTGTTTAAATTTCATGTATCTATTTTTATTTATTTTTATTATCATGCATTCATTTGATTTTATTTTTTGCACATTATTTCGACGTAATGTTCAGTCAACTTTAAAACATAAAAAAAAATCTTCAAGAATGTCATGTTATTATCAGTGCCTTTTAGTCTATAAAAAAGGTCTATAGTTTTCAAATCTTTGTTTTATTATTTTTATTCTTTTTTAAATTATTGTTATTCTCGCTTCTTATCATGAATTACCATCAGATCATCTTTCATTTTAAAGGGGAATTGTGTATTACTACTACTTTCAGCAGAGAGCGGACATATTAACAGAGTTTTATCCAGTGTTTTGTTGATATTTCATGACTATAAACTATATGTCTATGGCTGAAAAGTATATTCAATTTGTTAAATATGTGTTATGTATACTGTCAATCGATAACACTTAATATACAATTTCGATCTCTAGATAAAATGTATTCTTAATTTTTTATGGACTGAAATAATTGTAGTAGTAAGTACAATATTTTTAATATCAAATTATCTTTATGTTTATAACCATATAAGAATAACAAAAATGTACTATGACACTGAAATATTCTCAACAAACAGAAAAATACATGAATGAAAAACTATTATTAGCCACTTAAAACAACAGCTAATGGATGCATGTATTTTGTTGTTGTTTTTTGTATATATGTATCTTTAACATTGTTCTTTGTTATACATATATTATGGACTTGAATTATACATAATTCATGATTAAATATTCAGTTTAATAAAAACGTTCACACATGATGTTTACTTTTTATATCATATCCTGTATAAGCACCCAACTATGTAGGCTGATTTGGAACGCTTTTGTGCGTCGTGTAGGCGCCAGCGACAACACGACAAAGCGGCAAACGGCGCGTTGTCGGACTTTTGTCTTATCGTCCTGTCGCTAACGATGCACGTCAAACGGCGCGTTGTCGTGCGGCGTGTTGTCGCGATGTCACATTGTCGCTCGGTTCAAATCGAAGGATTGGCTTTAAAGCCAAGCGACAGGACGACATCGCGACAACGCGCCGCACGACAACGCGTCGTTTGGCGTGCTTTGCTAGAGTCAGGACGACAGTGCGACAACGCCCGTTTGGCGTTTTGTCGTGTTGTCGCTAGTGACAAGACGAAAAGGCGATAACGATATATTTTGTGTTGTCGCTATCGCCAATGCAACGCGCAGTGTACCAAAATCAGCCACCATACTCAACAGCAAGCTGTGGGTTTGTTTTTTCTCCTTCATATTTTCTAACAAACACAAAATAAATAGAATTTGAAAGAGACGTTGAGTAAATAATTGTTTATTCTAGTAAATTTATATTATTCAAATAATATAATGTAAAAATAAAGCTAAATATCATATTCAAACAGCACCACTTTTCAAAAGAAGCTGCGGATACATAATATTCGGATTCAGTATCTAAGTTAGTGTACGTTACCTTTCCAGAATAAGTTATACTAAGTGTTTTCTTATTGTCATGTTTATACAAAAAGTGTCGAAATTTGTGACCATCCGGCCACACAATTTCAACGTCTTTCACTATTTTGTTACCCACTCCAAAATGAGCGATTGGTTCTGATTGGCACATGTAAGAACAGTCTCCACCAATCACAACGCGTCTTTGTAAGAAATTTGACAATGTTAACGTCACGGTGCTGCCTCGTGCAGGTGCTCCGTGTTTAGATAGAGGCAGGAATCGTATCCAGTTGGAATTATTTACAATATTTTGATAAATTGAAAATGTCTTATTATTGTACATATCATGGCTAATAAATAATTCTAAAACTCCATCCATATCGAGATCTGCTGTAGCAATCCCTAAAAATAATAAAAATATCAGGTAATATCTATGTCTCAATGTTATTTCAGTGCATTATAAAAAAAAGATATTTTTTTAAAAAAGATAGAGAGAAACAGAATCCTACGGTGGCATAAAAGTGACATTTGCAAATTATTATTATTTTTTTTTTGTTGAAACTTTTTTTTGTTTTTCGCACATTTTTTATTTTTGTTTTTGAAACTTTTTTTTGTTTAAAAAATAAAAAATGTGCGAAACATTTTTTTCTTTGTTTTTGTTTTTGAAACTTTTTTGTTGTTGTTTTTTTGCACATTTTTTATTTTTTGTTTTTTTGTTTTTGAAACCTTTTTTTGTTTTTCGTACATTTTTTTTTAGTTTTGCGTACATATTTTATTTTAGTTTTTCGTACATATTTTTAAGCCAATCAAAACAGTTACACCTTATAGAAATAGTTATCTCCCATAGTATAAATTACGCCATTTCCTTGTTCAAAAATGGTATGAAGTAAGCCGTTAATGTACCTCGGTATACACGATGGGGTCTCAAATCGAGGAATTTCTACGAAAGTGAGGCGTAGACTCTTCAACACTGGCACGAATGGCCGCGGATAAGGTAACTTGGATTTTTTTTTTTGAAAAAAAAAAGTTTCAAAAAAAAAAAAAAAAAAAATTTGCAAATGTCACTTTTATGCCACCGTAGAATCCCTTATGAAAGCCAAACAAGATAAAATTGAAATGTTGCAAGCCCGGTTTGATTGAGCCTGTTCATGGACGGTTGTTTGTAATTGCAAGCTTCCGTCCACGCCCCTTAGCACCGGCTTTAGCAGAATTCAACATTTGACATAATCTGGTAAAATTTTAAATTTAGAAAAATCAGAAGATGCGTTCATATAGTTTACAAACTTGACTTATTTAACAGTTAATCTTATTACTTATGTGGATAAGATGATTTTGATGACCATAATTATAACAAACAAAGTCTCTTTACATACTACGACGTTATTCCTATTGATGAGATAACATTTCATTAGTAGGGTAACGTTTTGATCATTGCTACCTTGTTTTTACTTATCAAGGAACATTCAATCAATAAAATTTAAGCAATGGTAGTTTCTGGCCGTTTTCTCAAAACAGCATAACAGAGTTGATAGAAGATAAATAAATACATATCTACCACGTATGCGGAGCCGTTTCAATTTTTCATCATCACCAAGACTAGATTTCGAGACGGTTATCCGTGACGAGTTCACGGTATGTATTGTTGTGAAAATTTCATTATATTCCGGAAAGTAAATGTCCCCATTAGCACCGGTTTTCAATATGTCATCTTCACCATCATTGTCAAAGTCACCCATCAATATAATATCTGATGCTGCTGGATATGTGAACGCTGACTCTTTAATTTCCTAGAATGATTGTTAGATTTTTTGTACTCTTATAAGGATGTTGAATTAATTGTATTTTATTGTAATTTGATTGTATTTAAATGTAATTTGATAGCTGTTTGATGGTATAAAAGTATGCGATTGTCATATTGATTTCAATGTTCCTAATATATTATATTTAATGTTTTAAACATTTATTAAAATAAAGTTCAAAAAAGTTTAACTGTAACCTTAAATGCCGACTAACACAGCACAATTTAAGATAAATTGAGGTTTAAAAATTAATACATTGAGGTTTAACTGATCGTTGTAAACATAACACACTTTTTTATACACAAAAAACATAAATAGTTTAATCTTAAAACTTACACGAAGCTGTTTCATATCGTTATCGTCATCAATTTGAAACACTCTTGTTGGACCAAGCCAGTTAGTATACACTAGAGCAAATTCACCATTATTATTTAAATCTACAATTCCTGCACCACGGCCATTATTATCCTGGTCTTCAACATCTATAGATATATACAACTAATGTAAGGATTGTCAAACAATTGTTCAAACTGAAACGAAATTTGAAATTTATTTAAAAGGCCATCAGTGTCAATGAAAAAGAATGGAAAAAGTAGAAATCTCGAGTTCAGTCTATATTTATTCAGTGAATTTATTATCTCCTTTACATTTTTTATACCAAGTATTTTTAATTTTTATATCCTATTGTTTCCTATCTATTTCGTGTCAATCTTTCTTCATCATCAAGTGTATAAAAATAGATTTACCATACCTAGTTTCTCAGCAACATCCTCGAATGTACCATCACCCTTATTCTTTAGTAAAACGTTACTGCCATCATGTCTGTTCACGCGGCTACCAATAGTATAACTGTTTTCGTTGGTGATAAAAATGTCACTGCTGTGCTTGTTTGGGAACAATGGACCAACAAGTATTCCACGTCCATCTGTTGAAAGTCATCAGAAGATTATTTTGTCACATAATTAAATGCGTATGCACGCCAAAATTACTGGGGTACATGTATTAGATAATCATAACTTGTGCTTTTAAAATAAACTCTCAACTTTTATCTATAAACAACAGATCTTATTAAAAAAGTTGATGTTATCATATTCGTTCATTTAGTAATGATAACAAAAAATATAACACTCCAAATGAAGTATATATTGTAAACATTTACAATGCCATGGTCATTTTATTGTCATTTACTGGTGTTAAGGAAAGGTTGAGTGAGAAAATCGGAAAATAGTGTGCCTGCTTACCCCTTTCTATATCTAAGCCAATATTCTTTGATATTTCTGTTAGCGTTATGTTTAAACTTCGATTTTCACTACTGTTAGGTCGTGCTGAGAATATTTTGTACGTTCCTCGGCCTTCTGAATATTGAAGCTACGATTATCAATATAATTAACATTAAAATCAATATTATTAATGTGTAACTATAACACGTACTTCCTCAAACTGATTAATGTTTTTTCTTTTTATTAAGTTTCTACACATATTTTTATTGAATTAATAATGTAAAATTCATTCAATAACGAAATAGACATTTTTACTTTTGAGGTAGCATAAATCTACAAATAACAAAAGGGAAGACATAGATTGCACGTTCTGGTTGGCCATTCGTTTATTTATAGTTTTTCATGTATGTAAAGTAAATTGTAATAGAGAATTAATCACCGAAAAGCATGTAATAAAATACAATCTATTAAACAAATTAAATTCGCCAGATATTTTCGGCTTTACTGAGACATTTCTTGGTGATGATACAACAGACGATGAATTAAATATTAACAATTTCACACATGAAAGAAAGGACCGTAAAAGTTGTCAAAAAGGCGGGGGAGTTGTAATATATATTGCTGACAAGGTGCCATATCGGCGCCGTTACGATATAGAAACGGACGAATTAGAATATGTTTGGTTGGAAATTATTTACCCAAATTGCAAACCTTTTCTTTTAAATTTTATATATCGCCCACCAAATGTACACCAATCTTGGATTGACGATTATGAAAAACAACATAGTATAATAGATATATCAAATATAGAATATCATATTCTAGGAGATGTCAATATAAACTTTTATCCAATGAATAAAAAGAAAATATATGACAATACAAAATGGGGGGATTTGATAACGAAATATGGTTTGAAACAGCTTATCACAGATCCTACTAGGATAACAAAACGTACCCAAAAAATTATAGATCATGTTTATACAAACAGTAGCAGATATATTATTGAATCGTTTGTTTCTGATACCTCATTAAGTGATCATTATCCGATAGGTATTTCAAGATCAACGAAAGCATGTAGTACCCGATTGATTAATGAATATAATTCGATTAAATATAGATGTTTTAAAAACTTCAATGAAATTGATTTTCAGGCAGACCTTGCTTTATCCGATCTTGAATTAGTCGAGCACATAATAAATCCGAATGAATCCCTTAGCTTATTTTACTCCATTTTAAATACTATCTTGAAAAAGCATGCACCAATAAAAGAAAAACGTATCAAACGTGAACACCGCCCGGAATGGTTTACTGATGAGATAAAATATCTTATACACGAACGCGATTACTATCATAAAGTAGGGAAACATGAACAATACAAATTGCTCAGAAATAAAATAACATCAATGATTAAAAAAAGTAAAAGGGATTTCTTTAACAATGCTATTAAAAATAACAAAGACCCGGCATTTTTATGGAAAAATTTAAAGGACGTTTCAAATCTAAATAAAAAAGGTAGTATTACAATGCCAGACAGACTAGTGACAGATAATAAAGAAATTTACGGAACTGTTAATATTATAAATGAATTAAATAAGTATTTTGTCAATATCTCGAATGTCATACATAAAACAAAGTTTTCAAATACAAAGTTTTCAAAATTGAAAGAAACTTTAGACCAAAAGCTAATACATCATGAATTTAATATTGAATTAATTACACCGTTTGAAGTAAAACTTATTATTGAAAAACTGAATATTAAAAAATCTACAGGATTAGATGGAATTGGACCAAACATCATCAAATGTTGTGGAGATTATATTACACCAATAATTGCATCAATTATCAATAATAGTATTAAATCTAATATTTTCCCAGATGATTTAAAAAGAATTCGAGTTATACCTATTTTTAAATCGGGGGATAAGAATGAAGCAAATAACTATCGACCGATATCAATTTTGTCAACTATATCCAAAATATTTGAGCGCCATATTGCCAAACAAATACACTCATTCTTTGAAAAAACGAACATTATTCATAATAGACAATCAGGATTTCGTAAAAATCATTCATGTAATACTGCACTCATAAGTTTAATAGTTACTTGGTTAAAAGATGTTGACAGTGGAAAAATTATAGGGACTGTATTCTTAGACTTAAAGAAAGCCTTTGATTTGGTTGACCATGAAATACTTTTGCATAAACTTAAACTTTATCATTTTTCTGAAAATGCCGTTAAGTTTTTTATGTCATATCTTTCTAAAAGAAATAAAACTAGTTAAGATAGGTGATCTACAATCTCAGACAATGAAAATAATTTCCGGTGTTCCACAAGGCTCAATATTAGGACCTTTATTATTTCTAATATACATAAATGACATAGCTTTCATTGATAATGATATGAAAATTGATTTATACGCAGACGATTCTACTCTTTATGAGTCCGGAGAAAATATATCAAAAGTAGAAATAAAACTTCAAGATCATTTAAATAACATTGACAAATGGTGCAAAATAAATAATATGGCCTTAAATCCAGATAAATCAAAATGTATGGTAATAGGTACAAGACAAAAAGTAAATATTATGAGAAAATTAATTCTTAAGATAAATGAAATAGCTCTTGAAAATGTAACTGATCAAAAGTCTTGGGTATTTGCATAGATAACAACTTAAATTGGCACTTGCAAATTGACAATGTTTGTAAAAAACTTAACGGAAAAATTGCCTTATTGAAAAAAATATCGTATTTTTTGCACTTTGATATGAAATTATTGTTTTACAATGCATATATATTGCCTATTATGGACTATTGTTGTATTATATGGGGTAAAGGAAACACAAACTACATAAATAATGTTTGTAAGTTACAAAAACGAATTGCTAAAATCATTTTACAGCAACCTCAAAGATCTCCGTCAACAAATCTATTCGAAACTCTTAATTGGTTACCGTTCCTTGACAGATGTAAATACCACACGGCGGTGCTTGTTTTTAAAACTTTAAATAACATGGCACCGACGTATATGACAGAACTGATGACTTTATCCGACAACAAAATATATAACTTAAGATCTAGGTCACGGAAAGATATTGTATTATGGACAAGACCTAAAACAAATTATATTAAAGACACATTTTCTTATTATGGCATGAACATTTGGAACAATATACCTTTAAATATTCGTAATGTTAATAACCTTAAATGTTTTAAAGAAAAATACAAAGCATATCTTGATGTTCAAATGAATGAATGAGTGAGTGAGTGAATGAATGAATGAATAAATATATGAACGAACGAATGAACGAACGAACAAATGATGCAATATACATATATGTTTAACAAAAATTGTTGAGTGCCTGTCGAAAGTATATGAGTTGTATTATTCTAAAATTTACATATTATACATTCATTTTTCTACCTATGAATGTCCTGTTGTTGTTGTTGTTGTTTTCTTTTTCAGAAGGCCACTTTGGAAATAAGATATATATGATTGTTATTGTATGTTCTTAATGTGTAACCTTCTTTAAATAAAGATATTATTATTATTATTATTAATGAAATATGGCTGATCTAATTTGAGTATTGCGCAAACAGTTGAAGTAGAATCTTGGAAAACAATCGTTGATTTACGAGAGTTAAATTTCATCAAACATTTTGTATATAAACGTAAGTTAAGGGTTATGTTAATAACAACACAATCTTTATAATTGTTTAAATGAACATAAAATCACCTTTTGTATACGTCGTAACAATGACGTCATATTGACCATTTCCGTTACGATCAATGCACGCTACAGAGTAACCGCCATGTCTTGGTGCCATTTTTCTTTGAGTTTCAGACAGAGCAAATAAATCCACATGTTGGCCATTTATCATCTTGAAAAGTTTATCAGGGACAATAGTGACATCATCTGATACAGGATAGACGTCATTGTGATTATGTATGTAAAGTTCTTCTTCTCCGTCACCGTCTATGTCACATGAGCACACAGCCATTGTTTTTCCTTAAATCACAAGAGAAATTGTTTTTTAACACTCACTCCGCTAAACTTAAATAACCTATCCTGCGTTGTAGTCGGACAATTCAAATAGTTAAGGGATTTGAAACATTGAAATAATGAAAGTGAGCATCCGATAGTGCAGAATTTGAACAAAGTACCCGGATGTGCAGCCTAGTCTGACTTTACTCTGGTAGTTACACAAGTCAATATCACTGCAATCATTCACTCTACCAGTTAAAATTACTGCAATGTTATCTTGATTTTTTTTTAAATTTAAAATGATACATTACATGCTTTTGCTATTGAAGAGATTTCACCTGATTATGTTGTTACTTTTTTAATAATAAGGAGATAGGTGCAATAATAACAATAAAATAGTAATACATGTATTGTTATACTGTTTATAGAGCATTTGTCTTGTTTTCCAATTATAAGATTGTGTCACTTTATAAAATTCAGATATTCAACAGGAAAAATATATGTCAAATCATTTTACAGGGTATTACACTGATATCCAGAAATAATTGATTCATAATGGAAATATACACACATCACATATTATATTACCTGTATTGTCACGTGATGCATGATATTTTGGCTGCATTGAAAAAACATCATAATATGCCTTGGTGTCTCTGTCAAATTTTATGATTTTGTTGGGTCCATTGGTCCTGTTTGCCAAAAGAAGAAGTGAAAATTACGTATATAGTTGATTATATCAATAGATACATTTCATATGCCATTTTTGTATTACATGACCGGGCTACCTGATTGACTTGACATTTGATAGTAGTACATTACATAACAGTTTTAGCTTGAATGAATAAAATTCCAAAGTTTATACTTTCTTAACCTTTATTCAATTACAAAAATGCATTAATTTTCCTTTCCTTTCTACAATAATATTAGTATGCTTAAGTATTTTGTAAAATCATAATTCAGTCTTACACAGCAACAATAACTTCAAAGGTCCCATCATTGTCGAGGTCAGATACTGTAATACCAGAGGTCCTTCCGGTTGGTGCAAAATCCACGTTTGTTAACTCCCGTAATATGCAATGAATTACACCAAACCGCGGCAAGAACAAAATGTAAATCGATACCGGAAGCATAGCTGATGATAAATAAAAATAGTTTGAAATAAATTTTCGTTTCGAACATTAAGTCACATTTCACTATTTTCTTTTTTAATTCTAAATATGAACCTCTTCACTGTGACGTTCAGACAAGGTATCGACGACTTGTATTGATATGATTGCTTACTATGCTCATTTCGCCGCAACTTCACGGCCTTCTTTATTTGTTTATGCACAACTTATTTAAAGTTACAATTTCAGGTTGCTTTTTGTAGAATTAAACTGAATAATGAGTGTATCTTACACATAACCTTGCACATCGAAGAAACAATGCATGTTGAACGCATGTAATCATCGATTTACTGTAGACAATATGTTTCTTTGTAATTTAATCAAACACTCGGTTATTTACTGGTGTAAAACAATGAATATTTAATGACAATTATACCTGGGTGAGGTTTTACTATGAACAATGAAGACACCTGCTGATTAACAAGGTATAAGTCACGATGATTTCTTTGTGATTATTGTATTTCAATAAATAAATTATTGCCTGCATTGTTTTGTTAAGATTGTAACAAGAAATCATATATGGTATTGACAGACATCATTTTCATGAATGATACATTATATGAACAACTGAAACGTTATTTTCTCTTTTTTGCTATATTTACTATTGTATGAACTCTGGGAGTGCGAGATCCCTCGATAGTAATGGCAACAAAAACAATAGCTGGAAATAACAGACTGGGTTTTATTGAGTCTGTTCATAAGAGATAATGTTAAATGCAACATCTTTCACACCATCTACCACCGACTTAAGCATTATTCCATCTTCAACACTTCGTTACTCGACAAGTATTGGAATCAACGATCCCGAATGATAAGAAAAATATAAAATCACTTAAATGGAGAATTGTGCAATTTTTTATTTTCTAATAATTCCACATGCAACAAATTTATTATAATCTATACATAACTTTTTTTAAAGTTACTTAGATATCATAACGTCTACATAGTCCAACAAGACAGATATCGTTATTTTTCTTCAATTATTATGTTATAATTAATATCAGGTACATGTATAACATCTTATTGCTGCCTAAGACTTCATGTCATCTTTCCATCCAGATACCATTTGGCTGAACGACGTGTGGTCAGCTTTAATTTGACTGAAATAATAATATAAATAATAATAATAATAATAATAATTCTTAACAAATGTTTCTGACAATTTACATTTATTAATACATTGCAAAACTTAAAAATAACCACCATGATTGTAAGAACATAAAAATAGACAGTAACGTATGAGAAATTGAACGAAACAGTAATTAAAACTAGTCCCTTATGGTAAGTTATTCATTTTTGGAAAGAGTAAATGCTCTGTACATGCAATAGAAATTGATAAATACAATTGAATTAAATGGTGTTTAAGACAAGTGAAAATGACTATTCAAATCTTAAGTCAGTCAGCTCTTTTGTGCGGCCTTGCAATGCTCTATGCTACTAGTAACTCAATTTTATCATTTTGATATTTTAACATTTATCCTGATAGCGGTAAATGATTCTACCCATGCAACCAGTGCAGGCCAAGATCAGCTGACATGCCCGTGCCTTCTTTCAATGTTCTGCACATTTTGCTATACAGCCGGTAAATATTTTGAAAATTTCCCTGAAAGTCGTGAATGGTTGAAATGATCTGTCCCGATTGAAAGATCGACACGTCCATTTAAAATAATCAACGGGGTAGAGTTAATCTGCTATAAGACTCCCCGTAATAAACTGTTTTAAAGCAGGACATGTACGTTTCGAAATTCAGATAGGAATTTAAATAATTCTAAATGCTCACAATACCTGTTGTCAAACGAAGACGGGAATTTGTCCAGAATGCTCATGAGCTTTTTAAGCGCTGCCATGGTTTCACTAAGATTTCCTGAAATGATGAAAATGATAAAACTAAGAAGAGATCATGAGTTTCATATTGACAGATATTACATATAGCACATGTAAAATTATGACAAACGTGCATAAATATAAATGTTAAAAACGCACGTACCAATTTCATTTGGTTTAGTTGTCGAGGTCTCTTTTCGAGCGGACCCTGCAATACAAATAAAAATTTAGACATAAAATTGCTGTAACAAAATGGGAGATAGTATTTATAAGTAATATATCATACTAAACATGTATGTATTGATACAAACACTGTTCCTAATCAAAACCAAGAATCCGAAAGAGTCAACAGTCTGATTTAGCTTCGCATATTTTTAAATGAAAACAATAAATTATTTAGCACTATATGTCCTACAATCCTGGACGTATATAAAATGCCACAAACTTTCAAAGTAATGATTATCAAAGTATTTGTTGAAATCTCACTTACCTGGCCAGCTGCCATCCCAGTTGATATGTTGGCTTTGTTGATTTGTAGAACCTGTGGTGTTTGAAATAGCTAGACCTTCTTTGTTATCCGTGTTACTGATACCACTTTCTATAAAAGATAAATTAAATTTTTCCTACATTATACAAAACTTATGATCATGAGAGAAATTGCAAAATGTAGCATCTCTCATGCCCCGGTTTCCTTATATCGGGGATCTGTATAACACATTCCTCTAATATCTAATATAATGATTAGATAGGAAAGGACAAAAATAGAACCCACTTCTTAACATCTTAAGTTACCAATACGTAATAATCTAAACACATTGTGTATTGAGTTTATATAATGGGACGACATTTCTATTACAGGTCTTAAAAACAATCTTAATCATTATCCTTTCATTTATATATATTACGAATTAGATTTCAAACTTTGCTTCAATGTGTATATAATTAAAATATTACTAACTTGGCCATTTTTCTGACCAATCGCCGGACCAATCTCCACCAACAGAAGTTTTACCTTCAAACGAAAATGTCAAAAATAAACTTAGCGCACAAAAAATGCAACATTATATCAGGAATTGACTGCACTTTTACATCAAGTCACAATGCTCAAAATATGCTTTCTTTTTTTCTCTACAAAACGATGTTTACATTTGTAACTCGCTAAATAATTTGAATTTTGTTGTGTCCTGTCATGACTGATTTTCGTAAACAGAAACATTTATATTTATTTTAGGCGCTCGCTGCTGGCGGTTACCGATTATACAAATGCGACCATTGCAGACCAAAATCAGCTGGCACATTTGGACCGTCTGATCATAGTCTGCACTGTCTGCCATTCAATCCGCCCATGTTTTTTTCCCTTGAAAAGAAGGACAAGAACAAGATATCTAGCATGGAAAACATTAGTTAACGTTTGATCTTAAGTGTAGGTATGAAGCGATTACGATGTAAACTGTTAACATTCGCTTGAATTATACACAATACTTTAATATTATTGTAAATATCTACGATGTTCCGTGATTGCCCACGACTAAAAATGAAAAATGAAGTATATCAGATTAAACTGTAGCTGTAAATTAAATGTGTGTTAAACTAGTTATTATCTCAAACTTGATATTTTTACTATCAGTTTGACATACCTGGCCATTCGCCCTTCCAATTATTTGTATTAACACCTGCTTTAGCTGATATGTAATTGGTTGTTTCAACGTTAGAATAACCTTTGAGATGATTTTCATCTTTCTCCACTTTAGGCTCACTTCCACTGCTATCAATATCTTGAAACATCTGTCCTATTCCAAGCATGCCCGGATAGCCGGTATATAGAGGTTTTGATACGCTTGAAGAATTGTGATTTATCTTATAACTTGTCTGGGATTTAGTTTCTCCAATTTCTGATATCTGGTTGTATGTAAGAGACGGTATCAAACTTTCTGACACGTTTCTTAAAGACTCCGGTAAATACTGATGATCTAGAGTTGGACTATTCTGTGGCACAACTGTTTGTAGTGGAACCTGTGACCCGATGCCGAGCATACCTGGCTGTCCGCTGAACTTCAGACTTGGAAACATGCTTGAGGCATTGATTGTTAATGTTGACATAATGTTATCAGGGAAGGTTTGAGACAGAAACTCTGGGACTTTGCTAGAAGGCAATGATCCGCTTGCAACTTGCAGTTCCAAAAACGCGTTCTTCGTTTCATTTGTTATATTGCTTGTTTTTATTTCATCAGTTCTGTTTTGAACGCCTGCGAGTGATGACGTAGGTTCACGTGACTGTTTATAGTTAGGTGAATTATTAATAGATTCTGCATTCATAAAACTTGGAACGAATGGATTAACTGCTGATCCGAAAGCTACTCCTAAAATGCAACAAAACAGACATTTTTTTCTATATTTTGATTTCTTTTGTTCCACCAAATATTATAACTGACTGACTTAATTAACTTTTTGTTTCATTTTATAATTTTATAGATGTTTCTATTATAATGAAAAAAAAATAAAAAATGTTAAAAAAAAAATACAAAACTAACATGAATTAAATTGACTACTTCTCCGATAAGATATACCTGCATATTTATACGCATAATTATTCGGATCAAATCTCGGAGTGTCTATACCGTTCCCAGTATATTGTTTGTTATTGCCTGCAAAGACAAAAAGACAAATTATCATAACATGATTTGCAAGTGATATAGTGTAATCATTTTATTTGTAAATTATTGTTTAAAATTAAAGTATTGACACAAAACTTAGAAGTTTCAAAAACGAAATATTTGACAGCAATATATGTTAAAATAATTTAAGAAGCCCATGCAATTGTTCCATTGAAAAGAATCAAGTTCGAGTTGTCTCTTTTAAACAATTACCAGTGATAAGTATGTTTACAAAGCAATGATAACTATAACTTAACGGACTTCATTTTGTGAACATAAAAATACTTCATTACATTTCACTTAAAATGAAGTGAAAATAATTTTCCGAAATACCTTCGAATATAAAACCAGTGGGATCTAAAGGATTGTAGAGTCCATTGTCAGAGAGTACTTGTAAAAGATTAGCATCTTGTCTACTTTCCCTTTTACCTGCACAGATATATACTTCATGAAATCTAAAATCGTTTAACTTATGTACTCAACAGTAAAAAATGAAAACAATTGGCTGAATCTTAATTATAACCATCCTTTATTATTTTTGGTTCATTTGTATTTTTGTTGTTACTTTTATATAGAGAAATTCAAAATACATTTTTTTCCAGTAGAAAGTGTTATTGCAGTTACATCGATACATATCCCTTAAAGCAGACATATAATAGGCTAGAAACCTCCAAGAGAAAAACCTTCGTTATGTAATTATGATGTAAATCAAATCTTACCTCGGAAGCTTTGGACGGCCAGACATTTTAAAAACAACACAGCTAAAACAATAAAAGGTCTATTCCACATTCTGTCCGTTTGAAAGCATGGATAGATAGATATAATATAAATACATGTACTTGACCATTGGTTATAATGCTATATCACAGGCAGGTGCACGATATGTGAGATAATACTAGATAATGGTCAAGGAAGACCTAAAAATGATCAGCCTTTACCACCACTAAAGAGCAAGGTCAGCGTGTTTATCTGTGCAGATTGGTTAATCTATATACTGCTGGTAGCTCAATTTTTGTATTTTATTATTGAAACCCATCCAATTACCAATGGACAGCTTGGAATTCAATATACACAAATTACGACGGTTTTAAGGGTTAATAAGTAACAGCTGAACATCACTTGATGTTTTGATATATGCTACAGGATCACCTTTTTGACATTGCATATTTCAGTCCTATTATCATCATCATATTAAAATCATATTTTCGCTAACGATACACCTGTACGGGGACCTCATAATCCTGTACTTCATTCATCGATTTGTCATGTACACTTTGCACGATAAGCACGTGGAAAAGCATACCCATTGGAATTTGGTGTTTTCACTTAAACGTGTACAAGCAGCAAGACTTTTCTCGTTTCATTGTAAAACTGTGTTCGAAATTAACAAACTATGGCAAATCGACAGGTAAGACGTCGTCTTAGTGAAGATGAGATAAACAGGAGTACTGGAATGTTGGAGGCTGGCCGTTCACAACGGCACGCTGCCAATGTTCGTGGGGTATCCCAGAGCGTTGTCTCCAGGATGTGGAACCGATTCCAAATGACTGGAAATGTCTTGCAGGGCCACGCCGGAGGTCGGGAACGTTCAACGACTCAAGCCAGGACCGATTTATTGTCCTTCAGGCCAGGCGCCAATGGTTCTCGAACGCTACGACCTTACGTAACAACTTCCAGAATGCACTTGGTGTGCGTGTTAGCACACAAACTGTTAGAAACAGGATCCATGATGCTTGGTTGAGGTCACGGAGGCCAACAATTCGCATTCCTTTGACACAACGCCATATTCAAGAGCGTTTGCAATGGGCGTAGACTGATGTCACATGGGCGGTTACTGATTGGGCCCGGTCCTCTTCACTGATGAGTCAAGGTTTTGTGTGGACTTTACGGACAGACGGGCTATGGTTTGGAGAAGTCCAAATGAACGCTTAGCTCCAGCATGCGTTGCAGAACACGACCTTTTTGGCGGGGGTTCAGTCATGGCGTGGACGGGAATAAGCGCTCAGGGGAAAACGGACTTACACATCATTGAAAACGGTACACTGACGGCAGTTTGGTACGTCAATGAAATCTAAGACGTCCATGTACGCACGTACGCTGACGCAGTCGGCCCTGATTTCATTCTTATGGATGACAACGCCCATAGCACACAGAGCCCACATCACAAACCGATATCTTGAGGAGGCGACTATAGTCCGCATGGATTGGCCAGCGAGGTCCCCGGATTGAAATTCAATTGAGCATGCTTGGGATATGCTCCAGAAAGCCATTTCTTCACGCCACGTCCAACCAACAAAAGTTCAGGAGCGGAGATATGCAATCATAGAGGAATGGGCGCAGCTTCCTCATCACAAGGTCCGCAGGCTCATCAGCATCATGCGGCGGCGGTGCCAGGCCGTAATTAATGCCCGCGGACAACATACTCGGTATTAAACACCCTACGCCAACCATTTCCTGATTTGCAAGATTTTTTTATACCACTATGTGATCTCCAAAATGTTGATTTTTGTCCAACACACTCATTCCTATCAGGCACACGTCAAGGAATACTTCAATTGTCATTACTTTCATACAAATCAATTCCTAACTAATTATATTTAATTCCTTTTAATCAATAATCACATTTTTTACAAATACACAAAAGTAACGCAATTTGAAATATGGCTCAGTGTATTTCTTCTGCATGTTAAAATGACTTGCTTATTAAACTTGTTTTATAACTATTAAAGTTTTGGATTAAATTATTGCAAACAGACATTATCCTTCTTAAAGAAATTTATAATTTATCGTAAAATGACTGTATAAATGGTCAATGTGATAATACTGCTATCTTGTCATCGAATTTCGCATGACTATCTCCTTGAAAAGCAACGTCATCTGATAAGAATACCGGGTAATTTCAATTCCATTTTTCTTTATTAAGGGTATAAAATTATTATTTCAGTTTTCCGCATAAATAACCACGGAAAAATCATTTGAATTAAAAAACCAAGTTTTCTCTTAAGTTCTAATTTTACTATTGATTAAATCGCAATTATCCTAACATAAAAGCGTGACTTAAAGTAGAATAGATAATTGTATTTAATCGGCATGCATATCATATATACAAATGTACATCAATAGATATGACCCAGATGCCACAGAATTGAATAAAAAAACCTCTATATTTTCATTTGATTCATTTTTAATATATTTAAGTACAGGTTTTGTAAAATTTTATTTAAAAAACCCTATACCATATCCTTGAAAGTTATTGTCTTGTGGATTTAAAATCGTAGTCGTTCGGCTATTATTGCACATCAAAGGTGCAATTTCAATTCAATTACCATAAATTAAGATATTTTATACTTAGTGTTCGGTAAAGATCAGTTCACTCGGATAAAGAATTAATATATGTAAAATATAAGACCAAAATTGATCTGTAAGTTTAAAGTTAAGTAAATGGAGATGAAATTATCAACCTCTGGTAGACGTGTATGAGATTTTATTGATGCATTATGGAAGTCGCGAATTGCTTTTGGTTTCAGTCCTGGGTTTAGTGATACTGAAGAACTGGCGTTATCCCACGTTCGATGGTATAATGAGCATGGAAAACAGGAGCTGAAGCAATTTCTGGTGAATTTAGACGCAGAGCAAATCGTCAAAGATGATACAGAATCAAACAAATATAGCATAATGAACTCCATTGGTGCTAAAATTGCCGCCATAAATCCAAAACTTTCAGGGACAATGGTTAAAATGGGAAGCGCACGAAACCATATGAAAATAAATGTGCAACGTTTTGAATGAAAATGCAAAAACCAAAACAATCGGAACAACTAAAATTCGACTGTCGATCCTTATAGATTTTGATGGAGGCGAAAGGGTAGATGTTGGCGTATTTGATATTGATGTTTACCCTAACGATCCATGCCTCGATGAGATATTGTCAATATATGGAATTACTGATGTGGAAAGGTATAAACACCTGCTGTCAAGGGATGGAGAATTTTATATTCTTCATACAGAGGTTCTTGGACTATCTATATCTAATATCTTAGATTCAGTCATACCGACTGTGGAATTTCCAGAACACTGGAGTCATGGTGGTTTCAATTATCCACATTATAGTGGTGTACGTTTAAACATTCCGGCTTATCTCATGCAGTTTGTATATCATTGCACAGATACCCCGTTACATATTTCTGTAGACTTTGCATCGGTATTAAAACTACCAAATCATTTCAATGTCAAAACAGGTGATTTAGTGGAACAGTTTTTGGAAAAGCATGGTGTTGCAAAGTATCAATGGCATTGTCTCGAATGTGGCCAGATGATGGCATTGCCAGGGTATTTGATTTTCTCGCGTCGATAACTGCTGGAGAATCAAGGTCTTTGATACATGTGTACAAATATCCGCAGACTGAGGAACAAGAATTCATCAAAAGATGGTTGGTCACTCGGAAAGAGCTCGATGCGTTATTAAATAGTTGATTCATTGAAGCTGCATGTGTGTTAACTTTGTAGAAAACGCAAAATCAGCAGATACTGTGTTTTGTAAATATACGCAATGTACTAAAAGTACCAAAAGTTTCACGTGTATAAAAAGTAGTATCAGAAATTAAAGTGAAATTGTTCAGTAGTATTTGTGTTGATTAGACATTTTTCAATCACTCCTGAAAGGACAGGGTAAACATGGGTGTAAATGGAATGTACTATAATCATTGCCACGATGTATTCTTTATGGACAGACGTACGTTTTAAATCAATACCTGAAACCTCTAAATGTCGACCAATGAACAGGCGCACTCATTGCATCAGTCTCGGAAACCTATAAATGGTGACAAAACCACAGTCAAATTCAACCTTAACTTTTCGTTTTCTCTGTATGTCTCTGTATGTTTACGAGTTTTCTACTGTTAAACATGAGAAGATAGTTATACTTTGATGAGATTATCAGAAACATTAAATCAATAGATACGACGATATTCAATACCCTTTCAATGGTCTTATCACATAAATAATTAGGATCACCTCTAAAATGCCAGAATTTAAAGGTTACATAAGCTTACGCATTTTATAAAGTTTAAAAACATTCTGCATGATTATAAAATGTATTTCTGTTGTACTCGTAACAAAATGCAATATTTTTTGTATAGATTTATATCTTAATATAAATCATGACAAAGGTTATACTGGTTTACATGTTATATGTTATAACATATGATATGTTATATGTTGATATGTAGTATTCACGAGAATGTATGTTATTCGAATTAAATGTCGTCCAATTTTTGTCTCTAATTAGTCGTTAATATTTCTCGTTGTATGCTACTGATCCTGCGAGAAGTCCCACCAAACCATTATCTTCTTTTATTGTCTTCACGTTGTGTTTGGCCATGCCTGAAATACGTAAAGTGTGGAAACGTTCAAAACTTTTCGCGGATATTTTCTATACCTTTATAGATACAAGACAGAAATATGATTTTAATTTAATGAAAGAAAATGCTTCAAAATGAATGAAAATAAAAAAAGGAAAAAGCTTTCTGCTATTTCTCAGCAACTACAAAGATTGCTGTTAATGGCATGCGTAACAGTATCGTCCCTCGCTGAAGAAATGAATGCCTGTAATCAAAACAAGCGAGTGCTACGCTTCTTAATCACTTGTAATATTTGCTACACTTAACTATTAGTTTTCTCCCTCATCATCATTTTACATTGTAAAAACATGTATGCTGTGTTACTGGGGATAAATTCCAGGACTCTGGATTAAATCCATACTTATGCAACAACCATACTCAATAACATTAGTACTGCTCCAGCAAACGGTCTTGAAACTGACAGATCTATATGTCAGAATTAACTATTGAGCCAACAAAATGCGCGAACGATATTTGTATTGTTACCTTTAAACAAATCGATTGCTCTTTTGCCAGTCAAAGAAAACATATTGCTCATGTTTCCTGTAAGTCCCCCACCTGTAAAAAAGCAATGTTTCAAATAAAAACATAATATATATTTCAAACATATCGTTTAACTACACACCACCGGCAATGCAAAAACTTGGATTGGCATAATGTCAGTTTAAGAAATTCAGCATGTTTAAAGTTAATAAAAACACGTTCGTTAGTTTTTACGAACTATTCACTTCTTCTTTTACCATGTACTGATATTTACACGAAATGTTCGCGCGATAAGCGCATTGAACTGATCAGAAAATCTTTGTATTCAGCCTTTTCTTTTTCCGAATGTAAGTGTAATGTTACTTTTCTTATTCCAATATTCGTAACTGTTGTTCCACATAAAAAAATTGAATATAATGAATTGTATTTAATCATATATAATCACCATATTAGAAAAATTAGTAAAGACCAGTAAATAACTAAATAATACATTTACAATGAAAAAGTAGTTCCAGTGTGGAAATACATTTAACGAAAATGTTAATTTATTTAATCATCCGCTGATCTGACGCAGAATTCAAGGATGGAAGCAGCACAGCAAGTAAGCAAAAGCAAAGCAAGAGAAGCACATAGTATATATTGTATGCGGATTTTCCTTAAATTACCTCCCATAAACCCCATCGGATCCATTAAACTGCTTCCGCCTGAAAATTTCTGTGCGCCACCTATGAAATTCAAATAATCTGATGCTAGAAAACACTGTAGACTGAGATATTGAAGCAAAAAATGATATTTAGAAAATAAAACATGCCTTAGACTAAAATGTATTTCAAAATGTATAAAATTAAAGAAAATTATTCAGTAAGGAATTGGAGCAGTCAAAATAAAATTTGTCGAACTATTTTCAAATTATATAAAACTGTTCACAAAAAAATGTATTAACAGAAAGGTTTTTACAATATCAGATGACAATATGATAAAAGCGGCAAGCTGTTAAAGCGAAACAGATGGTACCTGACATAGCACCAAGGGGATCAAGCGGTGAAGACGACGGAGCAGCTGGATTCGAACCTGAAATGTTACCTCCAAATATTTTTTTTCCTTGCGTGATATTAGATATGTTCAATACGCAGAGTATATTTTTAAGCGATTTTAAAACACATGCAATGCTCTTGTATAAGTATAACATAGAATAAGGGTTATAACAAAATCTGGTTAAAACAAACACAGACTTCATGCAAAGAATCATTGCTTGATAGAAATAAAGATTGGTTTAATATTGTTATTAGTTTCTTGTGTAATGGTCATGTAAACATCACCTCCGGAACCTGCAGACGTGCGCGTTCCTGAACTTGTCCCGGTCATAGAACCTCCTGGCATCATAGGGTTTGTACCACCAGAGCTTCCGGGCATCATTGGGTTAGAACTTCCTATAAATATGTTATAATCTGAATAGTAGAGCCACTAGTATGTAAGAACGAACGCCTTAAACTTAACAGTCGTAATTATAATACACATTTCTGAATAAGCATTTATAATATATTACATTTTTGAATTGTCACAAATTCCTTTACATTGATGCTTATTTTACATACCTCCTCCCATCATAGCATTAGGATTAAACATGTTTATTCCACTTCCGCCGGAAGTTGCTGATGATCCACCAGTACTTCCTGTACTACTTCCGCTGCTTCCACTGTTACTTCCGCCACTACTGCTCATCGCATTTGGATCAAATGTTGACCCACTAGACGAGCCTCCGGACCCGCCCGACGTTCCAGCAGTACTCGAACTTCCTGTTCCCTTACCGGTATTTCCACCTTGCATTACTGCATTACCACCACTGTTGATAGCGTTCGATCCTGCCATCATACCTTGGGCTCCATTCATCAAGGTAGAAGCATCTGCCTTATTTAGGTCAGTATTACCACCGGCACCTAAATTAAAACTTACCTTAACAATATGTTTGTACCAACTTGTTATTTTTAATTCATTTTATGCATTTTCAAGATTTAAAACAATGATGCGAATAAATGCCAATCTGCCAAAAAGTAGAAATTATACTCGTTGAATTCGTTTACTCGTATATTTTGTTTTTTGTTTGTTTATTTATTTATTTATTTATTTATTTTTGTTTGTTTTTTATTTATTTGTTTTTAAAGAATTTTGGAATCGGTATGTAAATATTACATTATGGTTCTATCTTCAAAGCGAGATTTGAACTATATGTATTTACCACCAAACATGTTCATGCTCATTCCCTGTTTACCGAGCTGAGCGTTCATTTGACCTGGATTAAAATTTCCCGCATTACTGCCTCCTGAAAAAAGTCAAAGAAATGCTTAATGATAAAGTTTATATCAAATAATTGTTTGATATTCTCTTTAAAAGACATGATTTCAAAGCTAAATTACCAGTATTACCTAAAAATAATGCTAAAAATGGTAACAGATATCTGAGCAGAATTTCACATACATTATTTACTGAAAATTGTCTACCCGAAATTTACCAAAAAAACCCGTTTTTTTTCAGTTTTGAAACCCCTTTTGGATATATTTTAAATTCATTTAAATTTTTTTTATCTAGGGGAAAATAAAGTTTGCGTTTTAAAAAGGCTTTGGGGAAATTTAAAATAACATAAAAAGCATCCCAAAAGTGAAAGGCTTATAGCATTAGGATACCTGACTGAGACTGGGGACCCATAACTACGCTCATATCTTTACCTGAAAGAAAATATAATAATAATAATAATTATAATAATAATAATAATTATTATTATTATTATTATTATTATGTAATATATACTGTCATAATATGAACACTTAAATAAATTAATGTCTTCGAACCGTTAAATGTCAACGCAAGGAAAAGAATGGTGATTTTTTTATTACTTTTCAAGAAACGCAAAAAAGTGGGATTTTTCGAAAAAAAAATCTATTATTTTGTACTTGATTTCGGCGTAGTTTTTTTTAATGAAATAGAATCGATGATATTGTTAAGCGTATCGAAATACTCTACCAATCTCGAGTATATGCATGAGACCGATACGACAACATGAGTAGGTGAATTAGCGCCTTAAAAACATAAAAAAATCATGAAAAACCTGTTAAACTTAAACGGTCAGACATATCATATATTTTCTGTCATATACATGTATACTAACCCATCATGGGATTTAAGGGGTTAAATCCTGAAGTAGCCATAGAATTTGTCTTTATCGGGTCAAAATTTGGAGTTCCTGACCCACCAGAAGTTCCGGATGTTCCCGGAGGTGCACTATTCGATGGTCCCCCTGTCATTTGGCTCGAGCTACTACCCTGTGATGGACTTGCTGACCCACTGTTTGGCTGCGATGAACCGAAATTCCCGCTTCCTTGTCCAGTGGAAGCACCACTAGCACTTCCAAAAGACGACGCAGAATTTGTAGCAGTTCCAAACGAAGATGCAGGATTTGTACCGGAAGCAGACGTTCCACTTCCTGTCGAGGTTGATGAACTTCGCAGATACCCCTGCAGGTGGCAACTTCCTACATTAAGCGCCTCAAATGCCCCTCCTGTAGGGAGTTTTTTTGGGAGGCATGCCATGTTCATTCCGTTTGGCAAAGTGGAGCTTAACCTCCTGTAACCTGGTCCTGTGAACCCGCTTGCGTTAGGATCATACTTTGGGCCCCGTCCTTTAACAAACTTTGTTAGGATCCATAGCTAGGAAATACCTCCGGTGTTTTGTCATTCCACCCAGTTAGGTCCCACCCATCATTAGCACTACCTCCTGGGTTGAGCCTCCAGGACTGTTGACTTCCTGTTAAGGAATTGAGGCATTTTTATCTCATCTACAAGTATTTGCAATTTGAGTAATACACATATGGTAAAAAACCATCATTATTCATTCATATTGCAATTTTAAAAAATAGTCTAAATTAATATAAAAATCGTTTCACATTGGTATTGCCTTTTAAAGACCTGATACATTTTAAGCTCCAATTCCCCACCTTTACTTCATGTTAGTATTTGGTTCTTAATTAATTCATTTTTGAACCAGGGGTTGGGGTTTGCTCAAACCTTTCAGAAATGGGATGTTCAGGAAAAATGGTTTCTATAAGGGCTTACACAAAATTTTTCTTTAAGTATGTATTTAGCCAAAAACATTGTAGTACCTGTTCCAGAAGATTTTGCAGTACCCTGTAAGAGTTCCTGTTCCCGCACACCACCAGGACACCATTGGTTTGGATTGTTAAACATTTGACCATGCCTGTGTGTAGGATTTTAAATATAAAACCATGAACTTTATACTAATGAGGCCCGGCATTATATGGAATTTAAGGGGTTAAAGTTTTTATTTGCCTTATTTTGTGTTTTGTATTAATGTCTTTCATAACAGTGTTGGAGAATAAGAACCAGGTTTCATTGTTATACAGAAAAACTATCTACAAATCATGTTTCAACTTGCCACTCTCTCTACTTTTTCACGTTATGTTTTAACTCCCGTAATGGTTTTTGTTATACCTCATGGGCCAATACAGAAACAATGGCAAAATATAGGTATATTTACTTCCACTGGAACCACTCCCGCCTCCGAAGGTATTCGGATTGAAGTTTGAACTACCACTTGTACTTCCACTGCTCGCACCACCACCGCCACCGAAAGCGTTCGGGTTAAAATTAGCACCGATTTGTGAGTTGAACTTATTTGGGTCAAAGTTTCCGAACATTCCGTCACGACGCTGGCGTTCATGACCATCTTCCTGAGTGTACGGATCACTATAATGACCTGAGTTCCACGTGCTGAGGTATACGACATACTCAGAGTTAATCGATACAACTGGCCCTATTTTCGGATACGCAGAACCTTTCAAAATAGAAAACGTTCTATCATCTATTACTTATTTCCATCGGAAAGAAAAATAAATTTGCGATCCTTAACTGATTTTTATTTTCTTATTCTATGTTTAAAGCGGAATGATACAACACTGTATCAACATGCTTTACACAATTATATAAAAGATTTTGTTGTTTAAAAATGAATGCACGTACTTGGACAAGTCACAGTTATCATGTTATATATATTATCGGTTATGATCTATTTATATGGCACTGATACTACGCTGCAAATGCATGCTTCATTTCTACACCGCTGACGCATTGGAATGACAAACTTGATGAATTTATTTATTTTTATTCCAACAGTACTAAGTTTTACATACCAAAACTAGTACTGCTTTAACTCTTTGGAATACTCGAGAATTTGCATATCAAGTTTTAGATAGGTATAATATTAAATAAGAAACGAAAAGACATACGTCGAAACGCCATTTGATCGTTATTTTAAACCAGTCACTTTGGACGGTTAAAACAATTGTTGTAATTAAAATAAATAAAACAAACCAAAGAAAAAAGAATCTTACTTGCATGTTTAAAATGATGATAAGTTGGATATTGTGCCATTGCCGATATTATATGGAGAAGAACAAGGCCAATGGCAGCCATGATGGAGGGCATATATCTGTAAGGCAATCAGATAATAGTTCAACTTTTAAACTGACCTCACATATCCTGCTATTTCCTGATAATATTCCAAGTAAATAATGGATACTTAATGGAAAAAAAAAAGAAATAACAAACAAAAAACTTTAACCTTTGCTCAAAGTATGATTTTCCGATTGTGTTGTTGTTTTCAGTATGTTACAACTGTTGGAATAATATAAACAAACGCTTTGTTTGATATAGTTGTAATAACATCAAAGTGAATGGCCGTAGAGTAGCCTTATCTTTCTTCATTTCCTCAGAGATAACTTGATTTAGGTCAAAAGTCAAACGATATTTTGTCATAAAATCGGACTTATAAAATATTACAAAACTAAAAGTAATACTCATTTTGATAAGGTATAGCTATCAAGTTGATTTCATTCAAAATCATGACTTTTATCTACAGTACATATTTAAGTGTTCTATAACACCGTATCTAACTTTCGCATGAGTTATTGTATATATTTATTCATCATCAGCTTATCACTTTTGTCGTTTTCATTATCATCATCTTTCTCATTATTATTTTCATTGTCATCCTCAGTAACATAGAAAACACCATTGCTTTATCGTCGGATGTGATAAATATATGCGACCGTATATTAGTGTATTTTCAGTAGTGATTATGGGAGAAACATACATGTATAAACAACAACAACAACAACAACAATGAATGTTCAAAATAAGAAACATGTTAAAAATTTAGCATGTTATAGCGCCGAAATGTGATTTATTTTTCCAAAAGAAAATGCATGTCGGAAAATACATACATGTACACCATATTGAGTCAAAAAGGTTAAAACTGTTATTTAAAGTGCTAGCACAGTTATTTTAACATGGATACAGCACTGGGGATGATGATGATGATGATGATGATGATGATGATGATGATGATGATGATGATATTAGCGATAATGATTATTATGTTGATCATCATCATCATTTCAATAATAATTCATACTGTGTTTACATATCAACCATGTGTGTATTTAAAACGTGTTTTTTTACAATTGTATACAAACTAAGTAAAAATTATCAATATTTTGAAATATTTAATTTGAGCATAATATATCTTTAGGCATAGAAACATTAAATAGTATGGTGGCATATTTCTGCCAACAGTTAACCATATAACTATCGCGTTAACTATCTGAATAACTAGTAAGTTTTCGTGTAAACACAATAAATAACAGATATTTATCAGACAAACTTGATATCTTTTTCTGTTAGATAGATAAATAACGAAGAAGTATCTTACATTTCGCATTATATATGAACTGAAATATTATCTAGTTATTTTTTTTAATTATTGAAAATTTAAGATAGATAAACAGTTAATTATCAATTATTTAACTGGTAAGTGTTGGCAGTTGAGGGCACTTTTTAGTGTTTTTGGAAGTTAGATACTTATTCGGTATTTTTCTATCTAACAGAAAAACTAACTAGTTATTCAGATAGTTAACGCGGTAATTATTAGTTAACTGCTGGCAGAAATATGCCACCATACCATATCACTGTTATCCATACAGATTTTACTAAATAGAGTAACGATCTACATGTATAGTAACGATCGTCGAGTTTTCACTGACTTCCCTAATATTTCGTTACCTTGCTTATCATGTTGATAAAAATACTACAGAAATTATGTATATGAAAATTGGCTAGTGAAATTATTTATGAGAAAATATACTAGAGAAATTAAGTATGAAAAAATATACTAGAGAAATTATGTATGAAAAAATATACTAGAGAAATTATGTATGAGAAGATATACTAGAGAAATTATGCATCAGAAAATATACTACAAACATTATAAATGAGAAAACGTATTATTCAAATGATTTTATTATTTACTTATATTTAAACAGATGATATGCTTTAAATTTAAGTCTTAAACAGGACATATATTTTGAGTATGTATTATAGACATTTTTCCAATATAATGAAACTTGTATAAAATCATACGTTTATTGTATATAATATGACATGATATATCGATTTGTTAACAAAAACACTCGTTTTGCTACATTAAGTTCCTATTGTTTTTATGTGTGAAATGATCACTTTAAACCAAAACAATGCTAGTGGTCTATGTTTAAACGTTACTTTCCATTTTTTTTAGACCTTTTCTATTGTAAATCTTACCTTATTTAATTCGAAACAAGCAATCAATGACATAATTCACAAATGAAGGAATTAATCGTGATTTTCGCGTTTTTAGTATGTGCTGGTAAGTCTCGATCAATAATTATATAATTATTACTCTTTTATGTATTTGAACAAATGTGATAATATCAAAAACGGTTGATTATGAAATTTCGTTATAAAATCTTGAGACATAAATCGTGTTTTTCAGATGCCGTTCAGACCTGCTCAAACAACGTACGTTGGCCAGATGATGCCATTAACGGTTATAATTCATATTCCACCGCCGATACATTCACTGGTAACTTCTTTTTTGTAATTAATGCTTCTGAGGAACTGTGTAGAACGTAATCAAGTAAGTCCTGTAGGAAAAATGCTACTTCGCTGACAATTTATTTTATGTCTGTATAGGGTCAAAAAACATTGATTCCGTTTTCATATTTTGTATCAATCAAGAAGCAACACAGAATTCAGTTACGTGATATATACTTACTAAAAGGGGATATTTACATACATAAATACAATCCGTATTAATTTATTTCATTGCAAAATTTCTTTCATTTATAATTCTTGAAATATTCAGATAAAGTATACATTATTAACTTTACTTGTTGAAACGAATTGTGTCATGGAGATTATATAAGGTCAAAGAAGCACTCGCGTCGATCATATATTCAAAAATTATTTTCTGTATTCGTAACAAACTCTGCTGAACATTACAGGAACCTGTATGACATAGTTTTAATTGGATCTTTGATTGAAAATTTCAAACTAAATTGTTTCAAGATCACGACAACTGTACAATAAATAATCATTTGTCAAATGATGTAATGTTTATATAACTTCAACATAAAATTAAATCAATCATATTAAAAAACTGATTGTTTCATATAAAGGCAGCGGGTTTTTGATGGAGGCAGTGGAATATCACACCCCAGACAGTTGCACGTGCGGCGTGCTATATAAATGGATTTTCCATGCTGTTGAGGACGGTGCAATTGAGTTACAAGTCTGGGACCACTTAGATCATCAGAGTTACCAGCTGAAAGGAGAAAATTATTTTACTGTTCCAGGTTTGAATCTTTACTAAATACGATTATTTCTGAAACAAAGATAGACATGCATATTACATATTATTATTGATCAAAGCCAAATAAAATTTAACCTGGAGTGCTGAAATAAATTTACGTTTTGTAATGATGTTGTTATAATTGCTTATTAATATTTATTGTTTAAAACTGTTTAAAGCTAATGTTTTTTCATTAATGTTTTCTGTGTATTCTTAAATCAATTATTTAAAACTTTTGAAAGATTTCTTTTAAAAGGAATAATTTGATAGAGAACAACGGTTCCTCTTAAAAGGTGTTTGCAATATTATTTTTCCCCCAAAAATATGTTCTGTCAAAATCTTAAAACTTTTTACAAGTACAAGACTTACTTACTTAAATACTTTATAATTGTAATGACCTTAAATATATTACAGTTTCAGCTAAGGGTGAAACTGTAGAGTATCTCGTGCCAGAAAGGGATAGGATTACTATAAGGAATAACTATCTCATTGGATGGTAAATATATTATGTCATCGATGATAGATATAATATCTCATTAGGTATTGATATAATATCTCATTGTGTGGTAATTATGATATTTCATTGCGTGATAGATGTAATTTCTCATTTAATGTTAATATAATATCTCATTGTGTGGTAAATATGATATCTTATTGAGTGATATATATATATAATATCTCATTCGGTGTTGATATCTCATTGGATTTATTGAATCATAATCATATCTCACTGGGTTCTGAAAATCTCATTGGATAATAGATATATTATCTCATTAAGTAAATATGATATCTCAATTGATTGTAAATATAATATCTCATTGGATATCAATATAATTTTTATTGGATAATAAATAATATATCCTATTTAATTGTAAATGAAATATCTCATTAGATATAAATATAATATTTAATGGATTGTAAATACTATATCCTATTCGATTGTAATTGAATATAATATCTCATTAGATGTTAAACCCTTGGATTGTTTAAATAATAAATCATTGGAATATAAATGAAATATCTCAATTGAGTGTAAATGGAATTCAGTGGATTGTAAATATATTATCTCACTGAATGGTAAATATGATATTTCATTGGATTGTATATATGATGTATTATTGAATGATAAATATCATATCTGATTAATTGTTTACACATTTGAATCATACATACCTTTAAAGTTTTCAATGTATTATATAAATCACTTACTACAATATCGTGAGAAGCTTTAACTACAACAATAATGAGCCGCGTCACGACAAAACCAACATAATGGGTTTGCGACCAGCATGGATCCAGACCAGCCTGCGCATCCGCGCAGTCTGATCAGGATCCATGCTGTTCGCTTACAAACCCTATCACAAGTAGAGAAACTGATAACGAACAACATGGATGCTGATCAGACTGCGCGGATGCGCAGGCTGGTCTGGATCCATGCTGGTCGCAAACCCATTATGTTGGTTTTGGCGTGACGCGGCTCAATTCATTTCTCGATTTCGTAAATAGTTTTCTCAGTTTCTATCAAAGCGAAAAAGTAAAAAAATATTTGTTGAACACTTAGTAAGACAATGAAAGTTTATTTTGCTGAACTACGAAAGACTGACAGGGACACTTTAATACATAACAAATAAGTGATTTCATCATGAGTCCTCGATTTCAATTTTTTATGAATTCATAATTTCAATATTTAAACTTCATGAAGTCACGATTTCAACTTGATAAATTAAAGTTATATTTGTGAATTCGTGAAGCTGAATTAGTGAATTTGTGAAGTTGAATTCGTGAATTCAGGAAGTTGATATGAAATCGTTAATTCGTGAAGTTAAAATCATGTATTCATTATGTTGAAATCGTGAATTTATGAAGATTGAAGCTACCTTAGTTGTCTGTGAGTGATCAAGATGTCATTGCACTTTGGAAAAATTGAGTCAATTTTCTTTGCGTCCAAACCGAAATTAAGGTCTAAGTGTAGTTTGAATATTACATTCTTCTCCTCAGAAATGAAGAAATATCAATTGTTCAATCAAATTTAAAAATAACATTAAAGTCAGCCTGAATGTCAGTCATTATTTTTATCTTATAGTTTGATGTTTAGCCTTTAATTTCGAGAGGCAGGGGGTTAAATTTTGAATTATGTATCTCTGTAATATGTGAATTAATGTGATAGTCTCTGTGTGCTATAATCTCTATGATATTTGTATAACAATAACTATTTGAGCCGCGTCATGACAAAACCAACATAATGGATTTGCGACCAGCATGGATCCAGACCAGCCTGCGCATCCGCGCAGTCTGATCAGGATCCATGCTGTTCGCTTACCAACTCTATTACAAGTAGAGAAACTGATAGCGAACAGCATGGATCCTAATCAGACTGCGCGGATGCGCAGGTTGGTCTGGATCCATGCTGGTCGCAAACGCACTATGTTGGTTTTGACGTGACGCGGCTCAACTATTTAGTGATACATACAGATGATTCAGCATGTTAAATGCCATGTTAAACTATCATTATTGTGTCGACAAACTAACTAGTAAAAGACTTTCTATATCACGAGGCCAATGAGGTAAATGACAGAGAACACAATGGAAACAAGGATATTTTTGTTTTATCTCTGGTATTGGTGTGCAATATTCTTTATTTTAACATGTATTAATATACATGTATATTTCAGGTAGTATATATTATGATATTAAAGTATGTCTGTTGCATCATGCATCTATTTTACTGTAATGTTTTATATGTATATTTTACCAAATAAATCTCAAATATATCTATCGTGAATTCGTGAAAATCAAAATGTCACAACCGGTCTTTAATAATTTACTTTACATACCTCTTCAACATACACTTGTCTATTTTATAATACTGTTTTTGTGTACAGGTATGCTGCGGGGCCCTCGGGTATTGTAGGATATAAAGAGGGCGTTGAATCATACTCCGATGAATCGAGGAGGGAGCCGAGCATGACCAACCTTGACCCCGCGCACGAGCCAACATTTGACTGGTCTTCTGGGTCTTCTGTTGTAACTAGAGACCGGATATATGCTTTTGGAGCAGAAGTTATTGCAAGTATGTTTTTTATAGATTGTAAAATAATTTACCATTTTATTAGCTAGCCATTGGATTAATAATGTATGTATGTATGTATGTATGTATGTATGTATGTATGTATGTATGTATGTATGTATGTATGTATGTATGTATGTATGTATGTATGTATGTTATGTATGTATGTATGTATGTATGTATGTATGTATGTATGTATGTATGTATGTATGTATGTATGTATGTATGTATGTATGTATGTATGTATGTATGTATGTATGTATGTATGTATGTATGTATGTATGTATGTATGTATGTATGTATGTATGTATGTATGTATGTATGTATGTATGTATGTATTTATGTATGTATGTATGTATGTATGTATTTATGTATGTTTGTATGTATGTATTTAAAAAAACCATGTTTTTCCGTATTCAATATATGTATGTATGTATGTATATATGTAAGTATGTATATATGTATGTATATATGTATGTATGTATGTTGTATGTATTCAAAAACAACATGTTTTTCCGTATTCAATATATGTATGTATGTATGTATATATGTACGTATGTATGTATGTATGTATGTATGTATGTATGTATGTATGTATGTATGTATGTATGTATGTATGTATGTATGTATGTATGTATGTATGTATGTATACATACATATTTATACATTTACTAAGCTTCCAATATTCTATTGCAGACACGGCTCCTGAGTTCACTAACTTACCTCGTGAAGTTTGGATATACGGCGACGAGACAGCCGGAGCATTCATATACAAAATATCCGCAGACGACATTGATTCGAAAGACGTGTCTTCACTTTTTATCAGAGATATTGATGAACAATCAACTAGTCAGTTTTATTACGACAGAACAATACGTGCGTGTTTTACTTTTATTGTTACATGTTTCTTTTCACTAGTTTTTAAAATAACAACTTTTCGGACGTAAAGCTTAGCCGAACACCATCGGATATTTGTATATATTTGCTGTTAAAAATGAGCTACTTGGTGTAACTATAATAATGACCGCTGATTAGATGATGTTGATGATGATAATGATGATGATAATGATGAATAAGAAAATGATGCTGCTGTGATAATGATGTAGATGATGACGAAAACAAAAAAGAAATATACAGAATATATAAGAAAACCTATTTTACATAATTAGAAGTGCATTTATTCAATTACTTATCATTGTCCTGATTCTGTGATTTCAGGCACTGTTTTCCTTGCCGTGTCAAAGCCGGCTGTCGGAACATACACTATGACGTTTGAAGTTCAAGACCCCAGTGATTTTTAAATACCAATCAAGCAACACTTACAATAAAAGTGTTAAGTTGGGTAAGCCTTTAATAAAAAAATATCCAAAAAGATTTATTACATGTACTTTATTTTCTTTTCGACAAAATTAGAACAAGTAAGAACATAAACCATCTAATATATCTGTTGCTGTTGGTTTTTTTATTTTATAAATCCGTATGTCCGTTTTTGTTCTTTCGTTCCCGTAGTGTTATCTCAACAATAAAAAAACAAGAAATCAAAATTTAAAGGTATATCCAGAAACAGCAGAATTACAAATAGTAATACAACAGTTTGGTATAATAGGGAAGAATAGAATAGAACTTTCGTTTGTACTTAGATGTATCGAGCTCATTTTATATAGTTATGAAACAGTTTTTAATAGAATCTTTTGTCTTATACTCATAATGTCTAGTGATTTCGGCCAGATAACTATATGACTACAAAAAGCAAAAACAAAATCACAAAAATCAACAACAAACAAACAAACAGCTTTCTACAAAAAGCACGACATTGGCCCGAACATGAAAGTCATTATTTTATGCGCCCTCCTCTGTTGGGAAATCTCAGCAGCGAGTCAGTCATGTGCATTTAGGTATAAATCTTTTTCTAATTCTCTTTATCTTATGAACGACAGAATCAAAAACTTTGATTATACCGTTTTTGCGACGGACGCGCCCTCAGGCGCGTTCAGAGCTAAGTCATCTACACATGGGATTTCGTTGGCTACACTCGCGCAATGTGTCCTAAACCAATTAACAGCCCAAGAAATAGTACATGAATTTGATCCTTCAAAACTCCCATACTTTGTCTGGATATCTTAATGTCTTCCATATTTAGCCTTTTCAATTTCAAATTAAGTTATCCAAGTTAAAATATGAACGTATATTACTGATAAAAACGTTGTAGTCCCGTAGTATTATTTGCGCCAATATGCAAATTACTGCTGAAACGATTTACCGCTGTCGAAAAAGTAGGGCAGCAAATTATACTACAATAAAGGTGTAACCTCTGAGTTCCAAGACATTATTAGTAGGAAATAAATATTTCTACATTATACAAAACATTATTATTAACAAATCAAAAGTTTTTCGTGACTCTAGGATAACTCGCTCATTAATAAAAGGGGAACTATTTTCGTGACTCATACCGCGGGTTTAGCTGAATATTCAGCAGTTATTGATATATTAGATACAGTACAATGGATAGTATAAAAATGCATGTAAGACACTTTACCGCCATGTAGTCTTTCATGGTAAGGAAGTTATAATATCAGTTCTACTTCCGATTCTTGTGGTTTGTTTACATATTTTACTAGGTCATGATATGAGTTAACCTTCGCTATTCTAAAAATAGATTCTGCTTCACCTGTTCTGATTTTTGCGACAGGCGATTAGGAAGTACACATTAAACATGTAATTAAATAAACCAGCGGATTGTAATGCAATACTTTTTAGAAATGCTATACAATTGTAAGAAGCAAACAATTTGAAAATGGAATTTAGTGTGAAGTTGAAAAGGACAAAACCAAAACACTGTAGTGCTTTAAGTGACTTTAAATTAAAAATTAAAACGATGTGCTCTGGGCCTCTACATCTTTACCTTGTAAATAAAAAAAATCTAAAAAATACACTATTAATTTGCTGATGATTTTATCCATTTTTGTTTTTAATGAACATATCCAAGAGAAATAAAAAAATACAAATGGACTTATATATTATTGTCTGTATGCCCACTATGAATAACACGAAGCAATTCTAAAATAGCATTCTCAAATGTAATAATGTATTATGTTTGAAGTTTATTTGCCTGGATTATTCTAGAAATATTTCGTTGATTTTTTTTTTTTATTTACATATCAATTCTTAGAATAAATCGATAAGGACACTGATTTACAAGTTTGACCATGAGTTTTTAGCATAAATTTCATTCTGTATTTTAAGTGCTTGAAAGTAGAAAATCTGAATTATATCAATTTGGGACACAAAATACATTGCTCTACAAATCTCGAACTTGTATGGAACAAATTTTCTCTGTTATATATTTTGTGTTTTGTTTTTTTTTTTTTCTAAAAGAAGCCTTAATTAATGTCTCTCCGGTTGCATGTCCGTCGCATTCAGTGCTGCAGCACTTTGATTTTCTTTTTAAAAGGCACCCAGATTAACAAATTTGCCCTCATATTTGCGAACACTATCTGAAAAAACACTAAATACAGTGCGCTTTTCACTGTACAATACACGGACAAAGACAATTCGACACTTGTTTACAACTTTGAATGTTTTCCCCAACAAACGCTGGATTTACTGTAAAAAATGTAGGACATTGATAGTCGTATCACAATATATACTGATAAAATAAAAAATTGATTAAAATGAAATAGAAAATTTATACCATGGTGTAATTCTTGTTGGGGTTTTAAACCCTATGGCACTGGAAGAGTCATATGACATCTTTCCAGCTTTTCTGGTGGTGGAATACCTCAGGTGTCCCTGTGTGCATTATATCAAGTCAGTGTCCACGGAGTCATCGACTTACGTTCAAATTCAATCATATTACACAAACAAATTATTTATTCTAGTCCACCAGGGATGGCAAAGCGATTTCAAGTGGGTTTATTTTCTTCTCATACTTTTATATCTATAGATTCGATACATATACATACATATGTTATTTAACTGAACCATTGGATAAAAAACTCACCGACACCAAGTCTTTACTCAATGCAAGGAAAATAAGATGAAAGAAATTTATGTAAAACTGGTGGCATAACGTATAAAACGTCTAACCACGTCATATGTATTCTTATTTCAGATTCAAACAGATCTATAGTTACGACTAATGGCGTTACATTTAACTATGAAACAACTCAACAATACATAATGGACATCACGTTAAGTGATGGACAAAGCAATACAGACACGGGCTACTTTATGTTGTATATTACAAAAAATAATCCGCCAAAATTCACTAATTTGAATAGTAAGTACTTACTGAAACAAAAATTAATAATAAATCAACACTTATTAATGGCCATCTCCAAGCATTATTCTCCTGCATCCTAACTTTACATGGCCAAATTAAACCCGTATAATATTAAATCTTGTAGTCTAGTTTTCGTTTGTTTTAGAATACTACTTTTAAAATGCTTTAATTAAAAACATAACAATGTCCTCATACATTGGATGATTCGACAATTAAATTAATTAACGGAAATAGAGAGAAATTAAAAACGCTCCTTTAAATATTTACTCTGTAATGTCAGTGTCATTTCACTACTGGAATATGAACAAATTTTTTTAAAAAATGTTAAAACAACAACACTGCACAGTCAGCAATTCTTTTCTTCATCTTTGAATTCCTCATTGGTATTATAGAACCACACTAATCTCACATTCACTTTGCTGATAGGATTAACTAGTTTAATTATTGAATTTATTGAATTTCACAGATTTGTTATCGCACGGTTATGTTGTTTTTTTTTTTCAGACGGCGCTAGAGCCAATATAACATATCGTACAACAGCCACCGGTGACTTTGTGTACGCTGTTGTCAGCAACAGATGCCGAAAACGACGACCTTACATTTTCCATGACCTGTGACCCTGCAGGATGTCCGTTTGAAATAGATGGAGACAGTAAGACTTTTACCCTTACAACACTAAATAACTTCTCGTCCAAATCTGATCAAAACCATTCATCGTTTTTAATGAGAAAACTAAAAGAATAAATACCGAATAGTGAATAGTGAAGACCATGACGGCAAGGACGCGCCTGGTGTTAAATCATAATTATTTAGATAAAGTTTATGTTGCCCTATAACACGCCACAGTTACGAGATGCATTTGGTTATTATAATTTAATCAGGTAGAACATTCAAACATATTATTCCCGATCTGGCGGTCCCACAACAGCACCATCTGAAAGTGTTGTTGCTGCAGTATAAGCAGCTGTAGATGAAGACGTCTGTTATTTCATGGAGGTGACTAGTAATTTTATGTAGCATTTACACCTCATCAGCACATATATGTTATATTTTTATTGCCTCGAGATTTATGTTTAAAAGTCCTTAAAAGAGATATAGGTGTTTCCTTTGAATTATTAACCGACTTTGTTCTTCAGGCAAATGTTAAACATCTGTGGCTGTCAGCCCACGACAGCTGTGCGAAATTTCCTCCATGCAACGATTAATACGCAACGCAGGCTATATTTAACCTAAGCAACAAAAGTTTTTGTAAAAACTTAAATTACATTCTCTCTCCAACCTACAGTTTTTATCTCCGCTCGATGTGAAAACTACAAAATATTTACTGCTTAAAACTTCTCCCGCCTTCGACGGTTGCCCTTTTCTATTACCTAAATTTCTCCTTTCGCTTTTTCCGTTCCAAGCAAAGAATGCTGCTCACACATTAAAAGGGCTGACTTTAAAAGGGGTTTAAATTTACTAATACACGAGTAAATTATGCATAAGTATGGAGGTTCGCCTGTTGTCGCCATATTCTGTAGGTCATTGTACCCTCAACGATGAACCACCGGAGAGAAAAGGGGGTATAGATTTATTCAAACTTTTTACTGTTAAACTTTAAAAAAGTTTGCTGGTTTTTATGCTCAAAATCAGTAAGCGGGCAAAAGACTACAGTCAATCAATATCCAATTGGAATACTTTTTAGGATCAAGTTTCTTCATTTTGGGAATTTGAACATTACAAGTTTTTTTTTTTTAATTCGGGGGTTTGGTCCGCAACACAAATTTTTGGAAACTTTTAAACCACCGGTTGGGCCTAGCATATTTTTTTTGATTCACAATTTGTTGACCTAGGTCTTCATTTTCTAGTTCATGGTAATAAACTAATACAATGTATCAGAATATGATATATCACTATAGTTTGTGTTTCCAATTTACGCTGAATTTCATTTCACGAATAAATACAGCCGATTTGCGAAAAATAGTTATAATTGTAGTTTTAAGTCCATTGAAGATGTCAAATTTCAAGCAACAGTTTAAGGTCTATATCATTTCTCGAACTTCTTTAAACTAAAGATTAGACTAGATATTTCATACTAAACAATAGAAATTTGTCTTTTTTCATATTACATGTGCTTCATAAAAAACAGCAGTTACATTTTTTCCAGAAAATATTTTAAAGTCTGACTCTTGCTTTTTAAAAAAAACTAGCAAAATGTATATCTAAAATGTTGATTTTAACTACAAAAAATATTGATTATTGTATATTATCAGATATAAATGATGTTCCAATGATTGTAAATCTCGGATTGACCGATCCTATAGCGGTACACGAGGGGACGCCGCTCGGAACGACTGTGTATACGATACAATATGTTGATATCGATACAACAGATTCCCACACCGTCCATGTGACATATGACGAAACTTGGGCAACCAACTATTTTGGATTAAATGTATCAAGTACGTATATTATACAGATCAGATTCTCAAAGAGAAATTAGTACTAGGAATCGAGAAGTGTACTCCTTAGAATATCACATGTAATATGGTAATATTATAATTTGTTTTCCAGATCTTACAATGGCAGTTATATTGGAAATCTGATATTTTTCAGAACACTTGAAATTACCACTACCGTTTATCATCAACATTTTTGTCGCTTCGGTTGTTCTTTACGGATTCCGTTTGTCTCTCTTTTATGCATGATTGTTAGAACATATTCTGTTTGACCTGAATTGAAAACGATTAATTGTGTAACATTTTTAAGTAGTGAAATAAATGATAAATGGAAATGATGACTTTCTTCACTATTACATGAACTCTCACATTCCATTGCTCTTGTTAAAACTTCTGTGCGTGTTTTGTTTTCAGCCGGTGTTCTTACAACTGAATATAATATCTTGGATTATGAAGAGCTGGACCCTAGTTGGACAGCAATTGCGACAATAACAGTATCTGATAGCCTCGATACCGCAACAGGAACGTTGACAATCCACATCCGGAATGTGAACGAGGCTCCGTATTTTCACCAAACGAAATATTCATTTGAACCAATAGAGCAAGGCTGGGTATGGTGTATTTACTATAAGTATTACAATATGTCACAACAAATTCTGTACTGAGCAAAATAAAGGGGCGTCCGTTGCCGAGTGGTTAAGGTCGTTGACTTCAAACAACTTGCCCCTCATCGCTATTGGTTCGAATCCCAACAGGGACTTTTGACACTTTCATGTCAGGAAGCTATCCAGCTAGCTTACGGAACGTCGGTGGTTCTTCTTAGGTGCACGTTCGTGCCTGAAATAATATGGAGGGCGTTCGTTGCCATAATTCCAGACATGTAAACTGTTCCTTTTAAAATCTACTTTTGAAAATGCAAACATGGATGCCTAGCATTTTAATTGTATCCGTGTACTGCAAATAATATGCCTCTAAATCCAATCTTTTCAACGAAAGTTTCCGCTATTAAATAACAAGTTTACTTACACATAGAACGAAACATTTGACCTAACATGAAAAAACAACAACAACAAAAAAACATCAAAAAAAAAAACAAGAACACCAGACTTAAAATCCTCTAACTTTGTGAATCTTCTTTTGTCTTATTAAACATGTTAATGTGTAAACTTGATCTTGTAGCTCTGCAACTTGAAACACGTGTTCTTTCATTTTTTTCCTGTATTCGAGTTTTCTATTTCAGTTGTATTTACATTTGTCTTGTCTCAGGCTATAAGTGTCCAAACATGCTTCCGTATTATATTCGATGGAAGATACAAATATGTTTATTTGTAGTTTTTTTTCATGTAAGGTCACTTGTTTTGATCTTTATGTAAACTTGTTATTTAAAAGCTGGAATCTTAGTCTCTTTAATGGTAGAATTACAAGTCCTGCTAATTTGGATATTTGTTATAAATATGAATTCACATTTTAAGTACTTACCGCTTTCATTCATCCCACAATTTCTTTTTTCTGGATTTTGATTTGATTTAATCATATTTTATTGCTTGAAACATGTACATGTAACATAAAGATTACATTAATACAAATACGGATAAGGAAACATGTATGTTAACAGTTTGAAGCAAATGGATTGGGCCACAAGTTTTACCAACATTAATGAAGGCCCTCCCCAGGCAAGTTTAAATAACAAAATGGTCATTATAAAGATACAAAACTTGTTTACGTAATTAATGTGTTAGGCGAAGAAACAAGAAAATATATATTATTTGCACATCATCAGAGCAATATTTACAGTTTGTTTCTATATATATAGATTTGAATTTAAATTGATATTAAGGTATTTAGATGACAATATTATAAGAGAAAGAAAAAAAAACAACAAAAATGTTATGAGGTTTAAATATCATGAAATAGAAAAAAAATAACACAAAAAAGCACACACACATTCTAAAAACATCCAAACTTCTGTTCACCTTTCTTCTGATAAAAAAAAGGTTTCGCCTCCATTTCCGTTACTGGACCACCGTTTCTGGGTGACATAACTTGAAAGCTCGCCTTTGAAAGACTTTAAGTGCGTTAAATGTATGCTAACGTATTTGACATAACTTGAAATCACGCCTTTTAAGGGCTTTAAGTGCGCTAAATGTATGCTATCGTTATTGCGCTTTTGTCCTATGCAGAATGCGCATACGTTGCTATACAAAAATCGTACTGAAAAATGTCTAAAGAAATAATGCACGGAAGGGCATCTGAGGTCTTCCTCCACCAGTAAAGCTGGAACATCTCCATATGACCTATACTGTGTCGGTGTGACATAAAACCCACTTAAACAAGCAAGCAAACAAACTGAGCAAAATATAGTTTGGTTTTTGTGATTGTTTATATATGCACTGAGATTTGAACTAAAGTATTCACGACATGACAATATTTTTATCTGCAGTTGTTAATTATGTGATATTAAGTAATCCTTTAGCAGAGCTTTTTCAGTTGACGTCACTATCTGTTCCGCTTTCTGCTTCTTCCTTTCCTTCCGACGTTGAATTGTTTACGCCAAATTTAAAACCTGCCGGGAGATTCATTGCCCTGTGTTAATTTAATCTGTTCGTGTATAGTTGAAGGAGTATCGCCAATCTGTTAACAAAATTTAATTGTCCACAACTCAAATTTATCAATGTCCAGCAGAATATCACAATATGTCCAAAATGTCCAATATGTCCCACACAGATTTACAGAATCAAAACTTATATATTACTATGTTAGCAGTACAATAGTACACAATCCGTATATCGATATCACACAATATCACAAATTAGCACGCCTCGAAGTGCAAACATTCATCCTATATTGTGGCGACTTTCATATTTTAAACTTTTACTTTGGTAGCGTATAAGTCGCAACACTGTTTGGGGTTTAAACAATCTTTAAATAAATGGATATAAGTAGGAAAAGTCTTTGTTTAAACTTTTAAAATGTAAGAATATTTATTGAACAGTTAGAACAAATATCATATATAAAAATAATTATGTCTTTAACATCTATCAATAATAGTCATTTATAAACTATATCTCTTCTTTTCACAATTTCTATTAGATTCTATTCTCAATTAATATCTCTGTTAAATTATCTTTCTATTTTATGTTCTGATATTCATTTACAATGTAGATTCTCTCTGTCAATGTTATTTTATTCTATTTTCCACCCCAATAATCAACTTATTTACTATAAAGGAATTATCAAAACTAACTTTTATCTCTGAATTCTCAGAGTCAACTTCAATCTCAATCTAATCTTATCTCAATCTCATCTTATCTCAATCTCATCTGACTTCATATTCGAAAACATCTATATTTATACTAGAAGAATTCCGCTAGAATTGCAGAATTTGGCAGAAAGTGTGATGTCATAAATAACAGTGGCAGAATTCAGCAGAATTCTGCAGAAATACATACAAACATATTCAAAGATTATCTTTCAAGTTCAATTAAAGAGGATATACAAAATATTACATAATAAAAGCAATTACCTAAGATATGACATATTCTGTAAAACATCGTCTGTCAACTGTCAAAACCCAATGTTTACCAATAAGAAAAACGCCGACGAGAAATCAATGACGTAGAACGCATAATTCAATGACGTAATAGACATAAACGTAACAGGTACACATAAATGTTGTAAACATGCCGGTAACTCACTATCAGCCAAATTATCCAATATCTTTAGAAATTGACGTTAACAGTAGATGACAATTATAAACAGACATACAAAAAATGTGGATAAAGTTTACCGCTAGAAGGTAATTCAATCTTGAATTTTATATTGAACGGTAAAAGCTTTATCACTGAGATTAAAAATAATATAAACAATACCCCACCTACTTTTAAAACCATTAAGTTAAACGGAGTTTGCACATAAAATACTCAATTAAAGAATAAAGTAAGCAGATGAATTATTAGATCACCTGATCCCTGCATTATATACTTTCAATGAACATTCTAGTATACTAAACTACTTAGAGAAAGAATATTTCAGAATGAACATGAACAGAACTTTCTTGGTATAAGATGAACGAACATGAAAAATTATATAAACATCAAATAAATAAAATTATTAAAAATGATACATGTAGTTTAAGTGGCATGACTATGTATCGAACCAACGACAGCGCGATTATCTGTCCTTCGCTCTACTACTGAGCAATTCAGGAACACATAAAGCCTTACACATAACACTGCGCATTCATTTATTTCTTCAGTCATACAAGAATTCTTAAGCATGGATCTTCTGAAATAAGAAAGTAAAACATCTTAAAATGATTCTTTGACGCTTTCAAAAAAAAATTAAAAACGATATTTTTGTACAGAGGGAGGCTGATATTGGAGACTGGAATCCGGTTATGAGTGATCCCGATAACGATATTGCCACACCTTTAGATACCCACGTGTATACGATGGACTGTGGAGATTATACTCGATATTTCCGTATGAACAGGACTGACGCCTCGATAAAATTCTTCACGAAGTTTGATTATGACACGGCCAACTTTACTGGCCCATTTAACTGTATTGTCACAGTAACAGATAAGGCCGGACTAACGGGGACGACAACGCTAGAGATTGATTTACATGTAGGTTTAATACAATTTAAATGTGTGTGTATGTTTTTTTTATAAAGAGAAGTTTAGTTTAACAGAACTTATTAACAAACAGCATACATGACTATATAAGTAAGATATATAAAGAACTGAACTTGACCTGAAGTTATAAAAATAGCATTTATCAAAAAGTTTTGAAAGTATTGATGAAGTTTAAATTTTATATTGATGACTTTTGTTTTAATATAAAGATAGCAAAATTATTTTTCGTAGACGACGGAATATCTGCAATAATCAAATACATGTACTTCTAAAGTGATTTCTCCGAAAATATTCTGATATCATTTTCTGAAACCTTTATTCTAATTTTTTACTGTGCAATGCTTGTTAATTTATGCTTCAAAACTTATTCTTCAGTAATGCAGTAAAGAGAGCTGATGGTAGAATTTGAAATATCAAATTCATTACCATTCACATTAAAGTAGATTCCTGAATTTGTTACCTAATTCAGTATCCAATACATTTTAAATTTTTTAAGCATTTCCTTGTCTTAATATAGACTTATACATTTTTTTAGACTTTTTAATAAAACATTGTGTAAAATCAACTGCAAATGCCTGATTTGCTGGACATTAAGTATATAATATGATGTAATCAAATGCAAAATGTACAATGAATATCTAATTCGATTGTGGTATACTCAATAGAAGAAAGAAAAGAAACACACAGAGTGTATTTGCGGATGTTTGTTTCTGAAATATAGAATTAGACATGACAGTAGCTACATCATCTTGGCATGTTCTTATATTTCAGGATAACAATGACAACAGACCTATCTTCTTCAGCCAAACTGATAACTATATATTTCAAACACCAAACCTAGAACCGGGTAGATTTGTTGGTCAAGTTACTGCCACGGATGGCGACAGATCAGCTGAATATAACCAAATCCACTACAGGATCCTCTCATCACCTTTTCCTAAAGATTTCATTCTGATAAATGACTTTGGTAAAAGTTCGTTGTTTGTCTGGCTCATCATCGTATTATCTTTGTCGTCGTCATCTTATTTCCATCATCAACTTCGTCGTCGTTGTCATCATCATCATCATGATATCATCATTATACAATATCATCATCATATCGTTGTTATTATCATCATACCATTATCATATCGTCATCATGACATCATCATCATTATCATCATCATCATTATCATCATTATTATCATCATCATCATTATCATTATCAGTAAATACCATCTCCAGACGTAAAGAAACACAAAGGTTAAAAATTTGATCATTTTTGAAATCTTTTTTTTTAATATCACTTCCTACACATAATCATCAACGGCAATATCTTACAGACAAATTCTCTGTGAGATGTAAAGTTTTCGAGTAAAAAGCTTGAAAAATATGATTTGCCCTTAAAGTTGCTATTGGTCTGTATTATGTTTTGACTTTGTACTTTTTCGTCCTAAGATTATTGTGAGTTAGTTACTATAGAAACTAAAGGGGGGCGTCCGTGGCCGTGTGGTGAAGGCCTTTGACTTCAAATCACTTGTCCTCTTGAACTCCGTCGGTGTTTCTGCTTAGAATCCCGTCCGTTATTGAAATTATTCACGAAGGGGCATCGGACGTCTTCCTCTACCGGTAAAGCTGGAAAGTCGTCATGTGACCTTTACTGCGTTAGTGCCACGTAATACCATATCATTAAGTCATAGAAACAGCAAGATTTAAGTGTATGGCGTTTAGCCAAAGGATAATTTTAAGTTGTAAAAGAAAAAGATAAAAGCAATTGAACCAAGTTTTTGTCTAAGAATGTTTTGATAATCATGCCATGAAATGATTATGTGTACATGTTTGTATTCATAGAATATCTTACATTGTTTAGCAAGCAACAATCGTGTTTAAATCTATTACACTTCATCACGGATTCATACAATGCAAATCGTCAGCGGAACATATAAAGGTGACCTGTTGGTATTGATAATTATACATTGCTGTATGAATGTTACGGGAATGTTTTACTATTGTTTGGCAAAACCTGAATATATACAGCGATGAAAGATAGACGAAAGTAACAGCCTTATAAATTTATATATGAAAGTCTATTTTTTATTTCGAATTCTATTCCAAATACAAGTGAATTCAGTTGCAACAGTGATCTTCAAAATAAACATTTAAATCCATGTTACTTGTTTAGCTGTGTAACAAATTTTTTTTAGAGAGCTTATAATTAAACTAAATAAAACGAAGTGTCCAATTATAGATTTCGTTCTACACATAATGAGCCGCGTCATGACAAAACCAACAAAGTGCGTTTGCGACCAGCATGGATCCAGACCAGCCTGCGCTTCCGCGCAGTCTGATCATGATCCATGCTGTTCGCTATCAGTTTCTTTACTTGCTATAGGGTTTGTAAGCGAACAGCATGGATTTTGATCAGACTGCGCAGATGCACAGGCTGGTCTGGATCCATGCTGGTCGCAAACCCCCTATGTTGATTTTGTTGTGACACGGCTCAAATGTTGATAATTATCACTTACAGGAAATATTTACGTGAATGAGTCATGGACGTCTGCGTATTTCTACTATGACGTCTCTTATGTATTGCTTATAAGAGCTGAGAACAATGTAGATAGAGACGAACTACGTCGGTCAAATACGGCAACGGTTACCTTATTCATTTCTGGGGTAAGTACGTCATGCAGAACTCCGAATATTTGTTTACTACCGGTAAGCTTAGATCGTGCCGACTAGTTCAAATAAAATCTTATAAAATATCTATCTTATATTGTAATATGTTGCAGGAAGAAATCTATAAATAATTGCACGTTTTTTAAAACACCGAGATGATTGTAAATGAATTGATCGAATTTTTATAGTGTCAAAATACTCATATCTTTATTTCCTATAAATTGTAATAAAACTCATTTATATACATGGATTATGTGTTCAATGGACGCTAATTTTCTAAATGAAGATTAACTTACAAATGTCAGTAATTTTAATTTTAATCGATGTTTTTCTTCGAGATATTCATTATTTTTGGAAGAAGAAAGTAGAATGTAGAGAAAAATTAAAATGATTAATTGACTCATATGCTTACATGCCACAGTGCATGGGTGCATTTTCCTAAGCCAGGGTCGGACAAACAAGTGCCAAATGTTGTTTGGTAAAGCCGAACCAATGAACTCTTGCCTTGAATGACCCGTTGACTAACAAGCTTTTCTGATCTATATATCTACATTTAATTCAATCTTGGAATAATTCAATAAATGAAATTAGATTCATACCGAATTCGGAAATCACTAGCGATTGGCACGGATTTATATAAATCCGTGGTATTGGTGAGGTCGTATATTATCATGAAACATAAGTTCGTTAGATACAAATCGTAGCAGAAAATATGCCGGTATAAACAGGGTCCCTTCATGTTCAAACAATATGTCAATCATTATTTTTGTAATGGCACTCGTTATCATTTACCTAGAGTTATCATTTACCTAGACATCTACGGTGGTACCAGTGACTACAGACCGACCTTTCACGTTTATTGAGGACAACAGGAACATTGCATGGCTAACAGTGGTTCTTACATTCGGTGTGTTGTTGCTAGTTATTGTCTGTGGTTTTATGATGATGTACAGTATCCAGATAAAAAGGTTTAGATGGTGTATACCCTGGTGCCGTAAACGTCTGCTGGGATTGAAGAGTATGACAAGAAGGTAAGATAAACATGTTGGCAGAATAGTTTAACATAGTGTCCGATGTGGCGTCTGAACTTGTATGAGGTCGATGAAGTATTCAAAATTTTCACTAGACAACATAAAAAAATGTAATAAATATGTTAGTGTATGATGATAAACAGATGTGGAATTTTTAGTGCCGCAAAAGATATTAGGAATAAAGACTGATCAATAACTAAAAGAAGATTTGAGTTAATCGATATTCTAATAAGTATCGATGGTGTCAAATACATGAATTTGTGTCCGAAATGCATATACAAAACTTACTTTGAAATGGCGGGATATATATAAAGATAATTCTAACACTATCGGAAATTTTTCTTTATAAACAAAGAAGGCCCGAAGCGTGCATTATTCTACAACAATGCACTCGCCGTTCTTATTATCTCCCTGTGTATTTTCACATTGAGGGCGCCATTTTGTTTGAAAAATCTGATAAATAAAAACAATTTTTTGTCGAATTTTGTTGTGAAAACTATCTACAATGAAAGAAAATGGTATAACTAAGAAAATTAATCCGAACACCAATATCTTTAATTCAGTCGTTAACGCTGTACAGACGTTTAAAGTGTTGTTTACGTGACGTCACAATTTAGCGCCAAACAGCACGTGCAAAACAATCAAATCAAGAACGCTATTTTAATGTCGCAAACGATTTAAGTTTAACATTTATTTAACTTTTAATAATTTATATTTCGCTTGAAAAATTATAGAGTTAAATAAAATAAACAAACAAAGTTTTATCAACGTTTTCAAAATTCGTTGTTCTCAAAATGTTTCTACACACGGTAGATTTAACGACAGTTTTTTTCAACCCACTGGAATAGCCTTTAAAGAACGTTTCTATTGGAAACTCTTAGGCGAAAACAAATTTAACCACCAAACATAAAGTCCAACTTTATAATAATAATTATATTTTTTCTTGACGTGTTAAGAATGGAAATAGATATTAATTCTTCGTGCATTATTGTACAATAATGCACGTTTTTCGTTCAAATGCTTTGTAATTAATCACTCAGGCCTATCGGCCTTCGTGATTATATTACTGCGCATTTGAACTCAAACCGTGCATTATTCTACAACAATGCACTCAGAATTGATATCTATTTCCTAAATAAAACATCAAAAGAAAGGTTAACCACGAACAATTTTAGTGAATAAAGCACGTGTTGCTACCAATGAAAAGTTAAAATTATTATTGCAAGTCAAATCAAGTGTTGATATTGCCTCTGTTGGTAAAGAAATATCTTATAACAACAGACAAGGTAAATTATTTGGAATTGGATATATATTATTACTTGATAATATAAAATAAAGAAAATAAAATAGAAAAAAAAACAAGAGCGCAAACAATTTGAATGTAAAGGAGTGAGTTCTGTGAGATAGTTAATAAAAACTACGCCTTTCTTTACCTAGATAACATTTTAAAATACAGAAGTTACTTGAGTCCACAACTGCATAATTATTATTCATGGTATTAACCATTTATTGATACTGTAGAGAAAAGAGAAGGTACTACCGTGGTCTACTGCTACAGGAAGAGATGGATGAGATGAATGAAGACTCAGATGATGATGAAGATGTTACAACTGCTCTCCAACACAGGGAGGATGATGACGAGGATGCGGCAGCGCCACCTATGTTGTGGGCGAGACTCAAAGCTAAAGGGGAATTTGTAGCACGTGGTCCTACAGTCAGGAAAGCTGGTGTCCCTCGAGCAGCTGTATACGATGAGCCCAAACCACAACTCAGTAATTTTTATCACATTTAATCAAATATTTCGGTCATACATTTTTTACACAAATGTATTCATATAAGATACAATCATGCTTTATTAATATACACATTCATTCAACGTTTTATACTATTTTGTGAAGTTATGGGTTACAAAAGTTGTTTGGTTCATAGGACGTGTTATCGTTACTTTGACATCATTATAAAGCATAAACGATTTTGTAAAATTCAATAATTAAAATCCTCTAAAACAACTCTATTGTATATCAAATCGCTTCTATCATGTATTTGCCATACATCTTCGATATAGGTATACTTACTTATTTTTCTTTCAAAACTGTTAAAAGAATGTCATTGTAAGTAATGCACAATGATGCCATGGTCCGTAATTGTTATATTACATTTTATGAATTTTCGTAACATGATATTTATGTACATTTCAGAGAAAGAAACGTCGAAGAAATTGATGAAATCTGATTCAGATTTTTGGAACAGTTAAAGATATACATTACAGAGGCATCAAGTAAACACAGACAAAATAATAATATTTATCTTTGAGAAGTAACTAAGATTACCAAGTTCAGGGTCCATATCTAATTAGTGACAGTTATTTTACTAGTGATATTGAATAAACAAATTAAGTTTGTTTTGTTTACATTTATAGTTTTAGTTCCTATTAAATGTATTCCAATTGTGTTTGCATGTCTTTTAATTAAGGTGAAGAATACCAATTGAAAAAAGGACATGCTGTTACCATAGGTAATCGGCGCGTTGATTGGTCACTAACCCGCACCCCCTCCCCCCTCACCCCCACACCCACTCTACAGCCCTCCTACCTCTCAAAACCATGTAAAATACAGTATTTTTCATTTGAAACATGTTGTAATATTTGATTTATGCTTTTAATTCAATAACCTTCATTTCCTACAAAAAATAAAAAATTGATACATATATATTTAGTAAAGGTATGCAACTCGCCGCTCAATTTTCAGCACTCATCTTAATATGAACTCCATAACTTCAACATTTTTTCACCAATTTTCAATATTTTGGTACCAAATGGTAGGGAATTGATTACTCTTAAAGGAATTAAAGTTCTCATTACAATCATTTCAAGTTATAAGAAGATATGTAATCTCGAAGTCACCGCAAGTGTAACTCGACAGTGATCTGACCGCTGGGTTTTCTTCAAAATTACCCGACTAAACGGCAGTTTATTCGAAATGAATGCATATTTCATTGTATTGCGCATATAAATATGATCAAATTATATCATTATTTGTAATAACTGTTCAATCAAAACAGCTAATAAAACTATAACAAACCTTTTTTCCGATATGCCAAATTCTCCAATCCAAAATGAAAGTACACATGTATAAACGGAAGCATTCGTATGGAGTATTTTCATTGGTCGTATGAAAACCTTAGACCAATGAAAATACTCCGTACAAAAAATGAAGGGGAGAGCACTCTGTAGAACTATTACTTGCATTATAATTTGGAATTTAACATATAGGAAAAAAGGTTTGTTATAGTTTTATAAGATGTTTTGATTGAACAGTTATTACAAATAATAATATAATTTGATTATATTTATATGCGCAATACAATGAAATATGCATTCATTTCGAATAAACTGCCGTTTAGTCGGGTAATTTTGAAGAAAACCCAGCGGTCAGATCACTGTCGAGTTACACTTGCGGTGACTTCGAGATTACATATCTTCTTATAACTTGAAATGATTGTAATGAGAACTTTAATTCCTTTAAGAGTAATCAATTCCCTACCATTTTGGTACCAAAATATTGAAAACTGGTGAAAAAATGTTGAAGTTATGGAGTTCATATTAAGATGAGTGCTGAAAATTGAGCGGGCGAGTTGCATACCTTTACTAAATATATATGTATCAATTTTTATTTTTTGTAGGAAATGAAGGTTATTGAATTAAAAGCATAAACCATATATTAAAACATGTTTCAAATGAAAAATACTGTATTTTACATGGTTTTGAGAGGTAGGAGGGCTGTAGAGTGGGTGTGGGGGTGAGGGGGGAGGGGGGTGCGGGGGTAGTGACCAATCAACGCGCCGATTACCTATGGCTGTTACAGGGAGTGAAAGATAAAGACGTAAATTTAACAAGATTATGAAAAAGTGAACTTATTAAAAGGTTGTTTGATTTTTTTGGTCAACTTCAAGCTTAGCCTACATTTATTTTAGAAAGAAAAGAAATCACGAGATAACGTTAATTTCATTTATATATATACATGTATATACACACACATTGTAAAATGAATTTCTTTGAGCCTGTAATACTTTTTTATTAGGTAAAAATTCAGTCATTAACATCGTATGGGGAATAAAACATCGTATGTGGAATTGAAAGCAACATTACCCCTTTTGACATATTATTGACGTATCAACAAAATGTATATAATGCTATGGGAACAGTTTAAAAATAATATATATAGTCATAAATATCTTGTTTATGTGTCACTGAGTTTAGAGTCAATTTTTTCAGTGTAAATGTTTTGATAGTTACTTTATTCTCTTTGCTTTATTATTGATACTTATTTTTAGTCATAATTGTCATGGTAACAAGTGAAAATGTATACAGCTACTCTTGTCTGGCTTCTATGTTCTGCGTTATAAGTTCCATAACCGGTGTCACTTGTGACTCGGATCCGCTCTTTTTACTACATCCGTTACCACATAAACAACACCAGACGGTGATGATCAAAGCAGAGAGTCCAGTGATAAAACAAAACCCAGCAATCATTCCAATCATCATCTTCGTCTGTGTGCTCTAAAACAATAATAAATAATGCGTCGTTTATGAAGGGGACCAGTCAGTCACGTGATCCACAGCAAAACATTTATTTATCACTATAATTTTCAACAACATGATTCATAAAGGAATGTTGATATCTCCTTTTCTGTACGCAGACACGAACTTATTATATTTTTATTAAATATATACGGAGCTATTTTCTATGTGTATGTGCATTTTAGCCCGTAAAAGGCTTGGTACTAAACAACCGTGTTTGTATAGCACAAATTAAGAGTAACGAACGTTTGGAAATGCAGAATTTGCCCCGTATTGTTAGTCCTGGAACAGTTGTTTCACAATCGACCCTAAACAGTTTTTTAGGAAATGCAGAATTTCCCCCGTATTTTTGGGTCAATTGTTAAACAATCGACCAAAATAAGTTTTTGGAAATGCAGAATTTCCCCCGTATTGTTTGGGTCAATTGTTAAACAATCGACCAAAATAAGTTTTTGGAAATGCAGAATTTCCCCCGTATTGTTTGGGTCAATTAATACACAATCGACCAAATAAGTTTTTGGAAATGCAGAATTTGCCGTATTGTAAACTGTTACATATTCGACCAAAAAAGGTTTTTGGAAATGCAGAGTTTGCCCAGTATTACTTGCTAAATTGTTATCGATAAAATGCATGTTTGGTACAAGATAAAAAAAATTAAGGCAGTGTATGTAGTTGATGTTTGAAAAAAAAGAATGTTAAAAATTTGAAATATATTCTTATGAAACTGAAACTTTACCTGACGCTTTTGCTCCTCCGCTGTAACATCTGAAACAAAATTTAGAGAAAAAACTTTTTTATGCTGGGATAAACTCAACAAAACTTATCAATATGAATTCACATGATTCAGTTAATTCGTCTTTCATTTTTTCCATTTTCATCACAGTTTTTGTATTCTAGTTGTTTAAATTTTAATAGCATTATAGCAAGAATTTAATTGCGTTTCGTAAATTAATGTATACGTTTTTAATTAAGTTGTTTAATTTGTAAAAATTTCTTGCGTAAAAAATATCTTTTCTTGAAATATTGTAATTCTACACTTTACTTAACTTACTGTATATGGTACCAATAATGTTGAGTGTAAGTAATTATTTTTGCCACTCAGTTTATTTCTTAAACTATATGCTCCACTCTGGCATGAGTCAAGTAGTATAACAGATACATGCATAATTACTACAATTAACTAAAATGTTTAAAATCAAAGCACAGAAGGCGCTGAATTTGTTTGGGTCTCAGAATGTCAGAAAGGTGAAGGTTGTGAGATTATATACCAATTGGTTTTTGTATAGCGCCACCAATGCTTTCCAGCGTTTAAATTGTAGTAAATCGGCTATAAGACTAATTGCAACACTGATATTCAATTCAATGCTTATTTGACTTAAACAATTTGAAAAAAAATGAGTTGCCTTAACTTGGATTTGACCTCCAGAGGTCTCGCTTCCTAAGCGATGGCGCAAACCCCTCGGCCACGCTGAAGTTTTATGTTAAAGGCTTGAAGCAAACCATATACTAAATTAGGGTTTGTAACCTTATTAATTCCACGCTTACTGTTGTTTAACACAGATGTAAATAATTATGGAGCTTACTATAAGCATGTATATCTACAAAGAAAAAAAAACAATATTGGAAATCTTCGATAATTCGGGAACTATTTTGCTTGAAAATTAATGCGCCTGGCATTTGACCATCTTTACGCAGTGATCTCCCCTGAATTTTCCGGCGTTAGTGTACATATAAAGGGAAGTAACCGCTTCAAAAAAGCGGACTACTTTCGGCAATTGCAATTAACAGCATCAGGGTCTGAAATTTCGCTACCATTATTTGTTTGGTCTGACGACCCAAACAAATAACAAGAACATATACAGTATGTATGAATATTGTCAGAATTACACGCCTTATTAAACTTGAAGTAACAAAGTTCTGTCGAAATGTCAAAATATGTGAAATAAAGAGGTCTTTTAACAATGTTGAGAACAATTTTGATTCTGTTGGACTTGTACACAGCTGCAAAACCTAGCACATCGTTCAATTCAAATTTGACAGTTGTTTATTCGTGCAATAAAAGTATAAGTACAACAATGTATGATAATAATTATCATGATATTAACCAGATAAACATAATAACCCGTTAAGGTGAAAAAAAAGTGTTATGCAATTTATGATTAGTTATTGTTAGCTTTACTTTATTAACATCCAAATAATTTCAAATTTTTAAGTTACTATAGATTATTATTATTTATACATGCACTTACCTTTGATCACGCCCTGCATTATCATAATACCAGCAATAAGATACACTAAGTTGAAACTCTTGTTAACGATCATCGTGAGGTTTGCCGATGTTTCTATACACTTAATTCTTCAATAACTCGCTCATTTTACTGGTCATAATACATCAATTCCTGTAATAAGTATGCTTTCAATGCCCCCATTTCTTTCTTTTAAGAATAACTACTCAATAAAATTATTTATACTACAAGTATTTTTACAGTCAGTAAACTACAGAAAACTTTGCAACTGTCGGGACAAGAACTTTGTTTCACTAATTGAATAACATTAGTGCTGACTAATGATATCAACTGTAATTAATCGATCTAATTAATACAAAACAATAAAGGTAGGTCATATTTGTCCAAATTGTATTCATAGTCGCTATGTTTGTTTGTATCATTTTACGCCTTTTCCCAACAGTATTTCAGTCATATAGGCGGGGGGTTTCCTAACCATCGTTCCTGGAGAGTTACACCAGTACTAGACTACCTTCCTCCGCGCTAAACTACCAAAGCATCTCCCGGGGATCGAACCCGCGCCAAAGAGGCAACTGG